AGTGAAAATGAGGTGAGGGATGGATCTACGGCGTTTGACTTTGGGAGCGATTTGGTGGAGGCCATGATGGGGGCCATGCACAGATGATGGAATACAGGTGGATGAGCCAGGGGTGACAGACTATGAGGACCTCACGGCGGATTGGGGCGATGGAAGTGAAGACTGTGCTCAGGAAGGCGGACCCTTATGGAGCTGGTCGCATCGGTGAGATGGGGGAAGAGGAAGCAGATGCTTAAGAGGCAACGAACTCATAGATTCGCAGTGAAGCTGAGATGGAATTTGCCAGGCAGGTTGCATCTTTGGTTGTGGCTGGGTCTGGCGCATTTTAAGGGTCACAACACCACCACATGGAGCTGCCGGAGTTCGAATTCCACCGTGGCGAGCCGCTCGAGGCTCTGGCCCGTCCACACAAGGCCCTGCTAGTGCAGAGACTGAGGACGCTTGGACCAACCAAAACACATGGAATGACATTCAGCAGGCACAGCGAGCGCAAAGTAGACCTGTGCCGAGAGGTGATGCTCGTCTTTATGGGTTGCTTCTGGGACGGATGAGGCGACGGTTGAGTCCAGCGCGTGGTTCCGTCTCAATCCTCGCCGGGATCCTCACTACATGGTTCTTTGGCAACTTTGGCAGGAGACGTACAAAGTCGAGATTGGGGGAACCAGGACTACACAGGAAATACCCTCCAATCTGATGCCGGATGTTAGAACAGCTGAACGTGATGTTGCAGCGCTTTCTCCTGGTCCTGCGCAGCGTGGTGAACAGCCGGTGGAAGATGATACAAATGTGCCGGACACTGGCCTGGCACCACATGGGATCGCGGTTGAGAGTGTGACAGGGATAGGACAAAGGGTTGAAGTGGAAACGGCAGTGCCAACTGTAGGTGGGTGCGGATCTTGAAGCTTGTGGATCAGACGAGGTGGAGGGTCCGCTACCCTAGATCCTTCAAAAACCGTTAACCTTCATAAACCGTTATACCTCTAAACCCTAAACGCTTAACCCGTAGAAACCCTAAACTCTTAAACCCCTAGGCCCTAAAACCTAAGCTTGCCTTGAATCCTAAATCCCCTAAAACACTAAAGCCCATCGGCCCTAGTCCCAAGATGGCCACTGCTCCGGAGGTTTGCAATTCCCATGCTCCAGCAGATGCTCTCCGACGGTGATTCTACAGAGCTCATTGTTTGAAGGAACTCTGTCACTTCTAGTCTCCGTTGCTGCGCCCGCGAGGGGCCTGGCCAAGGAGGATTCGTACAGCGTGCCTTCATGTGTGGTTAGCGTTGCATAGAGTAGGACTTAAAATCTAAATACTTCCGTTATCGGTTTGTCTACGTGATGTCCTAACCCCATATCTTTAGGGTTTGTGATATTAAGCCTGGAATCCAGCGATTTGAATTCCATGGCCGATGGCAACACGGTCGGCCTGCAACCTATACGAGCCTCCAGAGACTTCAAGTTCCACTAAACTGAGGACCCTGTCAACAGAAGCCCTCCATAACGAACGGATTTGGAGTCTCTGGGCACAGAATCGGCTGATTGCTGGCTCATCCTTTTGCCTTCTTGGAACATAAGGTTCCGGAGGCCTCTCTGCGAAGGGATGCCCCCAAAACTCTGACACGAAAGAGACGAATTAGTCCAAAACCCTGAACCCTCAAATGCAAAATTCCCGATCCGACATCCAAAACCTGAAACACCTCAAACCTTAGTTTGCCTTACAGTAGAAGCCCAAAAGTTGGAAACCCCAGAGCCTCCATCCTTAAGAGTAATGCACAGGGAATCCCAGCACTATTTGGCCTTATTCCTTAATCCAGTTTCCAACTTTATGGGTTCTACTTCTAAACCCTATAGATCCCTTAAAGGAACCCGAAAATCCCTTATAAAGGAACCCTCAAGGTCCCTTACAGGAACCCTAAAGAGGATTACTATAAACTCTGGGGTTTACTGTAGTTACATGCTTTGCGAGCCCTAATAGCCCTCCGGAACCAAAGGTTTGGGAGGCCACCTGGGGGCTGCTTCGAAGCTACTGTCAGGTTTCTCTTCAGTGTTCCTCTAAGCCTTAAACCCTAAACACCCAAACCCTAAACCGCAACTTCGATTGAGGGCATGAAGGACCTGGCGCGGGGGCCTCGAATGACTAAGCCAAATTATGAAGGCCCTTGTAGTGGCCCGCATCGTAAGCTATGTACCGCTGTGAAACCCTAAACCCCAAACCCCAAACTCTACACCCCAAAACCGTTCAGAGCAGCCCCCGCCGAATTTGGAGCCAAGAGCCACTCTGCCTTGCAGCTTGGGCGGGCGGAGGAGGCCCTCAGCGCATCCCTAAAACGCATAACCTCACAAATCCTAAATTTAGGTTTAGGATTTGGGGTTTTTAACCTAATATGGGGGCCGTAGTAACTAGAAAAGGGCTTGGGGGTATATTAACTTGTGATGGTAATAAGGAACCTCCAAAACCCTATTCCAAACATTGAGGCCCCTGCATTTAACCCCTGCGCCCTAAGTCCCATTAAGCCCCTAACACCGATTTGAAGCCGCAGAGCGGGAAAAGACAGAATCCGCGGCCTACCATCTGGTAGGCACAAGTGGGGTTTAAGGATAGAATGCTTTAGACATTTGGGTTGATGGATTTCTAGGTTTTAGATTTAGTTTGATTTTAGGCCCTGGGAGCTTCACGCTATTGCTTTTCAAAGTGTGGCTTAAGTTGGATGTGTGGTTCAACCATCCCGGACGGTGGCCCTATTGGGATTCTCAGTACATGTTATCACCGCAAAGACCCAAGTCCATAAAGCCTTCACACATTGGGATTGCTTTAGGAGTTATTACACATTGTCACCAAAGAAACCGATGGAGTTTGCAACGAAGCAACACGGACATGTTCCGGAACAGCACCGAAACTCTAGAGCTCTGAAGCTCCTAGACCTGAAGCCTGCCTAAACGTTTTGGAGGTTCCTAGGGGGTTTCGGGTTTACGGGTTTTAGGGTTTAGGGGTTTGGGAACTTGGGGATCGGTAACACAAACCCGAAGCCTCGCGGCAGCAATACCTCCAGAACACGCTGCGTGACAAGGCCGGCGATCCTGGCGTGACATTGTTCGGACTATTGATCCGTGCCGAAGAAAAGATGGGCTTGCGGTTTTAGCATGCAGGCCAAGTTGGGCTCGGGGTTGTATTCGGGTTGCAAAGCTTGTAATGATCGTACGAGGCACTGTACTACAATTCATTACAGCACGCTAATCACGGCTTGACATGCCCCCGTGTTTCGATTTTGTACTTTAAGCAATGTATGTCGTTAGTGCGTCTTGCAATGCTTGGGTTTCACATGCTGGCAAATTCCATTTATGGTGCGATACTTGCATCGGGAAGCGCTTGCCTGCTCCTTCCTTTCGAGGTGCACAAAGACCCACGTGCTTACGCAAGCTCGTCTACAACTCACATACACACTGTCGAACAGAAGACCCAACTGCTAAATGGCAAGTACCTAGAGGCTCCATAGTAGTTCCTTTTGGGGGATCATATGTAGATTCCTATAAGGTGATCCCAAAAACGAACTACTATGGAGCCTATGGGTAGATACATAGACAGATATTCGCCATTGACATTCTTCACGTGTACACAACACGTGTATGTGTATAGACTCACATGCGTGATGCTGCCTTGACTGGAGCTGTGAGCCCGAAAACCACGAATCCTAACCTCAGGCACTGGCCCTACACGCCTGTTGACCTCAACCCTAAACCCTAAACCGCAAGTAGGTCGTGTCTATCTCAGCCATTTGCATGCTCAAGGAGCGATGTCGTGGGCAGTCCCTCAAGTTGCTACAATGAGACAGAAACGCTCCAGCGAACTCCCAATTCTAAAATATATATGTATATGTATATGCATATGCATATGTACATGTACATGTATATGTATATGTATATGTATATGTATATGTATATGTATATGTATTTGTATATGTATATGTATATGTATATGTATCTGTATATGTATATGTATATGCATATGTATGTGTATGTGTATATGTATATGTATATGTATATGTATATGTATATGTATATGTATATGTATATGTATGTGTATATGTACATGTACATGTATATGTATATGTATATGTATATGTATATGTATATGTAAATGTAAATGTATATGTATATGTATATGTATACATATATGTATATGTATATGTATATGTATATGTATATGCATATGTATATGTATATGTATATGTATATGTATATGTATATGTATATGTATATGTATATGTATATGTATATATATATATATGTGTATGTATATAATATATCAATGGTTTACAGGTGTTTTAGTTGTTTGATGGGGTTGCATGCGCGTTGTGTAAGAGCTTTCTTCCAAGATTCTGGTGTAACTGAAACCAGCTGGAGCCTTAGACCTAAATGCATCCTGGGAAACCCACAACCAGATCGGGAAGGCCTCAACCCTAAACCCACGCACTACGATACCCTCAGTCCGACTAGTGTGGAGCCTCACCACGTCAACTCCGAGCCACAAGAGGCTATGATTTAGGGTTGAGACTGCTCAAGCCAAAGCTCTGCAGCCTAATCCCTGACCTAGAACCCCAAAGCCTAAACCCTAAAGCCTAAACCCTAAAGCCTAAAAAAAAAAACCCTAAAGCCTAAGCCCTAAAGCCTGAAGCCCTAAAGCCTAAGCCCTAAAGCCTGAAGCCCTAAAGCCTAAACCCTAAAGCCTAAACCCTAAAGCCTAAGCCCTAAAGCCTGAAGCCCTAAAGCCTAAGCCCTAAAGCCTAAGCCCTAAAGCCTGAAGCCCTAAAGCCTAAGCCCTAAAGCCTGAAGCCCTAAAGCCTAAACCCTAAAGCCTAAACCTTAAAGCCTAAAGCCCTAAAGCCTAAAGCCCTAAAGCCTAAAGCCCTAAAGCCTAAAGCCCTAAAACCTAAAGCCCTAAAGCCTAAAGCCCTAAAGCCTAAAGCCCTGAAGTCCCAGTTCCTGCGGGGCAAATGCAGCCAGAAACCATGGCGGACGCAAGTCCGACTTCCCTACCGGGCCCAGAGCAGCATAGCCGCAACCATGTAGGGCTAAGGGCTTATGCTTTCAGGTTCGGGGTTTAAAGATTTGGGTTTAAGGTTTGCAGTCTGAGGTGTAGGGTTTAGGATTTAGGACCTAGGGTTTATTGGCAATTTTGCCTTCTTGGATGTGGGGCCTTGATGGCTTGCGGTAGTTCGGGAAGTTCAGGCTGGAGGAGTGGCTTGGTCTGGGGACCTCGTCATAGGTAGCGGAAAGTCTCCAGCGAACTTTTTGCCAATTACGTCGCGAGTTCGATGAGAAGATGCGCGAATGCAAGCAGCGCATTTCTGACCTCATTGACGCGGAATGCCGCGCTGCGCTGGCGGAACAAAGCCTGCTCCATGCCCAGGAGAAGGATGCTATCCGAAAGCACCCAGAGACTCCAATATCCCTTAATTAAGGAATATACCTGAACTCATATTAGGGATCCTACTAAAAGAAGGTATATTCCTTAATCAAGGGATATTGGAGTCTCTGGGCAATGCGAGCTTGAGTTCGAGCCGACGCTTTACGGGCAAAATGGAAAGCCTACTGCTCCAAGGAGCTGGCCCAGCAACAAGCCCTCTTTAATGACGCTTTGCGAAGCACAAACGCCGAGCTGGCGGCTTCGCACGAGGCAAAGCTGAAAGAGCTCCGGGGGAACCACGATGAGGGTTCTGACGACCTTGAAGGATGGGCTCTCTCAGAAGAGTTCCTCTGTTGCTTTCTGGAAGTCGGTCAGAAGCACTATTCTTTTTGTTGCAGTGGACGGCTACGAGTACGCTTGTTAATTGCTTGGCATGATGCTTCTGTGAGGTGCTGAAACTACTTTCTGGCCTGTCTGCTTAAGCAGCCTGAACCTCAGACTGGGTACTATCTTCACAATCCTATAAAATCGTTACAGTCCTATGTAATCTTTAGCTCTCACCCCTCCTGAATCATATCGGAAAGGGCATCAGAGCAAAACTTAGTGGATCCCCTGATCCGCCAATCTTCTGACCGATGCTCCCGAGGAACCTCTTAAACCCTAAACCTTTGTCATAGTTGGGTAACATTTCACATTTTTATGGGTACTTAAACGCATTAAGAGATAACAATTTAAGGTTTTAATCCTTTCCCAACCATGAACTAGAAACCCTAAACTACAAATCGAAGCCTGAAACCCCAAAACCCTAAATCCGAAATCCATCTAAGCCCTAAACCCTTAAACCCTAAATCCATCGAAGCCCTAAACCCTACACCCGTCGAATCCCTTAGCCCTTAACCTTAAACCCCTAAACGAGTCGAAATCCTAAGCCGTGAGCCCCAGAGCTCCCCCCAGGCTCTTTCGGGCTCCTCCTGAAAAGCTCCAAGGCATGGCTGAGAAGGAGCCACGAGTTCGTGGGTTTAGGGTTTCGGGTTCAGGGTTTGTGGCTTTAGGGTTTAGGGGCTAAGGGTTTAGGGTTCAGGGTTTAGGGGTATAGGGTTTAGGGTTCCAGGATTTTGGGGCTTGGGATTTGAGGGTTCAGGGGTTTAGCGCAAGGGGTGTAGGTGTTTTTAAGTTTTAGGAGTGAAGTTTGGGGTTTAGGATTTAGAGTTTTAGGGTTCAGGGTTTAGGGTTTAGGGTTAGGGAAGTATGGGGTTCAGGGTTTAGGAGTTATAAGTTTTATTTCGTGGTGTGTTGAGGGGTTATAGAGATTGTAGAGTCTGGGGTTTCAGGAGCGAGGGCTTGGGTGTTCAAGGACCTGCTTGGGGGTTCCGAAATTTTGAGTGAAATTTTAGTTCGGTTTCCAAAGTACGGATCTAGGGTTTGGGAGTTCGGTTGGGTTGTTGTAAGGCTCTACGGGGGAGCCGCAGAAACTTTGTTTTTAGTATTGCAGCGGTATAGGTCTTGCTGGCCCACCTCGTCTGGTTGGGGTCCGGCTGCTCGCGGCTTAGTTTGAGATGTGTTGGGCCCCAAAGAACGGACCGGAGACTCTCCATACGCCATGAGCCGCACGCACCACCCCGAGCTTCAAGACCCCAAACCACCTCAGAAAGAAATTCCCAAGAGCGCCTACTTTAGGGGCCATGATAATTTTCTATACTATTTTGGGGCTTCTCTATGATAACTCTAGTATAATGTGCCCCAAAAGCCTATTCTAATGACTAAGGCCCTTACACTGATCCCGGAATATGAAGATGTCTTAACAGCGCTTGAAGGTCGCCGCAGAACCCTGAAACCGAAGAGTCCTCAAGACGAGGTTGATAAGCCCCTCAACCATAGAGCCCCTAAGCCTTATAGGACTCGTAAACCTGCCTGAGATACCTGACTTCATGGCCCTAAATCCTAAACTTAAACTTTTCAAACCTTGAACCCTAAACCCTAGACGCTAAACCCTAAACCCCAAACCTTAACCCTAAGACCCTATAAACCCTAAACCTAAACCTGAACCCTAAACCCTAAACCCTAAATCCCATACCCTATACCCCTTTCCCTTTAGCCCTAGACCCTAAGCCCTAAACCTGAACCCTAAACCCCATACCCTATACCCTATACCCTATAACCCTAGACCCTCAACCCCTAAACCCGAAACCTTAGAACCTGAACCCTAAACCTTATACCCTATACCCTATACCCTATAGCCCAGACCCTATAGCCCAGACCCAGCACCCCTAAGCCCTAAACCCTAGAACCTGAACCTTAAACCCTCAGCCTTGAAGCCTCCTTGGAGGAGCCCGAAGACGGCGAGGACGAGGAGCTCCTGAAGCCCCTGAAAGCGGCCCCGAAGCTCGGGCGCATCACCTTCAACATGCAGGCCTCTAAAGAATCCCTTAAAGGAACCCTTAAAGGATCCCTTACAGGAACCCGTATAGACGATCCCTTAAAGGAACCCTTAAAGGAACCCTTAAAGGATCCCTTAAAGTTGGGTTTTAGGGTCTTGGGGTTTAGGGGGTTGGGTTTAGGTGTTCAGGGTGCAGACCCTTAAAGGAGCCCTGAACCCTAAACCCTTAACGGGAAGCCCTTCAACGAAAGTTTAGGGAGGGCTTGACATCTACGGTAGTGGCCATTTTTGTTGGTGGTGGGCGGGGGGCCGCGTAGAATGGTGTTCCGGCTTTCACATTTCTGGGAGAAAGGTTTTGACTAAGAGCCAGCCGGGTTCTGCTGGGTATCTAGGGGGTGTTGCAGTTGGTGTTGGCGAGTTGGGGGGTTTGACTTGTGGCGCTTCTGCAGTTTCTCAGTTTAGTAAGGTTTTGCAGATGTTGTCCAGCGTGACGCTACTCAGCTCTTACGGAAGAGTCAGCAACATCACTTCTTTCTTAAAGCCTGAACTTTGAACCTCAAGCCCTGAACTTTGAAGGCGTCAGCTAAACGCTCGGCCCTTGACTCACCCCATGTATGAGGCAGCGTCTTGTGAGGCCAATTTTAGCCACAGTCGGCAGCTACACGATCCAACACCCGGAAAGAACACACCCTATTAGCTCTTATCTCCAGGGAGCGCAGAAAGCCTTAGCGGCCGCCCGCACCAAAGTGCAGGTGGGTGAACTGTGAATGGAAGTGGTTTTCTTGGGGAGTAGAGCCACCACTCAGTAACAGTTGGATGATGCGTATTCATAACACAGATATATCAGGACCTTAATAGTAGCCCTATCATAGACTGCTACTGTATGGGGGGCAGCACCCAAGTTATTCACATGTTGGGGTGCCTTGAAGGTTTTGTGTGTTGTCTTGCAAGGTCGCGGAGGTCTGAAGTCTGAAGCTACGCCGTAGCCCAGAGACTCCAATATCCTTTGATTAAGGGATATACCTTACATGATAGTAGGACCAGTGGGATCCCTAATATGATTTAAGGAATATTCCTTAATTAGGGGATGTTGGAGTCTTTGGGGAATTGAAGCTGCTTGCGCAGCATAGCTTTGTTGCCTGAAGGTTGTGGTGTTCGGGGGAGCCCTAAGCCTTGCTCCTGGGGGGGGATTGGGTGCAGGAAGAGGCCGGAGGACTGACTAAAAGCTCAGTGAATTAGACTCATACAGATGATGACAATTACCTGGCGTTCTTCTGGTTGGCGCTTGGGACTTTATTTTTTTGGGCTTCTATAACCATAATAAGGAGGCGAAAAGTTTAACTTTCAGGAGGGGTTCTGAAGTCAGCCAAGATTATAGTACACTTGGAGGGGTCTGGCATTTGAGGATTTGAGTTTCGGGGTAAGGGACCCAGGGTTCCAAGTGTAGCTCTTGCTCTAAGGACTCAAGGTTAGTATCCACAGCGCTTGTCTCTATGTGGGTGGTTGTCAAAATTATGGTTCCTTAATAAGGACCCAAACAGTTACCCTAATATTGACAACCACCCATGTAGCTGCCAGATGCAGAATGATAGACCTCTTGTTGTCACACGGTGATCCCTGCTCTGACATCCCACAGACTCAACAGGATGTATACTAGAGTATAGCGATATGTAGCTTCCTAGCAGACTTACCTGTTATTCTCCGCTGAACCCGGGAACCCTAAACCATCAACTAACACCCAAAACCCCATCCCTGAACCTCAAGAACCCGAAACCCTGAACCCAAACGTATCTGGCCGTTAAGCAACCTCTCGCGGCGAGGTGCAAAGTGCGGTGGAAGCTGCAAAGGCGAAGCGTAAGGCCCTCAGTGGCAATCTGGGGTCTGAACTTGCGGTTTTAGGTTGCAGTGTCTGAGTGAACATCAGGATCAATAAGAGATGCTCGTATGGCCTGCATTAAAGTCTTATGGCCACACTCAACCCGAAACTCCTCTAGATTGTAGCAAGTGAAAGCAGGAACAGGTTCAGTTTAAGTGAACATATGTCTCTCATCCAAGTGATGGCTTAAGTAAAGCCCTAAACCCCAAAGCGCTACAGCCCAAACCCCGAAATCCAAAATACAAAGGCCAAACCCCGGAATTGCCAAAACCCCTAAAACCTCCAAAGCCCTAAACCTTAAACCCTAAAGCCTAAACCCCGAAGCCCTAGAGCATAAACCCACTGAGGCTTAAATGTGAGAGATGCCTCCACGCAGACCGTCCGAGATCCGGAGCGGCAGGTCAGGCCCTAAGGCGGGTTGAGGCTTGGGTTTCGGGGTTTAGGGTTTGGGGTTTTGGGGTTTAGGGTTAAGTTTAGGGGCTCTAAACCCTAAACCCCTAAACCCTAAACCCTGAAACCCTAAAAAAGTTCAGCGTTTAGGATTTTGGGCCTTCGGGCTTAGGTTTAGGTTTGAATCCTAACTATGGTCTCCATTGTAGTTCCTTATTTTGTATAATCAATCTTATGGTTGGATCTTAGGTTAACCAAAAAAGGAACTACAATGGAGACTATGGGTAAACCCGTGTTTGCGGCCGAGTTGTAAGATCTGGACTTTCAACGTCGGGACAATAGACCTCAAACCTTGGCATTCTCCAATCCTGAAGCGAGATTTGGAGTTATCGGTGTGGGGTTTAATGCAGGAAATGCGAGTTGTTACTTTGGGTTGGGCGGCACATTGAGGTGTGATGTTGTGATGGCCATCGGTTTCGAAACCCTAATTCCCAAAACGCAAAGGCCATACCCTAGACTCCCCAGACGTGGTAAACCCTAAACCCTAAGCCTAAACCCTAAACATTAAAACCCTAAACCCGAAAATACCCTAAAACCCAAAACCCCAAACCCTAAACCCTAAACCCTAAAAAGCTCAACCCTAAACCCTAATCACACCCTGAGCCCGAGAACCTCAACCAACGACTTTAAGGATGGTGGCTTCGAGACCATCTGGCGCCTCCGGCCGCGAGGTGTCTGCCTCAACTCGGGTTCTTAGGGTAATATGGGGGTTTCCGAAAATAGGGGACCCTAATAAAGTACCCTAAATAGTAGGATACGTTATAAGGACCCCAAAATAACGTACCCCCCCCCCAGTTTCGGAAACTCCCATATATAGAGAGGGTTTAGGGCTTAGGGTTTAGGGTATAGAGCTTCGGGTGAACATTCGGGAGTTGTTCTGTGGGTTTGGAAAGGAGTTTCTAGGGTTTGAAGCGCGGGCTTATTCTCACATCGCAGTCATTCAGTTGGCTTGGATGTGGGCTCTGGAACTGGATTGGACGTGCAGACGTTTTGCACTGATCCTGCTGGGCAGTGCAATCATGTATAAGATCAAACTTAAACACAGCAGCAACGCACCGCATCCCACGGCTGCTCGTAAAGCCAAGAACCACAGCAGTGATAAATAATCTACATGATGCTAACACCATGTGTGAATCCCGAGAATAGGGGACCCTGACCCTAACCCCAAATTGTAGCATCCTTGTTATAAGGGTTCCTAAATAAGGTGCCCCCCCCCCCCAATTTTCGGAAACTCCCATGTTGCTTTTCCAGTTATCACCACCCTGAAACCTCTGAGGCTAAACGACTACAGCCCTAACCATGAACACGATGCTTTCATCTGTGTCGGTTCAGGCAACCGAGCTCACAGAGTGTGGAGGTTTGGGATTTATCGGTTTTCGCGCTTAGCTACAAGTGCAGCTGGGCCATGTTACAGCAGCAGAACAGCTGTAAAGTGTCGAGCCTAAACTCCCTCAACCCTCAACTCCTAAACTGGTCCTGAAGGTCCCTAAACCCTAAACCCTAAACCCTAACCCCTAAACCCTAAACCCTAAACCCTAACCCCCAAACCCCTAAACCCCTAAACCCTAACCCCTAAACCCCTAAACCCCTAAACCCCTAAACCCCTAAACCGGTCCTGCAGCCCTGCAGTTCCAGCTGAACCCTTCTCCCGTCAAAATGCACCGAAACCCAGCGTTCCGACGAAGGGATGGAGTCCTTCCCTCACTTCGCAAAGCCCAAGAAGGCGATCTGAGTTTGGGTTTTAGGAAGTTTAGGGCTTAGGGTTTAGGGTTTAGGGGTGTAGGGTTGAGGAAGTTTAGTGTTCGAGCAAGCTTAGGGTTTGCGGTTCGGGGTTTGGGGTTCGTGGTCAGCCATGGGATTCGGGGTTGAGGGTTGGAGCTTAATGGCTTAGGGCTTCAGGGCTTCTTTCTCCGGGGTTTTGGAGTTTGGGCTGTCGGCTAGGTCTTGGAAGGGTCGAGTTAAGGGAGTCTTTTTACAGCTCGTTATGCTATGGCGGCAAGCAGACTTACTGTATACGGTTTCAAGACTCTTTCGGAGTTTGTTCCATGCTGTTTCGGCCACCGGGCGGCAGGCGAAGAAGAGAGGCAAAGACGCCGAGGCTGTGGTGCTGCAGGCGGGGCTTCGCGCTGTTGAGCTTTTAGTGTTTCTAGTGGTTGTATGTCTGTGTTATTTTTTGTGTTTGTGTGTGAATGTGTGTTTGCTTTTGGCGGTCGAGGGCTAGAAAGTGTCGCGAGTGTTTCTGTGGGACCACAATCAGCATCTTCTCGATGACGTCATCCGGGGTCGAGTCCTGCGGAAAGCCTGCTCGGTCGAATGGGGCCCTCCCATAGGGTTTAGGGTTGACGGTTTAGGGCCTTCATATCTACCTATAATACTCTAGGACCCAGAGTAGGCCCTTATTCCCTTTTTTAGGGTTCAGGTTCCCTTATAAGCCCCTTTAAACCAAAAAGGGCACCCTTTTTATTCCTAGGTTACTCTTAGGCCTAGTACTGTTTTGGAGGTTCCTTATTATTATATAACTATAATATAAGGGGCCCCAAGACCTTACCTCCAACTACTGAGGCCCCCCACATATCAATCTGCATCCTACAGTCTAGGGCACTTGAAGGATCATGGGACTTAGTAACTAGGGTTATAATTAGGATAACTATACTTATAACTACTTATAACCCCAATCAAGGTACTTATAACCTTACTTACTAAGTCCAATGATCCTCCAAGCACGGTTTCGGGTTCAGGGTTTTATGTTTCAGACCTCAAGGTTGGAGTTCGCACTCTGTATCAAGGCAGCCATCGCGAACCCATGCCCCCATGTTCAGGTGGCCCTAAATCCTAAACCCAGGGGGTTACATAAACCAAGCTCCCAAACCCGACACTTCCACAGGACGTGGAGGATACGCCAGCAGTGGATCCGCGAGATCCCAGCGAAAGGACCCGCCAAGCCATGATCCCACGGATGTCTTGGATTCATGGGTTCAGCATTGGGTTTAGGCTTCATCGTTCAAGGCAGTTTTTTAACGGGCTGTTGGTTCATGGTCAGGGTAGGGTTTAGGTGTTTAGGGTGCGGGGTGTATTCTCAAGGCGACGCGGTTACCTGACAAATTTCAACACCTGCACCCTAAAGCCTCACACACCCGAGGCTTTATGTTGTGTCTCCAAATTCTCGTCCACAATCCCCATAAAAGTATGCTGAACCCGAAGCCCTAAACCCTAAACCCCTAAACCCTGAACCCTAAATCCTAAACCCTAAACCCTAAACCCTTCAGCTCCGCAGGAAGAGGGCCCGAATTGAGGAGCCCGGTCGGCTGGCGGAGGAAGCGCCGCAAGTCGAGGCGGTTGATCATCGGGTTTGGGGCATTGGAGATCTTGGATTCATAGAGCTTTAGGATTTAGGGGTTTACGGTTGTTGCTCGTCGTGTTAGGGGTTGCTGAGATTTGACCAGGGTTTAGGGTTTTGGTTTGGGGTTTAGGGTTTTAGGGTTCAGAGTTTAGGGTTTCATTGGGTTTGGGGCTTTGGAGATCTTGGATTCGTGGAGCTTTAGGGTTTACGGTTTAGGGCTGAGGATTTAGGGTTTAGGGTTCAGTGTTGAGGACTTAGGGTTTAGGATATATGGTTTAGGGTTGAGGATTTAGGGGTGAGAGCTTTTCGGATTTTTGTTTTGGACCGATCTGCATGGGTCTGTAGGTCCGTGTAATGTATCCGTGCGCCACTGCATGTACATATATAGTCACGTCCCCAGAGTCTTTACCGGAACTGAGTACCAGTACATGTGCAGGCGCGCACACACCCACACCAAGATACATCCTCGACCACCTGCGACTTCCGTCTATCCGATCATCCATCCACCTTAAAGCCTAAACCCTAAACCCTAAACCGTAACCCCAAACCCTAACATCCACAGAATTGCATAAGCCCGCGTAGTAGTGGTAGGTAGATACATGGGAGGCTGGCAGCCCTCCCGGCCGAGCTATGCTAGGAGAAATAGACTATGAAGCCCAGTAGTACCCTTATTCCCTTTTTGCAGTCCTAGGTTCCTTAGAAAGTTACCCATTACTAAAAAGAGAGGCCTTTTTATTCTTAGGTTGCTGGGTATCCTAGTAGAAGCTACACTTCCACTTCTAGGTTCAGGGTTTTCTGGGCTTAATTAGGCTATACGGTTTAGGGTTAGGGGTTAAGGGGTTTGGGTGTTTAGGGTTTAGGGGCTTAAGGGTTTTGGATTTAGGGATATTTAGGTTTTAGCATTTAGGGTTTAGGGGTGTTTCGATTGTACAGGATAGCGTTGGGTGTAGGTATAGGGATTGGTCCTGACGCCGCGAATCAGTGAACGCCAACACCCCTAAACTCTTCATGCCCTAACCCTAAAACGCTACACTGCACACCCCTAAACCCTAAACCCTGGAACTTTATTAACCTTGAACCCTAAACCCTAAACTCTGGAACCCTACACCCGACAAGCTCTTCCAGGAGATCGGCGAGGGGCCCGCCGTCGATCCTCGAGAGCCAGTCGAAAGGAGCTTTGCTCTTGCGGCCATGTCTCCCAGTCCCCGTTTAGGGGTTTGGGGTTTAGGGGTTCAGATTTAGGGCTTAGGGGTTTAGTTTTTAGCGGTTTAGGGCTTAGGAGGTGTCTTATGACAATTCTGATGGTGCAGCTGCTTTTTGATCGATGTGTGAAGACGCATTGACTTTGTTTTAGAGTGACGAAGGTTCTATTAACTTATGCTGCTGAGGTCCAAACCCTCAACCCTATACCTACGACCTAAACCCTACAAGCCCCAATCCTAAAGCCTACTTAAGAGCTAGAGCCCTAAAGCTGTGAAGCCCTCAAGAATCTAGACCTCTACCCTAAACGCTCAGCCCCAAAACCTTAAACCCTAAACCCTATAGATCCCTTTGAGGGACCCCTTATAGTTCCCGTTAAAGGAACCCCTAAACCCCTAAGCTCCGTCCCCCCAAAAGCACAGGACGGTGGCCCTGGCCGACGCGCCCGCGGCCGAGGAGGGGAAGCCGGAGGCTCCCGAGGCGCAGGCCATCCGAACTCCTACGGCTGATGGACTCATGGACAAAATCCCTTTATAAGGAATATACCATAATTCCCATAGTTTAGGGTCCTTAGGGTCATGCAGGATTTTGTCCATCAACAGTACTCTAGTGAATCCCAGAAAGTTGGAACATGGGTTTAGGGGATTCCCCAAACTCTACTTTAAGGGCATGAGGCTACTGATGTTCCAACTTTCTGGGTTCTACTGTAAGGGTTTGGGAGTTGAAGGGTTAAGGGTTTTGGGGATTGGGGTTTTAGGGGTTAGGGGTTTCGGGTTTAGGGTTTTAGGGATTGGGGTTTTAGGGGTTAAGGGTTTTAGAGGTTAGGGGTTTAGGGTTTAGGGTATCGGAGTTGAGGGGTTCACGGTTTAGGGTTTCGAAGTTGAGGGGTTTACGGTAGGGGTATAGGGTTTTAGTGATGTAGGAGTTTCGGGTTTAGGGGTGTAGCGGTTTAGGGGTTTATGGTTTAGGGATTTAGGGGTCTCGTGTCTAGGGGTTCCCTTTAAAGGGATTTATAAGGAGCCCTTTAAGGGAATCTGTATGGGCTTCGGCTTTCGGTTGTATAGGGTTTACGGGTTTAGGGGTTTAGGAGTTTTAAGGTTTCGGATTTAAGGTTTAGGAGTTCATTGGTTGAGGAGTTTGGGGTTAAAACTAGGTAGGGCTTTGGGACATTTTATATTTTCCCTTATTGGGCTTAATAGGATCCTATTTACTAATATTTGTCAAAGGCTTTAACAGCCCCACCTAGAAAAGGTTTAGGGGTCTGGGGCATGCTTTCTGCTCACATACGTGCCTTTCCATTTTTAATTGGTTCACTGGGGTGCGATCTTGTTTTTTGCACTGTTGTTAGAGGGGTCCGCCAGTGTAACAGTGATTCCTTATTTTGGGATTCTTTTCCCCACATCATCTTCGAGAGCTACCCAAAAGTCCCGAACCTCAGCCCACGACTGCAGGCTAGCAGCCTAATCAAGGCCTGGATCCCTCGACCTTAGCGGCCCTTGCAGCCTTCGAAACAAATCCCAAAGCCTTAAACGCTTGTGACACGCAGGCCTACTCCCCAAACGGCCTTAACCTGAATCCTACACCCTGCAATAACTCCCTACTCAGGCCGCAAAGCCCACTGTAGAACGCAGCGCGCTGACCCTGGCAAGAACTCACACCCAGCAGACCAATCACAAGGCTGCGCCTGGTCTCGACGCAAGCATCCGGGAAGTGCAGGCACCGGAGGCCGCCACTCGCTACTGTACTTGCTTGGATAGCCGTTGAGGCATGGGGTTAAACTTGTAGCCAGGGTTCGGGGCCTTAAGGCGCGAAACAGCCGCACCCTCATAGTACGCCCAGGCTCAATTGAAAATCTTTCAACCTGATTGCACATGTAGCTGCGCAGTTCAGAAGACCTTGTAGCAAGTCGACGTAACTCTGCCACACCTTGCGAATCTAAGTCTCGGTTGCCAGGATGGAAGGTCAGATATGTTCAGCCGAATGCATCCAGGAGTGGTCACTCTCCGGGCCTTTTCATGCCACTGTGGCTTTGTTCGATTATTCACCCTCGACGGAGGCTGATGTAGCGCTCCGACTGTCCTCAGATCATGCGTTGGAAGGCTTCTCGGATAGCACAGCAGCTTTCGGCAGGTTTTGGGCTCAGAAAGCACGCGCTGCAAAGCTCAACAACCGAATCTGTCCCGCACGGCGCTGTCACTTCGAATCTCCACCCTTAGTGGCTCGACCTTGACAACAATATCTGCTGACGCAGACACAACGCTCCGAGATATCCGGAGGAAGGCAGAGATCGCCTCAAAGGTATTCATCGGCCATCTCGTGTCTGAACATGCAGGACTCATGGACGAGAGCCAGACTGCTTCGGATTTGAACCTCCGGGATGGGGATAATTACGTTGCAGGCTGTCGCAGCACATTTGACAGACGCTCAGAAGATTGATGCCATTATTGGACAGGAGCAGAGGAATCCTGATTTTAAAGATTGGGACTCGCCGCGCAGTCTTTGTTCGGCTGAGTCCGGCGACTTTGTTATCATCAGTTCGCACTGCCACGAATCAGGTGAAACAGCCGGATCGCTGTACCATCTCCCTTCTTGGAACCCTGGGGTTTGCTGCTTGCTTCGTGCGCGTCAAGAACTACGTGTCAAATATGGGTGCGATTTGTTGAAGTTTGTTGAACCCGATCGTGATGAGATAGAAATCAACTGGGGTGTTTGCTATGGGAAAGCAAAGGTCAAGCTGGCCGTTTATGAAAGAATAATAGCCCTCGCTTCCTCCCAGGGCCTGCATTTCGCAGACATCATGAAATGGGTCCACCAGGTTCAGGAGCAGCTTTGTGACTCGATACGCCAGGAATTCCATGTCGTACTCCTGCAGGATTTCAACCACTCTGGGGATTGGATTAGCGTCAGCATTATGGGTACGAAGCGAAAAGGACGTTATGTGCCACGAACCCACTGGCTGGATGTTACAATGGTTGACAGGATCTACCATTGCCCACCTTTTGCGGACACAGAGGCAGCGCACGCCGAACAAATTGCATCATTTGTTCATATTCGTGGACCTGGCGGGCGCGTAAAGGAGATCCCGGGCCTTGCTTTGGGAGACGCGGGTCAGTACCATTCTCTGGTGCGTCAGGTTGACTGTCAAGGCGCATGTTGCAGTGTGATTGACTCCACAGTCGTAGCTACACGTGAGCTTGCCAGCTTGTTGCATGAATGAAGGTCAGATATGCCGAAAGCATGCCATCGCAGCATGCAGTTGCAAATTTGGCCTCCATGCCTTTGTTGGACCATGCTCTGGAGGCACCAACAGGGTGCTCTCGTTTTGTATGCACGATCTGAACAGCTGCATCACTGCTGCCTGGAATGTCCCGGTGCAAGTGGGGCAACTCATGGTTGGAACAGCAAGTCACGGCAAGTTACACAGACGCCTGTTGAAAGTCTGGCATTGGCACAGTAATGGCAGAGAAGAAGATTGCAAAAGGATTTTTGAAGCCCTCCATGCTCCTCTTGCAGTTTCTGCGCATTTCGTCGCGAAGCCCCGAAGGAAAAGTTTGAACCGAAAACCCCAAACACCGAAACCTGAACCCTGAGCCGAAGCCCCCGAAGCCCCAAACCGTAAGCCGTAAGCTCTCGCCTCGACCATGCAGGCCCCAGAGCCTGCGGTGATGAACGCACAGGTGCTAGGCCCGGGGCGGGCCGCGGATCCTGAGAGGGTTTAGGGTTTTAGGGTTTAGGGTGTAGGGTTGAGAGCTTAGGGTTTAGGGGTTTAGTGGGACTAGGGTTTAGGGGTTTAGGGTTTAGGGTGTATACGGGTTTAGGGCTCAGGATTATAGGATTTTAGGGCTCACATGTAGTTGAGTGAGTGTGTGTGTGTGTGTGCGTATGTGCACGTGTGTCTACGCAGATAAAACAGCAAAGACCCACATACATATGTGTGCCATTCATGACAGTAATACGCCACATACTGCACCGGCGGAAAGCGCTGCTTTCTATCTGTTATACCTATCTTGAATCTGTCTTCTATCCTATGTTATTCTATCAGACTGTTTGACGAGCTGTCTATCTTGCTGTATGTCCATCTGCCTATCTGTCTCTCCGTTCATCTGTCGGTCAACCTGTCTTTCTAGCATTCTATCTATTCATCCGTCTGTGTCCTATCTACCTATCTATCTATCTACCATTTCTACGTATCTACCTACATACATACATTGCATACATACATACAGAAAAGTGCGAGCGATGCATAAACCATATGTGCCATCGGGCATACATACGTACCTGCGGGCGGACCGGCATAAAGGGATCCTTGTTTAGGATTTGTTGGCATTTAGGGTCGGTGTTGGGTTGGCACGGTTTGCCGATGCATAATATTCAAGGGTCGGCCATGATGTGGCATGGTGTGTTTTTGCTACTGACAGTTTCAGAGCCTGCACACAAGTCTGGGTTTCAAGCCTGCAGTTGAGGGCTTGCAGGAAGTGCATCGGTTCACTGCAGTTTGGACGCCTCTTCGCGGTTCACTTTGGGTCTTCCTGATGCCCAGTGCACCTACGCACCGTGCCAAAGCCCGAACCCCAACAAAATCCAACACTTGCTGCCAGCGCCCGCCGAAGCTCCTCGTTTGCTAGGCTACCCTGCTTTAGATGGGCATTTCCCTCAACTAATCTTGAACCCTTCCACCCTCAGCTGAGCCACGAGAAACCCTGATTCCTTAGCCCTAGCTCGGACGTTTTCACCCTAAGCCCCACACCCTGAAACACTCGAGCTCCAAAGCCTGTAACCATAAACCCTAAACCCTAAACCCCTAAACCCCTAAACCCAAAACCCCTAAACCCCTCAACCCTTAAACCCCTAAGCCCTAAACCCTAAACCCCTAAACCCAAAACCCGAAACCGTAAACCTTAAACCCAAAACCCTAAAGCCTCAATATCTCCGACCCAGATGATGATGATGATGCCGAGCTCAGCGGAGGCCACAACAAGTTTGGGAGTCTAGCGCCCTAAGGTTCCAGAATAGGCGTACCCAGAGATCCCAATACCCCCTTAATTAAGGAATATACCTTAAATGTTAAGGTATATTCCTTAATTAAGGGGTGTTGGGATCTCTGGGTATAGGGTTTTCGACAGGTTCCAGAGCGACTTGAAAGGTTTCAGGGTTCAGGGCTCCGTTAAGGGGCTGGTTTGGGTTCGGGAAACCCTAAACCCTAATTAAGGGGAATCCCTGTGAATCCCTCGGATGTAGTTCCGCCTGGAAATCTATGACTTGGAGGCGCAAGCGGGTTTAGGACTGCGGTTTTGCGTCTCAGGACTCTGGGTTGAGGTTCATGGTGTGTGCTTTTTCATGCAGACTCCTCTGATCACCCCTTGAAATACCACACGGATTACATAAGGGTCCGCAGCGAGGGAGGTGCCATTGTAAGGCTGCTGAGGGTTCATGATTCTTGGGGGCTTGGAGCCAAGAGTTTGAGACTTGGGTGATTTTTGGTGGTTTTGGGCTTCAGGGCCTCTGGGTCTGCGCATGGCAGGTGAAGCACAATGTGACCCATATCTGGCGTTTGATGATGATGAAGAGCTTCTGCCAGAGACGGGGTGATTCACCAAGAGCAGCGGACTAACTGGACTTAACCCGAAGCCTTCAAGCCCCGCAGCCCTCAACCAAGCGTCCCGAAACCCTTCATGCAGCCACACAGCCTCGCAGCTTTGGCAAGAGAATTCGAGCTCGGCTGACGCCAGCGCGGCGTTTTCCTTCTGAGGAGCCTGAGCCACCCCAGGCGCCGGAGGGCCAACAATCCCTCACCTTAATGTAGGGGCCTCAATGACTACCAATACACTTCTTTAGGGGGGCCTTGTTATGTTTATAGTATAATATACCCTAAAACCCTATTCTAATTCTTAAGGCCCCTATATTAACCATGTCCTGTCACTGACATGACCTGTTCTCTCCTTTTGAAGGGTTTTTGTTTGAACTTCTTAATTACGGTTGGCTTTATTGTAAAGCGGAAGCTCATGATCGTCTACGGCTAAACACGCACTACTTGGGGTTGAGGGTTGATCCGTCAAAAGTCAAAAGTCTAGATTCGGGGCATGACGCACCCCCCTAAGACCTATACTCCAGGGTCTAGCCCAATGTTTACCTGGACCCCAAAGGTATGTAGAAAACTAGCCTTTTATAGGTTTTGGGCAATTATTTTATCTACTTTTGGTGTTAATTTTAGGGTCCCCGAAGACCCAAAACCCTAACACCTGGACGCTTTAAAAGGCCCTTAGCTCTCCCGAGGCTCGAAAGCACATCAACCCTCCTGGTACCACGACCCTCCTTGTACCCTCAAATAGGGGTATAAGGTCCCAAATCAGGGGCATTTGGGGTCTAATAGAGGGTAGATGGAGGGTCTAGGTAGAATTTTCGGTTTAGGGTTCAGGGTCTGCAAACAGCGCTATGTTCCAGTTGGCTCCCTACTGTAGCAGCATCGACGGCGTCTGTTCTTGCCGGTCCGACGTGAGACTTACAGCGCTCCCTGGGAGAAAGGACTTGCGAAATTCTAAACCATTCTAGTTGTCAAGATTATGCCCGTAAATGCCAACAACTTACGTCGTCACCCGTAAACCCTTCACCCGAAGCTCCTGAACCTTGAACCTTAAACCCCAAAGCCCCTAAACCCCTAAAGCCCTATAATAAGCCTCTGAACTCATAAACCCCTCAGCCCCAAACCCCTAATTCGTAAACCTGCAACAGTCTAAACATAGAAGCCTGAATAAGTAGCAATACCATTCCGTAAGGTTCGTTCTCATAACCATAATATACTGTACCGCAAAGCCTTATTCGAAGTATCAAGGCTCCTATATCCTACGCCTAAACCCTAAACTCCTAAACCCGAGTCAATCCAGTGACCCTGAACCCATACCCTAAGGCTCAAAATGGCCCAAAAGCCTTATATAGTATGGTCTTTGGGGACAAAAGCCTTAAAATATGAGTCCTTATAGAGCCTAAGGGATAACGATTAAACCCCAAAACCCTGAACTCCAAAACCCCTAGAACCCTAAAGTTCCCACAGCTTGTCTAGCGATCGTCTGGCAGACCCACGGCAGATGATGAGCAATCTAAAACCCTGAACCCTAAACCCTAAACGAAGGGGCAAAAGCGCCTCATAGATCTTCAGCAAACAGAGGGCTCATGAATCAGGGTCCGCATGAAGCTCTGCCTAGCCTCCACCCTCAACCTCGGGATTTGGAGGGAACTGTATGACGGGTTTCACGATTCTTTGTTTCGTGGGTTTAGGGTCCTAAACCCTTAAACCCTAAACCCCTAAGCCCTCAACCCTAAACCCTAAACTGCACAAGCCTGATGTCTTGGACCTCGGCACTCCGGATCAAGTCGTACAGGCAGCCTAGCCGTAGACTCTGCGAGTGACGTGACCGCAGCTTGTCATCTTCGGCCGCAGAAGGCGGGCAGCAACAGCATTATAGTATCATTTTGGTAGTATTACAGTATCATTTTGGTAGTATTACAGTATCATTATGGTATTATTACAGTATTATTACAGTATTATTACAGTATTATTATAGGATTTTATAGTATTATTCTAGTATTATTATAGTATGGGAGAGTTTTGAAGCTTTCCCGGGTTCCGAGGCTTTGGCCTAAGGATCGGCGTTTGAATAAGATTGGGGTCTAGGACTCAGGGTGTAGGGTTTAGGGCTTAGGGTCTAGGACTCAGGGTGAAGGGTTTAGGGTTTAGGACTCAGGGTGTAGGGTTTAGGGTCTAGGACAGGACTCAGGGTGTAGGGTTCGCGATATCGCGCCTTGAGGTTTTTGGGCTGTAGGTAAACATCAGCAGTACAACAGCATCATCATCTTCCTCGGCGTCATCGCAGCTGCTTAACATCAGCAGACACTATCCAGCCCTGAAGCAGAACTTCAAATCCAAAAGCCTCGGCTAACCTCGACATTGCAATAGAAACAGTATCTTCAAAACCCCAAATGCGTCTTAAACCCCGGAACATCTAAACTAAACTCGAAACAATGCCCACCCAAGCCCTAAACCCAAAATTTCCCAGACAAACCGAAGGTGCAACTGCCCCGAAACGCTGGCCCCGCACGGTCCTGAACTAGCCTCCCCCGCACGGCAAGAATCCGATACAGATCAAAACGAAGTTTCAAGTTGGAGCCTAAAGCCGACATCCTCACCGTAGGCTCCTACATGCCAGACACCGCACAGTACTTCCTAAACTCCGCATCTAAGGCCTACACCTCAAATCTTTTATTATAACATCAAAGTAGTGGCATGAATTATTGTTGTTACTATTGTCATTGTAATATTGATTGTTATGATTTGAAGATAAAGAGGTGCCTTCGATGGCGCGGTTTCTCTGGGTCGGCGTCCTTACGTGGACGCTAGCGCCGCCCGCGCGTGCCCTCGCGCCCCTCCAGGCCAATCTCGAAGGCTTGCAAGAGCCACGGTTTCAGACAAAGATTCTTTTCAAGGGAGTTTTGTGAGGGTTGCATATATCTGTGTATGGGTAATTACATGTGTGTGTATATACATATATATATGTGTATGTGCGTGCATACGCAGTTACGAATATGAATATGAAGATCTGAGTATGAGTATCAGCAAATATAATATGGAGACCATAAGTATGATTTTGAACGCATGCATGTATGCGTATACACATAATTACACATACATACATACATACATACATGCATGCATTCACACGCACACACCGACACATGCACATGTATGTGTATATATATGTACACATACATATATCTGTGTACATACATTTACTTGTATAGCATTGGGTTTCATACCGTGGTCATACGTTCATTTAGATGGGTTTCGGTTTCAGATGTTGGGGTTGCCTCAGACGTTCTCAGTTCTTGTGACCCCGATGGATGGGGCTACTTCAGTTCCACAACCCTCAACCCAAAGCCTAAAGCCCGAAATAATCAACCCTAACCTCTACACTCTAAACCCACAAAGCCTAAAACCCTACTTACTAAACCCACAAACCCTAAACCCCTACTTACTAAACCCATAAACCCTAAACCCCTGCTTACTACACCATCAACCCTAAACCCCGACTTACTAAACCCTAAACCCTAAACCCCTACTTACTAAACCCTAAACCCTAAACCCTACTTACTAAACCCTAAACCCTAAACCCCTACTTACTAAACCCTAAACCCTAAACCCTAAACCCTAAACCCATAGCCAAGGAGAAGGCCGGTGCGGATCCCTTCATCACCTACTACCCAGATGCTGGGTTGTGCTTTGGGAATAGTTTTTAATTTCCCCTTATTTCCTTATAAAGCACGGTTTAGGGGTTTAGAGTTTAGGGGTTTAGGGGTTTAGGGTTTAGGGTTTCGTACATAATTTTCAAAGGGTTTACAGCACAACCCAGGATGAGCCGCAGCACACGGCGCACTACTGCACCCCACTTGAGGCGCCCGAGAACAAGAAGTGCACTGCCCAGGTGGGTGGGTTTAGGGTTTAGGGGTTTAGGGTTTAGGGTTTTGGTGAGTGAAGAGCTCAGGGGGTCAAGGGCTTCTGGATTCTGGTTTGAGGTTGCAGGTTGAGTGTTGCGGTGTCTCTCCGTCGGGTGTGTGGGGTGGGGGCCAGACTAGGCATCGTGAGGGTTTAGGGTTTAGGGTAATTATGGTACCCGAAATAATAGGTGCCGTAGTAGAATAGGGACCCCAAAAAGGGACCATAATACTTTCGACAACCCTTCAGGTGAAGTGGGCATTCTCGCAGACGAACTCAACTTCGAAGAAGGCAAAGGATTTCTTGGACGAGGTGCGCTTCAGCATGAGGAAGTATGGGAACGTGGCGCCCGAGAATCTTACCGTTGGTTAGTAGGGAATGGAAGAATGGTAGTAATAGTAGTTATTGTACCCCATTCCTCCATTCTCTACTTGGCGTTTTTTTGGTTGGCTCTTTAGACTTTAATTTTTTGGGTTTCTATATGAACTATAATAAGGAGGCTAAAAGTTTAACTTTTAGGAGGGGTTCAGAAGTCAGCCAAGTCTAGTAACCAACGGCAAGGAATGCCACCTTGGACGACTTCCAGAAGCTCTACTGGTGCGCGCCTCCGAAAGGCAACCTGTCACAGGAGTGTGGGGCGCCTCCTTGCAACTCGGTAACAAACTTTGGCGATCCTTCCTTAGAGCCCTGAAACCCTGCCGATGTCTCTGGAGCTTGATTCGTATCGGCTACATAGTTGGGTTGTTAGTCTTCCTAGGAAAGTTTTCCCACCATTTTCCTGCTAAGAATTTCAGTCAATTCGAAAGCCTTGAAGCCCGGGCCAGATGGCAACTCCGAGCCGCCTACAAAAGAACTTGAATAACACCTATACTATTTTGGGGTTTCCTTAAACTAAAAATAGTACCATGGGCCCCAAAACCCAATTCCAATCATTAAGGCCCCAATATTAATAATGTAGGGGCCGAGCTCAGGCAACTGCACCTATCCGCCATGCCACATGTGCCTTTTCCCGGAGCGACCGCGAAATTGCACGGCAGAGTCCAAGGATTGCAGGGTAGTAGCGGGTTGCGGGGTGGTAAGGTTTGGGTAGATGCTTTACACCTCAGACCCTAAATCCTAAACTCCCTAAACCCTAAAAGAGCCATGAAAAAAAACTTAACTTCAGGATGAGGGGTTCCAGGGCCTATATACTAGGACAGCTGACAAAAGCACGGACGTCATCGCATGAAGTCTGCAGATAGGGTATGTTGCATAGTGACTACGTAGAGCCACGTTGATGATCCGTGCTGTGTCTTAGGCCAGTTTAAAAACCCAGCAAGTAAACCCTAAATTCCCTAAAGGCACCCAGTCCTGAGCACCAACAGCCCCAAACAAAGCCCGTAAAGCGTAGCGATGATGAGCCGCTGTACCGAAGGACATTCGGTGCAAGCCGCCGAAGAAGGCCATGGACTACAACGGCATGCAGTGGCCCCTCGTGACTGGGACTCCTTCCTCGCTTTTTGCCCATACTTTCCAAATTAAGGTGAGGGTTAAGTTCCTGAATTACGGGCATATTTAAGGTGTACTTCAGGGCATTGGGTAGGGGGGGGGTCGACATTGGGGTTTATGGGTACAAGAGTGGGGAAATTTGCAAGACGCTTCAGGCTTGAGGGTGGACAGGACGTTCTGTGAGGACCGGGACACTGTTTCGTTGTTGGCAATGTGAAAAATGCAGTCGCTATATTCATAAGAGGACCTCTGGATAAGCAGAAGCCCTAACCCTGAAACCCTGAAACCCTGAAGCCCTAAACCCTGGGTCGTGCATGGTTGCTGTCTTAAGCTCAGTCGTGTGTTTGATCTAGGGAGTGGGTGAGCAATGTGTAATCATAAACTGTATGTATATACAGTATAGACATATACACGCACATATATATATATATATATATATATATATATGTACATTTATTTATTTATTTGTTTATATTTATATTTATATGTACATATGAACACACACAGATATATATATATATATATATGTCTACCTATCTATATATATATATATATATAATCAAAGCACAGACTACCAACACTTATACATATCGCCAGCCGAGGTCAAGATCGCTACGCCGCCTCCATACCACATCTTCGCCATCGGCGCCCTGGTCGGAACTTCATACCGGGGGCTTTAGACTTGGAATTTGGGTGCCTTTGAGGCTTCCTTTAAGGGATCTATACCAAAGTGGTCTTTCAGAAGTAGACCAGGCCTTGGGGGTATATTGCCCAACACTTCTTATAAGAATTGTTATGTATTTAGGCTTCCCTAGACCCCCCATCTACCCTCTATTAGACCCTAAATGCCCCTTATTTGGGACCATATACCCCTATTTGAGGGTACAAGGAGGGTCCTGGTTTAGGCTTCTGAAATGTAGGTGGCTGGCGATGTGCGGACCGAGGTGGTGGCAATATGCCAAGCTAGGGGCTTCCAGTCCTCTACCCATCGTTTAGCCAAATGGGTGGCTGTCAAAATTACGGCCCCTTTTGGGGTACCCTAAACAAGAGGTGCCGTACTGTAATAGGTACCCAAAAAGGGACCATAATTTTGACAACCACCCAAATGTCAAGCGGCACGCCAGAGACTGGCAAAGGCCTTCAAACGTGCCCTTTTACTCGCGTCCGCCCCTGCAATTAGTGCAGTCCGCGTCTCTCCTCGGTCTCCTATCCAATCTGGTGTTGGGGTACATGTAACAAGCTGTAATGAGGCTGCTAAGATCTAATCGCCCTATAACCCTGAGCCTAATATCCGGGCCAGGGAACACAGCAACCAGGTCAAACTTCTAGCTAACACACCTGTTCACAGTTGGGCGATGTGCATAGAGGTGATAGTAGGTCCCTTCGTGCTGGGACTTATTCAGAGACGACAAGCAGCTTTTCATCAAGTAAGATGACCTAATCTTAGATCCCCAATTCCTACCTTTAAAATTTTCTGGCTCTTCTAGTTTAGTAGGAATCGGAAAGTTTAACCTTTTATTTCGGTGGCTTATTGGGGTAGTAAGTAATTAAGTCACCTTGAAGCACATCAAGACTCCTTTCATAACGCAGGTGTATTCCTTAAGCAAGGGGCTTGGAGTCTCCGGGTAGCCATCCGTTTGAACTCCGGTTTAGTTTTTATCCAAGGGTAAAAGGAGGGACCCTTCTTAAGGACCCCTGGCTATATACCCTTAATATGTAGGGGTCCCCATTAAGGGTCCCTCCTTTTCCCCCCTTTGAGTTCAGGGTAGTTGCCCGGATGCAATGTGTGTGTTGGCGTTCAGGCCTCCTCTTCTTGCATTGCACTCGGTGTTACTTTCCCCCCTCCCTCCTGCCGGGAAACAAGCTTTGCATCAGCGAAGGCCACCTACTTATAGTTAGTGCAATATGCTGTTTCCGAAAATTAGAGGTATCTCATTCTTGAGGGTCCTTATAATAAGGATCCTACTATTTAGGGGACTTTTTTAGGGTCCCCTGTTTTCGGATACTCCCATCTGGGACCGCCCTCAACCCCAAAGCCTAAACCCTCAAGGTGACTGGGGTGGCATGGACACCATGCTCAAGCCTGTCGAGGGCCGTGACCCGCTGATGCCCTGGTGGGGGTATGGACTGCCAAAGCCAGGCTGGATGTGGAGTCTGTTGGAAAGGTCCGGGAAGAAGCCAAGAAGGGAGCCAACTTGATGGCTGTTTGGAATTCGACACACACACACACACACAAGCACGCGAAGACTGTAATTTTGGGCCCTGAACCCCAACCCTGAATCGAGCCCGAAACCATTACGAGTTTTGCAAAACCGGGGGGGGGTCCTGTACTAGGGATCGATGTATGAAGGATCCCTAAATGTGGGTTGCGGGCTTCAGCTAGGGGATTTCGGGTCCAGCATCTTTCGTGACGTTATCATTACTCATCCGCATCACCAGTAGTTAATACTTACTGTTGTTATCTAGGATACCCAGTATTACCCTTTTTCCCTTTTTGTAGTTCTAGGTTCCTTATACCGTTACCCAATACCAAAAAGGGAGCCCTTTTATTCCTAGGTTACTGGGCATCGTAGTCATGGTGTTTATAATGGTTGGTCCTCCTGGGTCGAGCACTACTACTGGTGCTGTTGAAGAGCAGTGCAGAGAAGCACCTCTTCGCTCTTGTCCGTGAGGCCCCACGCCCTTCCCGCGGACTCGCTGGAACAAGAACCACGACTTCATGATGTGCAATCATGAGCAGTTGCCGGGTCCGCAGTTGGCGATCAACTTAGTGCAAGTTCTGTTTCCTGCTCTCTCGCTCTCTGTCTTTCTCCTCTCGCGCTCTCTCTCTCTCTCTCTCTCTCTTTCTCTTTCTCTCCCTCCCGAGAGTTGCCACTGCTACCCTGAACCCTTAAACCCCAGTCCCAAAGCCCCGAACCCCTGAACCCCTTAAACTCCAAAGTGGGTGCCGAGAAGATCCCAGGTTTCTCAAAACAACCCAGGTTTTCGGGCTCCTGTTAAGTTACTTACCATAACAGGGACCCATAGTGAAGAATGGGGTTTCCTCATTATGGCAACTTAACTTAAATTCCTCAAAAGGAACCCAGAAAAAGAGCCCAGGTTTCTGAACTGCTACAAGACATGGGGGACGTGGGGCTGTCCTGCCGGCTGTGGCTTTGACAAGCTCCTCGGAGAAGCTGATATTGGGTCCTGAATAATTACCGAGACTATGTTTGAAGGCTCTTTTCATAACTAATTAACCCTAAACCCTAAACCCTAAACCCTAAACCAATTATAGTATAATGGGCCCCTAAACCTTACAATTATTGAGAAGGCCCCTATCTGAAAGACGTCGGCTGGGGAGCAGTTCCTGATTTAGGATCCGCCTTACCGGGAGAACTTCATAGAAACGTGCGGGTCATAGCAATTGCCGCGCGAAGCCCTTATACCCGCAAGGCTTGAGTAGGGTTTTCAGGTTCAGAATCTTCGGCTTGAGGGTTTCACCTTGAACTCATTTTTGAGCTTTGGGCTGAGGGTTCAGGTTGAGGCGCAAGCAAAACTCTTAAAGCCTAAAGCCCCAAAGCCCTAAACCCCTAAACCCTAAAACTCTTTAACACTAAAGCCCCAACGACCCAAGCCCTGAAGTCAAAAGCCTAACGCCCTGCCTTAACCGCAAACCCTAATATGGGGGCCTTAATAATTGCAATGGGGTTTTGGAGCCCATTGTACTATAAGTATATAGTAAGGAGCCCCCCCCCAAAATTGTATAGGGGTTCACTAAGGTCCCTAAACCCTAAACCCTCAACCGTCCCTATATCAACCAAACCCTAGAGCCTAAAATCGCCCCGAAACTGAGGCAGGTTGACACGCAGCCGCAGCAGTTGGTTGCGAAGGTGTTGAAGAAGCGAGCAGAGCTAAAGCACCCAGTGGCCATTTTGAACCTTGTTGCTAATACGGTTCTACCAGGGTTTTATGCCGATTTTGCAATGGGGTTGAGGGGTTCAGTGCTTCTTAACGTTTAGGGATGATGTTCCGTTTTGTTGCTTAAGGGCTTCCTAAAATGTTGAAAGAGAACAAAGGAACGCATCTTTTATTTCGCTACCAACATGGACCGAGGAATGTGGGCGACAACTTCTACTGGGGAGGCGGGATGCAAAATCACTTCTGTCGGCGAGTCGGGCTGACAGGGGCTTTTAAGGATTCAGGGGTTGAAGGAAAGTCTTTACATCAGGGTTTGTAGGGACAGACAGGCCCTGCGTTCGATTAACCTTAGTCTTAGACGCATGTTGAGCTTCGGGTTCATATAGGGTGTGGACTTGGCATCAGGGAGTTCAGCCTGTCTTGGGGCTGATTGGGCTTCAGAGTTGTGGCGTTTCGGGGCCTGGGTAGGGTCGCACAGGTGGACCCACCTTGACTCGAACCCGGAACCGAAAAAGTGGTGCATTACACACTTGGGGATTAAGTTCTGACCACAAAAAGGAACTACTATGCGGCCTTAGGGTACTGCACACCACCGACCACTGGCCTTTTGTCCACTTTTTCATTCAAGGAGGTAGAACCTTGAATGTCAACTTGGGTCTTCTCATGAAACTTCTCCTAAACCCGAAACCCTAGGGGGGGATGAAGACGGCGGCTGCAACTTTGCTCATAGAAATTGTCAAGGGGTTCTGGGATTTTAGGCCATAGCGCAGACAGCAGACCCTAAACACCAAACGCAGTGTATCATACCCGAAGCTGCAGGGGTGTGAAGGGTTTAGTTGTCTTTTGTCAAGGGTGTCGGGTTTTGGAGCTTTAGGTTTACATGCTGTTTATGATATAAATGCTGCATTACCCGAAGGACCCTAAACTATGGGAATTATGGTACATTCCTTATTATGGTTGATGCAGGATTTATATCATCAGCCGTGGGTTGTAGGATGTAGGCCCCAGGCATCGAGAAGACTTGCGGACACCCCATGGATGAGCTCTCGTACACCGCGGCGCACCAGTTCGACCAAATCTTCGAGAGCGTTTACAATGGTCCGGGAATCGCTCCTCCGTCGAGTTTACTATAGTCTTCTCAGGAATTATTTTTTCATATAACCCAAGAGATTATTGAACATGCTATTTTTTAATATGTTAAGGGGGATATAGTTTAGGGGTTTGGGTTCAGGGTTTAGGGTTGAAGGGTCTGAGGTTCAGGGTTTAGGGTTGAAGGGTGTGAGGTTAAGGGCTTAGGGTTTGTATTCGCATTCCATGGTGCGTAAAAACCTGCCGATCGCTTTTGAATGCAATTTGTTAGCTTGAAATGGGATCCCTGAACAGCGAATCCTCCTTCTTAAGGACCGGTTAAGTTGCCTTACGCAGGAACCCCTATACAATTTGATGAACCCTCCAGAATTCTACAAACTTTCTGGGTACACATTCGACCTGAAAGAGCAGCCCAGGGACACCCTGAAGGTTGGTGCTAAATTACTGATGTAGGGGCCTAAATGTAATTACCAATGTACCAATACTATTGTGGGGGTTCTTTCTGATGACGATAGTATAATACCCCCCCAAAGCCCCATTTTTGAATATTAAAGCCCCCTAAACTAGGTTACAAAGAGCAGTGCTTCGAGACCCTGAGGCAGGTTTTGCGAAGCGTGGGGTATAGAGTTTAGGGCTGTGGTGTTGACGTGTTCAGATCTGGGGTGTTGTCGAGGATCTTGGCCGTCGTGCATGGGTGTTTAGGAGAATACGGGACCCTACATAGATTGACAATAAACGCAGAGTCTTTAGTCATTAGTGCTTGAAAGACAATAGAAATGGCGCCCCGAGCTGACCCATAATTCTAAGAAGCTCTCGTATCATGTTCTGGCTTGTGGCGTATCGTTTACCCAGAGACTCCAATATCCCTTAATAAAGGAATATACTACTATACCCTAAGATATAGTAGGATCCCTAATATGATCTAGGGTATAGTCCTTAATTCAGGGATATTGGAGTCTCTGGGTAAGATTGAGTTCACGCATGGGCAATGCCTGCTCGGTGGATCTTCCTCTCATACTACTTAAAGGGTCATGGGACTTAGTAACTAGGGTTATAATTAGGGTAACTATACTTATAACTAAACCCTAAACCCTATACCCTAAACCCTAAACCCCTGCTTATAACCCCAATTAAGGTACTTATGACCTTACTTCCAAAGTCCCATGATCCTCCAAGTAGGAGATCAAAGGTTCAGGGTTTGCTGGGGGGGGAGTTCCTATTGCTACCCAGAGATCCCAATACTTATTAAGGAATATATACCTTAAATCATAATATTAGGGCCTCTAGAATTCAGGTCTCCGGGTTCTCCCCTCCCCGTCTCCCTGCGACCCTCAGCGCCGTTCCCGCCCGCCAAGCAAAAACACCACTGTACATCAGGCCTCAGCTAAATGTACAACGCAGGAAGAGTTCTACTGTAGCCCCTAAACCCTCATTAAGCCGGAATAACCTACCTTTTTAAGAACTTATATAAAGAAATCATAATAAGGAACCCTAAAAGGTAGGCTATTCCGGCTTAAGGTAGACCCTAAAGCCCAACTAAACCCTAAACCCTAAACCCTGGACCCCTAAACCCTAGACCCTAAACCCAAAACCCTAGTAGACCCTAAAGCCCAAGGACGGCGTTCCATGGATCAGCTGCCTGGGCAACCACGACTGGGGAGGCCGCCGCTTCAACAACGGCTGGGATCAGCAGTTTCTTAGGGGCACTTAGAATTATCTTTTAATTTTTGGTTATTATAATTTTTAACTCAAAATTTCTAATTTGTTGTTATTATATTCCCTAAGAAACAGCTAAAATTATGATTTTTGCTAGGGTTCTAAGTTCAGTATAGGTTTGCCTACACGTGGAAGAGCAACCGTTGGATCTTGCCGGCGGCGTACTACACCCTCAAGATCCTCGGTTCAATCAATTAGAAAAGGGTTTTGGGGCATATTATACTATAACTCGATAATGAGGAAGCTCCCAAAATAGTATAGGTACTTAATTATTATGTCCCCTAATATTCAACCCTAAACAGCGTCGGACGTATACGAGGGCGGTTTAGGGTTTAGGGCTTTTCAGAGTTCAGGTGCGCCGGGGCGGTGTGTTTGTTTTCCTGGCATGGTGTCAAAGCAATTCCTGGGTGCAGAAGCCCGAAACACCAAAAGCTTAGACCCCCCCTAAACCCTAAACCCTAAACCCTAAACCCCTAAACCCTAAACCCAAAACACCAGAAAGCAGCAAGCCCCAGAACGGAAAGCCCGAATCCGTAAGAAGCCCTAATGGCCCAAGGATGTACTTCGAGATAGGAAACTTCTGGATGGACATCTACGTTTTGGACTCCAACAACGAAGATGGCAAGGACCAGTGGCAGGAGCCTTGCCGTCTGAAAGCAAACACTATACCAACACCATTTTGAGGGTTCCTGTTATAGTAGAAGTATAATGGCCCCCCAAACCCTGTTGTGCTTGTTAAGGCCCCTATACTACTAGAAGTCTTTTAAGGTTTAGGCTTCAAAGGTTTGGGTTGGAGTGTTTCCTGCTCGCTGTCCAAGGAGAACTCGGCTATGTTTACCTTACATCCTCGAACACTACCCCCCCCATCCAACATGAGACCCTAAACGGTCGCCCTAAACCTTAAATGCGAAACCCTAAACCTTCAACGCTTGTAACTTATACGGGTGGTTGTCAAAATTAGGGTCCCTACTTTCTCAATAATACGGCACCTATGATTTCGGGTACCCAAAAAAGGACCCTAATTTGACAGCCACCGATATATGCCTTAAGCTCTGAATCGAAAGATCCAAGGAGCCTAGCCACAACATCTGCGGCAATCAGCACAACCCTTGGGGCGCCTCCTGTGCCAGTGCGGGTGGCCCCTTCGATGTCAACTCTTGCCACCAGTGGTTCCTCGGATTCATGCGGTAGGGCTTGGGGTTTATATAAGGCGTTTCTGGTTTAGCTTTGAGGGTTTAGGGTTGAGGTTTAAGGGTTGGTCACGGTGTGGGATTTGGGCTTCAGAGTTTGCGTTACGGTAGTCTCGGGCAGGCGGAGAAAGGCGCTCAACAAATTCTGAACCCTGAGCCCTATGCCACGAGAGGTTCTGGGACCTCTGGGGCAAGCAGTCGGGCTGGTTGGCCTCGCTGCTTGCGCAGTCGACGGCGCAGTGGCAAGTGGCCGTAACACACTTCCCTTGCGGAACCCAGAAGTGCCTTGGCCCGGGCACTAGAGCCTAGGTTCTCCTCAGGAAAAGCAAGTCCTGTCTAGTATGATCGTATAGACACGAGGAGGTAAATTCATCAAGTCTTGTGTTCCTGGATTTCAGGGGTATTGTACAGACCCAGAGACCCAGAAGAATTCAGAGGTCAGAAGCAGAAAAGAATATTATTAACGAGAGCAGACAACCTTGGTACAGGATTCTGACTTCAGTGATAGCAAACTCTACCATAATTCTAATATCTCGGATAAGTCCTATAAACTTGTTACGATTCCACCATTCTTGCGATGGTCGCGAGTAGCTCACTCTCGTCTGCAAAGGGATGAAGCCCATAGTCACCAAACCCTAAAACCCCTTACCTTTCATATATCCCTAGAAACGGATACTACACTCCCCAAACTCGAAGCCCGAAAACCCCTTAAAGAGCAATTCAATCACGTCCTGCAAGCCAGCCTTAAGCCCTAGAATCCCTCCCCCTCAACGCCGAAGCGCTGGAGGGTATTGGGTTTAGGGTTCAGGATTTGGGGTTTAGGGTTTAGGGTTCAGGGTTTGGGGTTTAGGGTTTAGGGTTTGGGGTTTGAAGTTAGGGTTTAGGGTTTTGGGTGTAGGGTGAAGGCAATTGGGTTTAGGATGTATGGTTGAGGCAGTAAGCAACAGCAAGGTATACCGATTGAGCCTTCAACCCGGGTAAGAGTCCCTAAAAGTCCCTGGCCCTGTACACTTGTTATACAAACCCTAAGCCTTAAATCGTAGTATAAGATACACGAAAGCCCTTTTAGATTTGCTGAGGACCCTGGATTTAATGCCTGAAGTCTGAAGCAAGGAATTTCTGGATGGACATGCACAACCGTCTCGGCCTCGACTTGCTTGTGACCGGCCACCGCCACGATCAGGCGTTCGGAATCAGAGATTAGGGGCGTATACGTTAGGCTACAGTTTTCAGGTTTCATGCCTTTTTTGTGTTGGGTTTAGTTTATTGAGTTTGGGGTTTGGGGCTCCGGGCATTCCCGCACCAATATTCTCCTTGATGTGGGCAACACCACGATCTTCCAAGTAGAACAGAACCCGAGTTACGGCACAAACCATGGTAGGCATCGCATTGAGACTAGGGTTTTAGGATATGTTTTTGGGAGCATGGTATACCACTGGAGTTACTCGTATGTGGGGAGAGTGTATGAAAGTTTTTGTAGGGCTCTGGGAAGCTGCCGGGAGAGCTACAGCTACGGCTACATGTATCCAAATTAGGAGCATGCCTAGTTCAACCACAACTGAATTGACTAGATGAAGCACTACTAGCTGAAGAACCCAGACGATGTGAACTGTCCGAGTCAGAGTGCTGTACGTTCAGAGCTAGCCGCTACTATGGGGGCCTGAGTAGGAACAGATGAGGACTCCGAGGAGATGTGCCGTACTATATTAGGGACCTAGAAAGGGACCCTAATTTTGACAGCCACCCATAGAGAGGCCAACTCATCACTTCCAAGATGCTTTGGGTGGCTTCATCTCAAGTGTAGCGTCAGACTTTAGAAGCTGCCCCCATTCTGTAATAGTGGTATAACAGGAATATAATAGGGCCCTAATATAATCCTAATAGTCACTATGACAGGGTGGCGGCAGCTTCTAAGTCACACTATACACGCTGCATAGCAGCAGTGGTGCTACTGGATGATTCTCCAACAACGGGAGGAACCTCGCACCCAACCCGCCAACCGGAATGAAGCACGCAGCTGACAATGACGCCAGCAAAATCTTCGAAGCTCCAAGTGTAGCTGATGTGTCAAGCACGCAAAAGAAGAAGTAACACTGAACCTCAGAGCCTCAACCCTAAACCCTAAACCCTAAACCCTAAACCCTCAACCCTAAACCCTCAACCCTCAACCCTAAACCTGAAGCCCTGAGAAACCTACTTAGGTCTTCTAGGCCCCTGATAGAACCCTCTTTTTTGCCCTGCAAGCCTCGGAAAGCCCGAAGCCATGGATTGCCAAAACCTGGAAACCTCAACCTTATGCCTGTAGGACACTTTTAAAGAATCCTCAAGTGGGTGGTTGCCAAAATTAAGGTCCCTTTTTGGAGTACCCTAAATAATAGGTGCCGTACTATAATAGGGACCCAAAGAGGGACCCTAATTGTGACAACCACCCATGTAGCTCTTGGACAGAAACTCCAAAATCCCCTGACTTAAGGAGGGTCGTTTTGTTTATAACAGGAGCCCCAATCGGATTCAAGGCATACTCCTCAATTAAAGGGGCTTCAGCGTTTCTGAACCCTAAACCCAACCCCCCAAAACCCCTACACCCTAAACTCCAAACTCCCAAACTCTAAGAACCTAAACCCTAAACCCTAAACCTGAACCCTAACCCCCGATCCCAAACCCTACAGATCCCTAAGGGATCCCTTGAAAGGAACCCTTGAAGATGCCTTAGAGGAGCCCTAAAAGCGACGCCCCTTCGCAGGAACTCTGGGAGCCCGGATGGCTCGGCGGCCTCACTTGCTTCATCACCGGGGGAGGTCGGGATCAGAGCTTTAAGGGCTTCTTTAAAGGGATCCTCAAAGGCTCCTGTAAGGGATCCTTAAGGGGTCCTTTAAGGGATCCTTAAGGGCTCCTTCAAGGGTTCCTTTAGGGGATCCGTTAAGGGATCTGTAGCTGGGGGTTGGTATAGCTTCATCACCGGGGAAGGTCGAGTTTAGGAGTTTAGGGCTTTTGGGGTTTTGGGGTTCCTTTATTGGATAATTACTTTTGGGGTTCCTTTGAGGGATCTTTCGGGCTTTTAGGGGCTTTGGGGGTTTAGAGGCTTAGGGTTTAGGGATAGTTTTAGGGCTTCAGGGCTGTGTGGGAACAGTTGCCAGGTTTATATGCTTGTGCGGTCCAGGCATTCGGATTCGAGTTTCCGTTTGGAGATACCAAAGCCTCCAACCAAGCAACACCCAGAAATCTTAAACCGAACGGCGTGTTGAAGTTCTAGCTTCAAGAGCACGCTTTGGTCTTGGGTGTCCATGTCGACGGGTCCTCCTACATCTTCAAACTTCAAGCTTTATATGGGTGGTTGTCGAAATTATGGCCCCTTTTTGGGCACCCTAAATTGCAGGTGCCGTATTATATATAATAGGGACCCAAAAAGGGACCCTAATTTTGACAACCACCCATTTGGAACCTTTAACCCTAAACCCATCTGATTGACTTTATAGGGTCGTCCGCCCCCAGAAGCGGCGACTCGCACACTTCTGGAAGACCCTCTGGAACCTGGGTAGTATTATTAGGGGGACCCCTTCAAGGGTACCCCTTCTCAACCCTGCTTCTGGCTCTCTTAAAAGGGGCCTTATTGAGAGGGTCTATATCCCCGAGGGTCCCCCTAATCCTAACTCCCAGAACCCTGGACCAAACCTGCCAAGGTTTAGGGTTTAGGGTAAGTGGTTTAGAGTTTAAGGTTTAGGATTGACACCTCATCGCTTTGAACAAGGCGACTCCGCTTTTGACCATGATTTGCGGAATATCTCAAAACCGAACCTAACCCGAAACCCTAAACCGGCTTAAATCCTAAACTCAAACCGAATCCCTGAACCGAGGCCCTGAACCCTTATAGAACCCTTAAAGGAGCCCTTAAAGGAGCCCTATTTGGGTACATGGACCCTTAACTTACTTCGCCAATGGGAAAACTTTAAACTTGTTGGCCCTATATATCTAATCTACCTGAGAAAGTTTGAACTCTTTTTGGCTCTGGTTATTGAAGAAGAGAGTTAAACAGTATCTGGCTGAGTCCTGTTCCCTCGACTTTGCAGGTGGCGGGATCTCCTCCGAAGGGACGCCCAACCCTTACTGGAAGAACGACGCCCGGCTTTGTGACCTAGGGTTTAGGATTTAGGGTTAGGTTTTAGGGTTTAGGGTTCAGGGTTTAGGGTTTAGGGTTCCCTGAAACCTTACTGGAAGAACGACGCCTGGCTTTTTGGGAGCTAAACCCTACCCTAAGGCCCCAAAGTAGTTCCTTTTTGGGGTTCGTATGTAGAATTGTAAAAGGTAATCCCAGAAGGGAACTTTGGGGCCTATGGGTAAACCCTATACCCTTACTGGAAGAATGACGCCTGGCTTTTTGTGAGCTTAGGGCTTATAGGGCTTACGGTTGTAGCACAGGCCAAATTGGTTAGACGCTGTTTTGGGTTTTTCTACCACCCTAAACCCTAAACCCATCATACTGGCTGTGGTGGTAAGTCTACAAGTATAGTGGTCGTTCTCATAGATTCTGACATGGGCTCCGTTTCTGCGGGAAGACCTTCTCATAGATGTGCCTGTGCCTGCAGACTTTTTGTGCCTTCGCCTGAGCCCTGAGGACTGGTACGGGGAGGCCCAGTACGGCTTCTACGACCTATTGGTGTCCTTCCAGAACATTGTCATCACGTCCGTCGACTGGATGCTTGGCCCAGACTCTTAGGGCTTGGCTTCGGGGCTCGCTGGGTGTTTCCGAAGGTTTTGCAGTTGCGGTCTCGGACCGCAAAAACACCCTAAGCACTAAACCCTGAACCCGTCTGCGGCTCATGGTAGGCGAAAACAGTTCAAGCAAATTCATACCACCCCAAAAGAATCGAGCAGCCCAAGCTCTTCCTTCCCTCTTGGAGCTTAGTGGCTGGGTAGGTAACCTTCAACCTTTTAGGGTTTGTAGAATACTACCATAATTGACAAGGTTAACACTTTTTGGGCTAGGGTACTCAGCCCCCAAGGGAGTCGTCGACTTGAAGCAAAGCCAACCCTGAACCCCACGCGCCAACACTTCTACTAAAGAGATTTGCCGCACACGATGCTGCTCGAAACAGAAGACGTTGAACTATTTGCAGGGCGGGGGCGGAAGATCAAGTTTATCTTGAGCAGCAGCTGGCAAAAGCCTAGCCCGAGCAAGAATCAAAGTCGTAACTTTCAAGAGCTTGCCGTCGTCCCAGTCGCGAGTGTGGCAATGGTCAACTTGCGATCCTGGTCCCCAGAGATTCGGAAAACACATTCAATGCTCGTGAAGCTTTTGGTGCATGGGGTGGTTCTGTGTCCCCTTTTTAACAGAGCACGCCACCTTTCTCATCAGGGTCGTTCTGGCCTCTCATAAGGGGCAGAATTAGGGGACCTTGCTTTAAGAATAACGGGGTCGGAACAATTCTAGGGTCACTCCTCAAGATAACCTTCTGTATAAAATTTAATAGAGTGCAGTATAATATAGTATCACAGAGTATAGCACATAGTAGAACATGTTTGAATGTCCTGTGGTGCGAAGGAGTGGTTACGAGTTGAAGACTGCGACGGTTTGGCCCACGCTGGGTTGGCAGAAGCAGCGTTGAGCTACACATGCTCTACGAGACTATACCCGAGTGCCGGAACCCTCCAGCAGCTCCCCCAAAAGAGGGAGTGCGATGTTATATAGATGCCTGAATAGTTACCAACGCCGTTTTGGGGTCTGTAGTATATTATACTACTCTAAGTAATTACAACTTTCTTAATCAAGTTGGCTGAGTAGTCATTTGCTGACAGCCTTATCCAAAAACTGTCCAAAAGCTCGGCACTTCAATTATGTCCAGAAATCATAGGCCTTTGACATCCTTTGACCAATACGCCGGGAGGTTCTGGAGGAAGTCTTGCTGCCTTTTTTCTGTGATAGCTTCCTGGGGAAATATCCGAACTTTTCGGCACAGTGCAGTGTTGCATGCTAACCCCGAAGCCTAAACTGTGACCCCATATAATGCAGGATGATTAAGAAACCCTGGGCTATTATAACCCCCCAAAATAGAAGGACTTATATAAAGAACCCGAATAAAGGCCCAGGGTTTCTTGATCAGGCTCCTACATTCTTATAGTACGCTTATCATAGATCCCTTATAGGAGCCCTTATAGACCCCTTTAAAGGAACCCTTAGGCCCAGGATTTTTTAATCAGGTTCCTACATTATTATAGTACCCTTATAGATCCCTTGTAGTAACTCTTACAGACACCCCTTTAAAGGAACCTTCGGGGCGAGCTCTATAACCTAAATACAAAGCCTGAACCCACAACCCGAAAGCCACCATCCGCGCCTGCTGCTTCGACGTGCAAAAACCCAAACCCTCAGCTAAGATATTGTAGGGGCCTTATAGGTTACCTATACTATCTTGGGGGGGTTCCTTATTATAATTATGGTAAAGTGGGCACCAAAACTATTCTAATTATTATGGCCCTTATATTAGGAGCCTAAATCATCTGATATTTGGGTGAGATATACGTTCAGGAGGATGCGCTGGATTATATAGGCAGGGGTTTGGGTGTATGGCACAGTTTCGTGACATACAGGAACGCCAGACAACAAAAACTAGCAGTTACAGTGTATCGTGCTACTTTGACGTGTGGGTATTGTTTTGTTGCTGCTTTTGCATTATGTTTTCGAATTCACTACCGTAACTTCGATGAATTCCCGTGGATCGAGTGAGTCCGACCCCGAAATTAGGCCCCTAGGCTCTGAACATAAACTGCCGGCTGCACTGCACTGCCTACAAGCCCCTGAACTGTAATTCGATAGCACTTGGCAGTTCCCGAAAAGGGAATTCGCCTCCATGCCTTGGAAAGCTGTTTCTTTCGAGGAACTCTGTGATGGAGGCTGCTGGGTTTCGTAGGGCCCTGGTCTAACTTTTTAGGGTTCAGGACCTCGAGGACTTAGAAGAAAGCAGGGGTTCAGCGGTGTTCGGGATTCAGGGGTTTATGGGTTTGGGTTTTGAGGGGGTCTGGGAGTTAGAGTTTCAGGGGGTCTGGGAGTTAGGGTTTTAGGCTGCATACCCGGCTTGCGCTGTGAGGTTTTATGTTTGCAGGTGTCGAGCGAAGGTTGCTAGGGCGATAATCAGGAACCCTAAACCCTAAACCGTGGCTCCGATTACTTTCTCAAACAAGTCACTATGCGATTTCCCGACCTTAGGGTGTGGATTTTGTGTATCTGCCTGTTTTTTGCTCCCACTGTTGCTTGTTCTGGATTTCTCATCATTTCTTTGGCCTGCTCTTCTCGAGAAACCCAGTGGTGAAAAACCCACTTCATGTGGAATGCGAGAAACCAAGAAGGTGAATTTCTGCGATTAGGCAATGGAATTGCGCAAAATGCGCGTCTGCGCGGCAGAAAAGGCGTATTGATCATCCGGCGTGGCTCTTCTGAATGAAAGACCGGAAGACATGTTCCGTAAGCCCTCATCACCTGATCCCCAGACTTCCTCAACCCTAAATCCCTATAAACCCCAGAATCCTAAAGCCCTAAACCCTAAGACCCTGGACCCTAAGCCCTAAACCCTAAACCCAGGAGCCCTAAACCCTAAACCCAGGAGCCCTAAACCCTAAACCCAGGAGCCCTAAACCCTAAACCCAGGAGCCCTAAACCCTAAACCCAGGAGCCCTAAGCCCTAAACCCAGGAGCCCTAAACCCTAAGCCCACCCATGGCGACTTGGGGCTCAAGGAAGTGAAGTGCAGCCAGCAGCTCCTTTTCCCCAAAAGGTCCTCCCCTTCTTCGTTTGAAAGCGCAGCTCCCAGAGTTGTGGGCTTGGGGTGCTTTAGGGTTCAGGGCTCTTGGGTTTAGGGCTCTTGGGTTTTGGGTTTAGGGTCTAGGGTCTTAGGGTTTAGGGTTCTAGGGTCTTAGCGTCTAGGAGCTCAGGGTTCTAGGGTCTTAGGGTTTAGGGTCTTAGGGTCTTAGGGTTTAGCGTCTAGGGGCTCAGGGTTCTAGGGTCTTAGGGTCTTAGGGTCTTAGGGTTCTTCGTTGCAAAGGTCCGGCTCCCAGTGCTGTGGCCAAGGGTCTCCGGGCTGGATCCCTGAAAGTCTTGGCTTTAAATAATTAGACTATAGGGGGGTTCTTCGAAGGGTTCCTTTAAGGGTTTCGTTTAAAGGGGTCTTAGAGGGGCTACTATAAGGGCTAATATCAGGATTTATTCAATTTAGGGGTTTAAAACAATTACAATAGGGTGTTGGGGTAGATTGTTTTTCTTATGCTGCTACGGTCACAGTGACTGGAAGGTGAGTTTTTCGTGTTTAGGAGGTTTAACTTCGGGGCAAGGATCAAGAGTCTCTGTCTTGGTTACATTGGAAAATTCGTGGGGTTTGGGGTTCACATTGGAGTTTCACAAAACAAGGGACCTTCACACAGACCCCGAAATAGTGGGATCCAGGACGAGGGATCGCCTCAGGGTTAAGGGTTTAGGGTTAAGGGTTTAGGGTTTGGGGTAAACCCGCTTCTTCCAGCCTTGTCCCTGCAGCCCCGTGATCCCACTCAGGGCCACAAAGCATTTGCTGGGGTGTACGGTTCTGGACCTGTGTAGTTCCCTGCTAGCTGCGCAAGCAGCTATGTGGGTAGAACAATATCCACAGGCGGTTTGAGATTGAAGGCCACATCATTTACTTCTTACTAGTAGTTTCGTGTTGTTTGGTTTATAATGGCCCCTCAAGGTTGCAGCAGCAAACCCTCCCAAAAACCGTTACTACTACGGGCCCGCAGATTTGACCCTAAGCCTTTGAAGCCTCAGACTCTCCACCCTCCACCCCAGACCCCAAGCCAAGATGTTAAGAGCCCGCTCAACAGGTCCCGCTATGTACGGGGATCGTTCAGTGGGGCTAAGAGCTTCCAACCATCCAGGCGTGAGGTTTTTGGCATGCATCTCTGGCCACTCATGGCGGTTTAGTTATATTGCACATTCTTGTGGCTTGGCCTTCTATCATCATGTCATGTATTTACGACGCTTATGATGCAGACAAGGAGAAACTTATTTGTTGTGCTGATTCTTACTTACGGTACTTGTCGAGAGCATTCGGCCTATACACATGCATATGTCGTGTCGAACGTCGTTACACCATCTCCATCTCTCTCCATTTCCAAGACTAGTAGTTTGTTCTCTGCCGCTGCCGCCAATGCTGTCGCTGCTTTTCGTGCGGCGTTGGTGACGCTGGAGGTGGTGGCGGTGGCGGTGGCGGTGGCGGTGGCGGTGGCGGTGGCGGTGGCGGTGGCGGTGGCGGTGGCGGTGGCGGTGGCGGTGGCGGTGGCGGTGGTGGTGGTGGTGGTGGTGGTGGTGGGTGCGTGTGTGGCGGCGGCGGTCGCGCACGTTCATCACCTATTGTTGGTTCGGTCTGCATAACGACTGATTATTTCCAAATCCCAAAACATGCCTAGAGCCCTACAATATGTGTAAGTATACGTATGTAATATGTAGGTAGGCAAATCGATAATAGATATAGATCGTTGTGCCGCCGAGCTACAATCTACCCCAGACCCCCTCTTTAAATTGCTGAGGCTGCTGAGCTTCTTATCAACATGGAGGAACTGCCTAGCGATCCCGTTTTAGAAATCGAGAATCTCAAGCAACAGAAAGCCCCCAGAACCTCATAAGCCTTGCACTCATCGCCTGAATCCAAAAACAGACCGCAAAGCCCCTTAGGCCTAAACCTAGATCCCAAGGCATGATGCGGGCATTTCGCAGGTTTCCTGTTGCCAAGGCAGCCAAGGCCACTGCTTGGCTTGCAAGGGGTTTCTGTGTTTTTTTTTGGTTTAGGGTTTCTGTGTTCTAAACCCTAAACCGTTTGGGTTCAGGGTTTTAGGCTGTAGGTTGAGAAGTCTGAGAGTCGGTCTATAAGAGTTTCCGAAAATTGGGGGTACCTTATGTTGGGGTGCTTATAATAAGGATCCTACTATTTAGGGTACTATATTCGAGCAGTAGTATCAGTGGTAGCAGTAGCAGCAGCAGCAGCAGCAGTAGCAGTAGGAGTAGGAGTAGGGGTAGGGGTAGGGGTAGGAGTGGGAGTAGGAGTGGGAGTGGGAGTGGGAGTGGGAGTGGGAGTAGGAGTAGGAGTAGTGGTCGTTTTCGTCGTGCTAGTTTCACTTGACATGGTAAATGCATCCGAACACCCCTGGCAGTTCCCCAACAACTCCCTCAGCAAGTCGGTGGGGTTCAGAGTGCAGGGCTTCGCCTTCAGGAGGACACTGGAAGCCAGTGGGCCATTAGTTGAGCCTTTTTTGGCCGATGTAGCCGTCACGACAAGGGGGACGAGCGCCCCTTTACATGCCAAGCGCATACTCGCCCGAGTGAATCCGAACTCCCCAGGCCCTACGCCTGCCCAGAGTCCAGAGATGCCAATATCCCTTAATTAGGGAATATACCTTAAATCATATTAAGGTTCCTACTATAATTTAAGGTATATTCCTTAATGAATGGAGTCTCTGGGTGCAAGCCAGCCCCTGAAAAAATAATCGCTGGGCCAGGTTATCTCGCAAAGGGCCCTTCCAGCTCAGTATGCTGGGGGCCCAGCACCCCGACGAGGGTTTAGGCTGTACTGATTCGTCATTTGGGCAGAAGTCAAGTTCAAAGTTTGGGCTTCAGTAGCTTATGGTTTGCGACCCCTAAACTAGGATTCCCAGTAGTACCCTTATTCCCTTTTTGTAGTCCTAGGTTCCTTATAAAGTTACCCAATACCATACAGGGAGCCCTTTTTATTCCTAGATATTCCTAGGTTACTGGGCATTCTAGTAAACCCGATGGCCTTAACCCCTAAACCCTAAACCCCTAAACCCCATGGCCCTAAGGTAAAAGCCAGAAAGTCATATTATCCTAACCCTTCTATGGTAAATTATAGGGTATCCTACCATGAAACCATATTCCAACTTTCTGGAGTTCCCCAAGGTAGTTCCTTTTTGGGATTACCTTATGGAATTCGATATAGGAACCCCAAAAAGGAACTACTTTGGGGCCTTTGGGTAAACCCTGAAGAGTCAAGGACGATTTAGGGTTTAGGGGCTCAGACGTTTGAAGTTCAGGGTCGACGAGTCCCCAGTCTGCGGCATCCGCGGTTGAGAGGTTCGGCCGTAGGGTGTGGGGTGTCGGCCTTGGGCTTAAGGAAATTGTGGTTTAAGGTTTAGGGAAGTTATGGTTTAAGGTTTAGGGAGTTTAGGGTTTAGGGTTTGTCAAAGCTTCAGAGTTTGGGATGTGAGCTTGAGGCTTTTTGGGGTTAGAGTTTCGCTGTCGAAGTTGACATCGAGCCCCGTCCACCATCAGGGGTGGGGTACAGGTCAAAGTGGTGGAAGAAGGGAAGAGCAGGGAGTGCTACCCCACAGCTATGGACGTTCCGCCCGGAACCCTAGATCCTAACCCCTAAACCCTAAATCCTAACCCTTAAACCCGACCCTAAATCCTAACCCCTACACCCTAAATCCTAAACCCTAAACCCTAAATCCTAACCCCTGTAAACCCTAACCCCTAAACCCTTCTCCATGGTGACTTGTTCGTTCCATGCTTCGAGGCCCGCGCTTTCTCGGCCCAGCCGGAGGCCGGATCGGGAGCAGTTCTGAAGTCGATGGCCTTGTAAATGGTTTAGGCGACTAATATGGGAGTTTCCGAAAATTAGGGGTACCTTATATGGTGTCCTTATGAATAAGGATCCTACTATTTAAGGTACTATACTAGGGTCCCCTATTTTCGGAAACTCCCATATAGGGGCCATAATAATTAGAATAGGGTTTTGGGCCCATTATACTACAATTACAACCAGGAGCCCCCCAAAATAGTATGGGTATATAATTATCGAAGCCCCTATAATAGTGTGTAGTGCTTAGAGTCTGTCTAAACGTGGGGCTCAGGTTTAGGACATAGTTTAAGAGTATGATAAATGTGGTAGATTGGGGGCGCCAACAATACGAGAAAGGAGAAGAGGCCTCTGCTGTACGGGCTTGCGAATTCCACTTAACTCGACACCCACGCTTCGAGGTTCAGATAGGGGTCGGAATGAGTTGTAATGTATTATACCAACTAAAACCCCCCAACACCCCCAAAATCCTTCACCTAGAAGTTCGCCAGACCTCAAAACCCTGAAAAACTCGACTCCCCCAAAACCCCTTCAATCCCATGGAGCCCCGTCAACCCAACTCCCGCAGCAGGACACCCCAAGCTCTATACCCCGAAGCCCTAAACTAGAGGATCTACTTCGTATCAGTTACCTCCTGCTATGTTCGGTGGCAGAGTCTTGAAGCTGTCATTAGTCTCCTTAGGAATTAGTTTTTTTGGTTTTTGTTCATATAAAACCCAAGAGAATGTTTAAAGATATTCGTTGTTCTTTATGGTTCTAAGGGGGGTATACAAAAAACCCTCAAAGCCCTTACCCCAAAAGCCCAAAGCCAACAGGCCGACGCGCTCAAGCCTAAGCCCCAAAAACCTGGTGGGTCGGACTGCAGGAGGAAAAAAAGGGTGGTTTGGGTTTAGGCTTTAGGGATTTAGGGGTTTAGGGTCTAGGGTTTAGCGCTCAACAGCACAAGACAAATCCCACAAACAAAAAGCGCTTCAAAGCCCTATAATCCTACAACAATACCCCAAGCTCTAACGTCCCAAGCAATCGGAGGCGTTCAAGGCCGCCTACGAAGCCCACGTGGCTGAGCGAGCCGCCCAAGGCGGCCTGCCACCCTTGGCTCTGGACCAGAGCCAGGCAGGGCTTCACAGCTTTTGGCCTTTTTTGGGGGGTGGGTTCCGGGTTTAGGTGGGGTAGGTTTGGGTGGGTTCGAGGGGGGTGTTTTAGGGTTTGGGTGTTGTTTTCCTCTTTGGGGTTCAGAGGGCCTCCCATCTTCTGCCTTTTTTTGGGAGGTGGGTTGAGGGCTTAGGTGTTGTTTTGGGGTTTAGGGTTTGGTTTGTTTGTTTCTGCTTTCTTGTGGTTTAAGGTTTAGGGTTCTTTGAGCCAGAGTCAGGCGGATTTTTGCTTTTGAAAGGGGTGTGGGTGTGTTTGTTGGATGGGACTCGTGACTCGGATTACATGTTTTTTTGAGGGAGGGGGGTTGGGGCGCGGAGCGGTTAGGGACTGGGATTGCTTCTTTTCTGTGCTTTTTCGGCGAAGCGGTTATGGTTTAGAGCTGATATTTGTTATTCTGTTTCGTTTTGAAGAGAGGCGGTTGCGGTTTAATTTACTGTTCCAGGGTTCTACAATGTTTATAGTTGGCGCTGGGCTCGAGCTAGATGCCGGAAGAGACTCCTAAGGGGTTCGCTATAATGGTTTAGGGTTGAGGATATTTTTTGCATCCCGTCTCAGCGGGCTTCTCAGGCACAGTAGGAGTTCAATCTGCCGGGCTTTCTTTACAGGCAGTTCGTATGCTTTAAACGGTTCTCCTGCCTTTTTAAGGTCTTGGCAAGGATGCATGGCCCCCCATCCCACAACCCCAGTCAGAATAATGCCAATGTTGCTATGACTGTCCTCCCCTGCCCCGAAAGAGACGGACGCCTGTAACGCATGGGTTGAGCAGTCGGAATTATCCTCTTAATGTCCTCAGTTTTCTGAAGCTTTCTCAGTCTTCCAATCCCTCCGCAGGCTGAATCTGTGGTCGAGATGTTGAAGAAGGCGCATATGGGCTCCACCATTTTTTTCAAAGGGCTCCATAGTTCGATAACCCAAAGGCTGAATCCCCAGAGCCTAAACCGTAAATCTCCACTAACAATAGAGAGTTCTATAACGGCATTAGTTTCGGTGTAGCAGCATGCGGTGAAAACTGCGCCATCGACCCAGAATCTTGAGCATGCCTTATTCGGATTTGGATAATTTGCAATAGCTCGGATGCCAGACGCAGCGCTTGCATACCCGTTGAAAGCTCCTTTTCGAAGAACCCAAACTGTAAGCCCCTACACCGGAATCCCTACCCTTAGGCCCTAAACCCTAAGCCTCTAAGCCCTCAACCGTACACCCGTAAACCCTAAACCCTTGGTCCCTAAACCCTAAGCCTCGAAGCCTTCAAAAAAAACAAAGTCCCCAAACCCTAGACTTAAAGCCCCTCAGCCCCTGAACCTCTTGTAGTCTCTACAAGCCATAAAAACCCATCCCCTGCTAAGATCCATCCAGGATCATGAGACCATTTTTACAGCACACTCGGCATCCTTAAACCTTGAACCCTAAACCCTAGACCCTAAACCCTAGACCCTAAACCCTAAAACCCTAAACCCGTAAACCTTAAATCAAAAAGCTAAAACCCTAAACCCTAAAACCTAAAACCCTAGACAGACCCTGAACCTTAAAACCGTAAAGCCCTAAACACTCAAACCCTAAAGCTCTAAACCCTAAACCGGGGTTCGGGATGAGGGTGTCGAATTTTGGGGTTTCTTATCACCGAAAAGCAGCCAAGCCCCTGGACTCCAAACCCTAAACCCCTAAGCCCTAGACCCGAACCCCTAAACCCCGAACCCTAAACCCCAGACCCCAACAGACCCTATATAATCCCTGCATGAACCCTAAACCTTAAGACCCTAAACCCTAGACCCCAACCCCTGTAGAAGCTATAAGCTCTAAGCTGTGGTCAGGCTCCTGCCGATGGCTCTTTTTACGTTGACCTCCTGCGCAACCGTGTGAACCCGGGAGCCGGGGACCCTTCCGGTTTCTTCAGGGTTTAGGGGTTAGGGGTTTAGGGGTTTAGGGTTTAGGGGATTAGGGTTTAGGGGTTTAGGGTTTAGGGATTAGGGGTTTAGGGGATTAGGGTTTAGGGGATTAGGGTTTAGGGGTTTAGGGGTTAGGGGTTTAGGGTTGAGGGTTTATATAGGGTTTAGGGTTGAGGCAGGTACCATGCACACAGAAGTGAGTCTGGGAGTTTCCGAAAAGTGGAGGTTGCCGTATTTTGGGGGCCCTTCTTTTAAAATAAGGATCCTACTATTTTGGGGTACCTTATTTTGGGGTCCTTTTCTTGGGGGTGCCTTTTTTTGAGTCCTTCTAATAAGGATCCTACTACTTGGGGTGCAATATCAGGGCCCCCTAAACTCGGAAACTCGCATCTTGAGCCTGAAATCGGACATTTCAGAAACCTGGAACCCCAGGATGCTACTTGGAGGATCATGGGACTTAGTAAGTAAGGTTATAAGTACCTTACGTTGGGGTTATAAGTAGTTATAAGTATAGTTACCCTAATTATAACCCTAGCTACTAAGTCCCATGATCCTTTAAGTATAGCCTCACAATAGTTTTCCTATACCATTGTGGGGTTCCTGAAAGGGTTCTATGAGGGATCTATAGTAAGGTTCTATGGTATAGGGGCCTATAATAATATAATAACTACCTATACTGTTCTGGGGCTTCCTTATTATAATTATAGTATATTGGGCCCGCAAACTCTATTCTAATTATTAAGGCACCCTGAAAGGGAGTTTCCGAAAATAGGGGACCCTTATATAGTACCCCAAATAGTAGGACCCTTATAATAAGGACCCCCAAATAAGGTACCCCCCAATTTTCGGAAACTGCCAAGTTAGTTTGTGACTCATGTTTCTGTGGTCTTCATTGGCACTCTTGAGTGTCTTTAGTGCGAGGGCCAGGGCCCAGTCAGGGATTAAGGTTTAGGGTTCCGAAACCCTAACCTTAGGGATACTCAGGAATATTTTTTAATTTTTTTTGCTATGATAATCCCTAAGAAACAGCTAAAACTGTATTTTTTGCTAGGGTTCTAAGTTCAGTATAGTAACCCCGAAACCCTAACCCTATAAACGTTAACCCCCAAACCCTAAACCTTAAACCCTACCAGGACCCCCCCCCCCCCCAGTGGCCCTTTAATGGAGCCCTGATGGTCCTTAATAGTGGGCATTTTGGATATGTAAGAGGGTTGTTGGGGGTTCAGGCAACCCTCAGGGTTTCACCCTAAACCCCGAAACCCTAAACCTTAAAGCCCTAAACCCTCAGCCTAAGGTTTAGGGTTTCGGGCCTTAGGGGTGCAGGTCGAAGGTTCAAGGGGCTTACTTGGAGGGTCGGGGGACTTAGCAAGTAGGTAGTAAGTAGACTTATAAGTTCCCTAAAAGGGACCCTAATTGGGGTTATGGTACTTGTAAGTCCCCAAAATAACCAGTTCCTAAGTCCCCCAACTCTCCAAGTAGGGCTCAGGTCACAAAGAAGGGGCCTTGAGAGGTGTGATATGTTTTTGGTGCATACTCTACTGTAACTATCTGGTCCTTTTTATGAGGGTGCCGTACTCTTTTGCGGGACCTAAAAAACTTAGTAGCTGAGTGGGTACACTTTACACTTTTTCGGATAAGATAATACTACCCACTATAAAGCTAGAAGTATACACTTTTGGGGGGCTTATGAACTCAGCAGCTAAGAAAAGGACGCTATTTTAGACAGCCAGCCATATAAGCCTTCTTGAAATGTGCCGTTCAGGTTCCTGTAACAGATCTCTAGGGTTCCTTTAAGGGGTTCCTTTCAGGGATCCCTGGGATGTCTAGAGTTCCTTTAAAGGGATCCTCTAAGGAATCACTGGCATTAAGCCCAAATCCCAGAGTCAATCCCACGACCCGGAAATTCAGGTCGATGACTCCAGCTATGTGAAGGCAAACTTCCTCCGCCTTGGACCAAGCCGGGTGTAGCATCGTTTTAGCGGTCGTATTGCAGGGTCTGACTAGCTTGCAACACTATCCCCTCGCAGTCCCCATATTTCACCTTCACCCACATTGGATGATCGACGGTTTCCACATCCTGATAGTTCATTGCTGCACCCTGCCGTCTTTCACACAGCAGCAGAAAGTCAGGTCTCAGCCCGTTCTGTGGCTTGCTAGTTGCAGCGTGAAGGTCTACAGTTTTTGGCGCGGGTTTCACGCTGGAATCCCGTAAACTCTAACCTCTAAATCCTAAACCCTAACGCCTAAACCTTCAACCCTATCCCTTATATCCCAAACCCTAACCCTTATCCTGCCCTAAAAAATAAATCCATGGACCCCCCACCCTTGGCCCGAAAGAACGAAGGCGGCGATGAGGGAAGAAGGGTGCGGGGTAATGTAGGAACCTGATTAAGAAACCCTGGGCCTTTATTCGGGTTCCTTATATGATTCCTACTAAAATCAGGTTCCTACATTGCAGGGCAGAATCGAGTTGTGAAGCCGAAAGCCCGAATCTGAGAGGTCGGAGTTGATTACCATCACGCACCAGCCCTGTTAAATGGCTATGAAATTATGAATGGAACAGTTCTGTTTTTCGCCATTATCGCCATGGTTACAGTTTTCGTTTTGATCACTGATTTGTTGCTGCTGATTTACAGTGCGGTTCAGATGGATCCTAAGCACGCAACCTGGAAGACCTGATTTTTTTGAAGTTTACGATGCTGCATCTGAGTAGTTTACTTTTGGAATAAGGGCATTGTAACCAGGACCCTCCTTGTACCCTGAAACAGGGGTATAAGGTCCCAGATAAGGGGCATTTAGGGTCTAATAGAGGGTAGATGGAGGGTCTAGGAAGAATGTAAAAGGCTTCTGCATAGGGCTCTGAATTTCTCTTAGGGGTACTTAGAAATACTTTTTAGTTTTTGGTTATTATAAACCCTAAGAAACAGCTAAAATTATGATTTTTGCTAGGGTTCTAAGTTCAGTATAGTTCAGACTCGATCATCAGAGTCTCACAAGGTGACATCATCCACGGCAAAGTCTCGACGCCGTTGGTGTCGAAGGCGGATGCAGTCGGAGCCTCAACCCTCCGCAGCTAAACGCGCAAAGGACCTCTCCAAAAAGAGCATAACCTGCCCCAACGCATCCTAGCATAGGCGTGTATAAGATAGTCTCTTTGGGGTTTACAGTTATAGAGACTATTATTTATCAACGGCCTTAATTATTTGATAATTTGAAGCGGTCTGAACCAGCCGCTATCCCGAAGCTACAGCCGGACAGGCTCTCAAGGCTGCATTGACCCAATAGCGCGACCGGACCCTGCCCCAGTTCTATCTCGCATACTGCGCCCCCCTTAGCAGCAGTTGAACAATGTCAAACATCTGTAGCTGTCAGGGCCTCAATAGGAGCCCTCTTTAGACTGTTGCTGTATGGGGGCAGTACCCAAGCTCTACGTAGCCATGACCTCAACAGCTGATTCTTAGGAGGCAACTGTTAGTTGAAGTCCAACCGTCGTGGTTTCTGCTCAACACAATTGCACATGACATGATCTATCTACCCATATATATATATATATAAGTAAGTATACACATAGAAATCTGCATATACCGGTCTCAACATGTCCGTATGGGAGTACATATATGCAACACACAATCGCATTGCAAGGTCATCTCAGCAGTGGGTACTAAGATCGTAGGTAGTCTCACAAACAACACGGACTGCAATCCTTAATAAGAGTATTTACAGCCGCATTAGTAGCATCGACGATGACAATGACAATACTCGCGGCAGTAGTAACAGCACTCGGGCGGTTGACAATTCGGATGATACTCTCTTCAAAAACAACAGCTCAGTTGACCCTCAGCGCTAAACACCCAAAATCAACAGCATAATGCCCAAACCGCAAGCTTTAATCCTTTACCTTCACCTTTGCAAAAAAAATCTTGACGCTTTGAGCCCTGAAGGTCTACACCCTGAAGCCCAAATTCCGATTTCCGTCAACAAGATCCACATAGCGGCCTTTCAAAACCCTATAACACCCGTATAAAACCCAAACCTCTATGAGAGTCGTATTAAACCCTCGAAGGCAACCCAAACCCCGAAACTCGACACGAGTGTATAGGACTCGCCCCAAACCCAGCTTGCCCCCAATTCCCAGGGCCTCTAACGGTTTGGAGTTGCGGGTTCAGGGTATTGGCTTTTACGTCCAGAGTCTACATAGATCCGAAGGCCCCAGGAACCGGCAGCCCTCGAATCCTAAATCCCCTAAACAGATAACTCCCAATTTCCCGTCCGAAAAGCATGAAGCCCATGGACTTTGGACGCATTGAGGTAGAGATGCTCGGATGGATGCAGGGAGGGTACAACGTCGCCCCACTGGTCGAGGCGCTGGACCTCGACCAGGACAGGGTCCAACAGGATTTTGTGTTCAGGCTTCACTGCGAATTCGCACCACCACCACCACCACTACCACGACCATTACCACTACCACTGCCCCTACCCCTACCGCTGTCGCTACTGCTACCGCTACCACTACCACTACCGCGACCACACTCCCAACCCCCACCTCGTGTGGCTGCTGTTCCTGCTCTGCTGCGGCCACTGCCGCCGCGACCAAACTAGGTAGGTTTCAGCAGGGTTCAGGGTTTCGGTAGTAGGGTTTAGCTCACGAATTCCTCAGGGACGACTCTCAGAATCCCTCCGGCCCTCAAGCAACGTGGGAGTTTCCGAAATAGGGGGCCCTAATATCCCTACTATAAGGACCGCAGAATAAGGTACCCCCCGGATCCGGCCCCCAACAGGCCATGTCATGCTTGCCCTAGCGCTAAAACCCTGAGCTCTTGCGGCGTGAAGGGCCTCGAGCTTCCGGTGGATTTACGTTGAGGGGTTTAGGGTCTTTAGGGGGGTCACAGCTTGAGGCTTTCATTCAAGCTTCTCAAACTTTGCTGCTTTCGGGTCGGGTCCCTTTCCGGGGTCCTCATCACCTGGAAGTTTCCACGTAAGCTACATGGATGCCTTCATGGAGAACCTTAGGACCCTAAACCCTAAACCCCAAGCCTGTAGGCCCGTCGCACTTAAAAGAAAACCCAAAGCCTAAACGCTAAACCCTTGGCCCTAAACGCCTCAACCCTAAACCTAACCCCCCCCGCCAGCCCGGTTCAATAGCTCCACTGCAGGAACTTGCCGCCGGGGCCGTCTCAGGCCTCAGCCGCATGACCCTTGCCTCCGAATAAGAGGGTCCTACTTAGGGTTTACAATTTAAGGATTCTGGTTAAGGGTTTAGGGCATTGGGGTTATGTGAACAATTCTTGTAAGCGTGCCCCTCTATAGTCCTCTCATATTTATCGTGCAAGTTTAGCCACCTCCAAACCCAGTTCTGCATTAGTACGGCGGGCTTGCGCACAAGGGCAGTTTTGCGGGTCCAGATGCTGATCCCAAGTCATAGGAGGCCAAAAGGGGTTTTAGCCTATGGGGGTTTAGTAGGTATTAAGTATAGGGTTCTCATAATAGGGTTCATATTAAGGAATCCCTACCCCAAGAATCTTAAACCCCCCTTTTGGCCTCCCGTCACCAAGGATCTTGATGTTCGACGCTTACCATGACGTGGAGGACAAGATGAAGAAGGGAAATCCTTTTGCCAAGCAGGCGAGACATATCTAACTCCCTGAACCCCGCACCTGCCAAAGCCTGACACCCCACCAAAGCCGCACGGGATTCAAAACCCTAAAACCCGAAACCCCTAGTCTCAAAACGCCATGAGCCCAAGGGCAGCCCAATAGTAAATCAGTCTCTAAAATTTCTAAACCCTAAACTCCCTAAACTCCCTAGACTTGCTCAAAACTCCCGAAACCCTAAACCGCAAACTCCCTACACCCCCTAGACTTGCCCAAACTCCCGAAACCCTAGAGTGCAGGTGATCGAATCCTGGGCAAGCGCTGAGTGGTTCACGAGTCGCCCCACCGTTCCTGAAAAGGCCACTTAGGGTTTAGGGTTTGGGGTTTATAGGGTTTATAGGGTTTAGGGTTTGGGGTTTGGGGTTTTTAGGGTTTATAGGGTTTTTTAGGGTTTGGGGTTTAGGGTTTATGGTTTGGGGTTTAGGGTTTTTTGGGGTTTGGGGTTTAGGGATGAAAAGGCGCCTTGGGGCTCTGACAGTTTTGGGAGTTGTGCGTGCCACCATGACTGAAGATTGTGGATAAAGTTCTATAAGGGCTACAGAACGGAACCATAGGGTTTACAAGTTGATGTTGCGCTTTGTGTCGTGTGGGGTTAAGGGTTTAGGGTGGGCTCAGGGTACGACGGTTTGAGTCCTGGGTGTTCAGGGTTTAGGGGATGTTCTACTCAGCGTTCTAGCCCGTGGCTCTGCAACAACCCAGAACTTTGTGAACAAACTCTGTTTCACAAGCCCTGTATGGAGTTCACGTTAGATTTCCGGGCAGGTTTGTGCAGCTCCGAAACATGTTCGAAACATGTATTTGACCGCAGTTGTAGTTCTTGATCTCGCGCCCCGCAACCTCAAAAATCATTTTTAACATGCTAAGCTTTCCTGCAAGGCGATCCAGAGGTCTGGATTGTGAACCCTAACGCAGAAAACAGCCACGTTTAGGGTTCTGAATAGTTCGTAGCATTCTGCCCTCGTAGCTTTTTATTATCCGAGCCCTGTCCAAACTATTCAGACACCTGAACTAAGTACTGTACCTATACAACCATGAAACACCATGATGCCTTGTTCTAATTCTTGCGGCCCCTACAGTACATCTTCATGGCCAGGTGACTCTGTGCGTGTTTAAAGTAACCGGCGAGACGAACACCGACGACCTTTCGCCGGCCCCGGATGCCTGGTCTCGCCCAGCCACCAGGTTGCCAAGTGGTGCAAGTTTCTTCTTCTTCTTCCGAATAACTGTTTTGCTTGTTCAGATTATTTATTTGCTGTTTGCGTATTTTTAGCTTTTGTTAGTTGATTGTGTCTTGTTCCTGTCGTTCTTTTCGTTGTTGGAGGGTGTGGTAGTCCCATTGAAGTTGTCGAAGCTGACATCATGACTACTAAGACTAATCATACTAAACGATACGAATAATTCTAATATGGCTAATACTAAGACTAATAATGATAATGGTAATAACAACAAAAATCGTATAGCTGACATAGCAACTGGCTTGCCAACCTTAAGGACATCCCGCTGCACGCCCTGGCGATGCTGCCCCGCGGCCCTGAGAGTCGTAAGGGTGGAGTGGTTTGAAGATTTCCGGTCCGGTGCCTGATACTATCAATCCTAAGCCCTTAAGCCCTAAACCCTCAACCCTAAATCCTAAACCGCATGAAGTTTGACGGGTCTCTGGTTTAGTAGAACCCCTCAGCAGGAGCTACAGATTTCGAGCGGTCATTTCGAAGGCATCAAGGGGGGAGGATACGTCACCCAGAGAGATGGATCTGAAGGGCTTAGGTTTGCGGCTTCGAGGTTCAGGGGTTCGTGCTCTCACTTGGAGGGTCGGGGGACTTAGTAAGTAGGTAGTAAGTAGACTTATAAGTACCCTAAAAGGGACTCTAATTGGGGTTATGGTACTTATAAGTCCCTAAAATAACCAGTTACTAAGTCCCCCGACCCTCCAAGCAGGCTTGCTACACACAGACAGACAGTCTGGCGGGGAATCAGTCTCCCGAGACCACATTCCAGTTCTAGTATGTTCTAGTGGTCGAGGCTTGCAAACCCTAGGCCCCAACCCTTGCATTTTGCTCTGTGTCAACCCTGTGCACTGAACCTCTTTCGAGTGCGAGCAAGGACCTCGGAGAAAAGGAGGCATGTAAATAACATTGACTTCCAGGTCATGCTGAGCCCTGTGGTTAGCCTATTCGTCACTGCAATTCCATTCTGGCTCGTGTTTTTTATGTGTACCTTCACATGTAAGACAACGCAAGAAGGGCAGTGAACAGACTGTTGTCATACCTACATATGCATACTCTTGCTCTTGGACATTCTGCATGTATGCATGCACATCTGTATGTATGAGAATCGTTGTATCTTACGTGGGAGTTTCCGAAAACGAGGGGTACCATATTTTGGGGTCCTTCTAAAAAAGGTTCCTACTATTTAGGGTGCGATATAAGGGTCCACTCTTTTCGGAAACTCCCATGCAGGATCCGCCCCTGCAGGAAGTTTCCTCGTGACGGCATCACCAATGCCGCGCAGCAGATCGCAGACCTGAAAACGAATCCTCGGCTGAGTAGCTTTTTGACGGGATTTAGGGTTCAGCCAGCACCCCCGAACTGCCCTGCATCATACTGTACATACCCTAGAAAGAACTATACGGTAGTTGAGGGCTTAGGGTTCAGGTTTTGCAAGTTTTACAGCTTAGGTTCTGGAGTTTAAGGGCTTCTGTGCGGCTTTCCTACTCCTGGGCTGCGCGGCTACACCGCTCTCATACGACGCCTTCAACCCACTGAACCGTCCCAAGGGGTTTTGTGAAGTTGTATGGCGACCCTAAACCCTAAACCCTAAACTCTTACCCCGGAACCCTGACCCGGCCAGCTGGAGGCCCTAATCCCCTTCTGAACTGTGTTCTTGCTTTAAGTTATGGGAGTTTCCGAAAACAGGGGGTACCTTGCTTGGGGTCCTTAGAATAAGGATCCTACTATTTAGGGTACTATGTTAGGGTCCCCTATTTTCGGAAACTCCCTTATCATAACAGGGACCTATAGTAAATTGTATGGGTTCCTTAGTATGGTAACTATTAAGACTATGAAGCTCAATTCCCTCACAAGAAGCCTTGTGAACTGTTCATAGGAGGCCAAAAGGGGTTTTAGCCTATGGTTTAGTAGGGATTAGGATTCCCATACTAGGGTTCATATTGAGGAATCCCTAGCCCAAGAATCTTAAACCCCCCTTTTGGCCTCCCATTAACTGTGTTCGTGTGCGTTGCTTTAGGGCCCGAGGGATTCTGAGGGTCCATGAGGACTTCACGAGCTTTGAAGGCTCTGAAGTCGAAACCTTTCAGCGTCTGGTTTGGTGGGCTAGTCTTTGTCATAGTTGGATGACATTTTACAGATTTATGGGCACTGAAACCCAATAAGGAATAACAAAAACTTAATGTTTAAGCCTATCTCAACCATGAGCTAGTAGTATCAATGATAAGTAAGCGGGTTAGGGTTTAGGGTTAATGATAAGAGTGATAATATTGATGGGTTGACATAGCTGTAGGACTGGTAATAGTAAGGCTAGTCATGATAACCACAACAGTAAGTTTTACAAGCCTGCAACCGAAACGCCAAATCCTATGCCTTAAACTGATAGCTCTCAAGGTTCAGGGTTTGCTCTGCAAGGTTTAGGCTTGGGATGCCCTCAAGGAAAGGCCACCAGCTCGCCTACGTCGGAGACGTTGTGGGCACGGGCTCTTCACGTAAGTCGGCCACAAACTCGATCCTGTGGTACATGGGCCGGGCATCCAAGAGAAGGGCAGTTTGCATAAACGCGTAGGTTTTTCTGCGGGTTTGAGCGGTCTGTGCGTTGTGAGGTTTGGGATGCAAGGTTGGAGTCAATTTGAGGTTGGACCTTGCGATCTTAGTGGTTTTTGGGAGTTGGGAGTGTCCGTACTTCAATTTTGGATGTGCCGGGTTGACATAAAGCCTGCGGTGTCAGCCGTACACGTCAAGTTATTCAGCATGCGGAACACATAGCGCAAACCCAAAACCTAAACTGAAACTCTATAACTCCTGATCCTAGCCCCTAAGGCATAAGCACCAAAGTCTAAGGGTTTGTGTCGGCTGAGGGTTGCTCACGGAGAAAGGTCTGACAGTAGCACCTCACGTGAAATTGGGAACCCAGACATCAAACCCTCCCCGGCCCGGCGCGGTTTAGGGTTTAGGGCTCCCGCTTGTCTCGATGGTACTATTCAAACTCTGCTTCGCAGTGGGGCTTGCGGGCAAGTATTCTGGCAGGAATTCTGTCTCGCAACATAGGGAACTTAGAACAACTCCGAGGTCGGCATATCTCAAACCAGGCGTCACGAATATCCGCCCAGAGACACGAGAGAGCCCCCAACCTCCAAATGGGAGTTTCCGAAAATCGGGACCCTTAGGGTTCCTTTAAAGGGTTACCAACAAGGGACCGTGATCTAGCACCCTAAATAGTAGGATCCTTATTAGAAGGACTCCACAATACGGTACCCCTAATTTTCGGCCGGAAACTCCCAACTCCCGACAGCGAGACGGAAGCTGCAATATATATATATATATATACATATGTAGACAAAGATGTAGACAGGTATAGATAGAGTTTTTTACTTTGTATTATCTAAACTCTAAACCTAAACAGTATAATGTATCCACAGCAGGCCAAGACATCCCTTGCGCCCCGAACAAGCGCACCGGCGGCTTCGTGATCGGCGGAGTGATTGCGCCCATCTTTTTCAACACCATGGAGGACGGAATGTGGAATGAAGATCTTGGGGGAAAGATATTTGTTCCCCAATATGCCAATGTGTTTAGTGCTTCTTCAACAACATGGAGGACGGAATGTAGAATGAAGATCTTGGGGAACATATTCCAAGACCCTCCTTGTACCCTAATAGGGGTATAAGGTCCCAAAGAAGGTGCATTTAGGGTCTAATAGAGGGTAGATGGAGGGTCTAGGTTTGTTGCCCAATATGCCAATATGTGTAGTGCATCCTCAACAACATGGAGGACGAAATGTAGAATGTGGGCTTTAGGGTTTAGTAGGTTAAGGGGTTCAGAGCTGCTTGTTGGGTCTTCCTGTCTCTTGGCCTTGAGGCTTAAGAGGAGAAAGAGGATGGACGGGACACCGCATGACTCATGCAGGCATCATTGCTCTTCGGAAAACTTTATGATGGTTCACTGTTTTGCTCTGCATTTTAATATGCTTTTCGAAATCCTGCACCCCAGCTCTCAAGCCTGATTGGAGGACTCTGGTGCACTGCCTTTGGAGATGGATGTCAAAGACATGCTCCTCAGCTGAGAGCGACCGCAGGGGTCGACAACAGTCTCACAGTTTCTTCAGGTGGTCGTAAGCCCGACGGGGGTGACAGGCGTTAGGGGTTAGCCGGTCGGTGGGTGCTCTGCTAGGGTGATGTCCTCAACCCGAGGCCCTAAACGTAGATCGCCTGGTTTGCGCCGTTGCATTCCTAAAGGCTACTTAACCCTAAACCCCAAAACCCTAAACCCTAAAACCCTAAAACCCTAAACCCTAAACCTTACAGGAGACCCCTGAAGGGCTCTATTTTTAGGAGAACCACCCGAAGGCAACCGAAGGATGGTGAGGGTTTCGGGTACCTCGACCCTCCATCTGCCCTCTACTCTGTGTCATTGTTGGGTAACATTTTACATGTTTATGGGTACTTAAACCCAATAAGGAAGAGAAATGTACATTTTTAATCCTATCTCAACAATGAACTAGTATTGGACCCTAAATGCCCCTTATTTGGGACCTTATACCCCGGTTTGAGGGTACAAGGAGGGTCCTGGTATAGGGTTTAGGGTTTGGGTTTCAGGGCTTAGGGTTGCTTTCCAGGGATCAGGATTTGGGATAGGTGTGTCGTTCCTCCCTTTACCCAGGAATATGGGCGACCTCATCGATCTGTGCGTCTATGAGATCTGGGCAGCATGTGGAAGTCAACCTCACAAAATAAACCTATTCTTTGGGCCTTAATAATGACCTGTACCACTTTGGCGTTCCTGATTATAGCTACCGTATGCTATACCCCAAAACCCTGGACCCTGTAGGGCTACTTATCAAGTTACATAATAACTGCACGCGAAACCCTATTCTGATTACTACGGGCCCTTAAAGCCTTAAGGCTACTGCAGATGCCTCGTTTTGGATCTCCCCAAATCCCATGCAGACTTCGTGATACCGTGGCTTGGGTTATGCGAGACCAACTTCCACGCATCCCCGGCCCTCATCCCTCGTGCTACATATAAGGGACCCAAAAATCACATAAGCAGAAGCATTTTATGGGGATATCCCTACCATATTGGGCTTCTTTAAAAAGGGCGTTTATATGGGATATCCCTATCCTAATTTTTGCTTATGTGCTTGTTTGGGCCCCTAACATACTCCCATGACCACGACGGCTTCAAACCGCCATTCCGGAACCAAAGACCTGCCGAGGAGCAAGTCATCAAGAAGCACGGCACCGACGAGGTCCTCACTAAGTTCGACCTCAAGCACGGCTTGATGCTGGACCAGGCGGGCAGAGTCCTGAAGCCGTAAAGGGAACTCCAGAAAGTTGGAATATGGATTAATGGTAGGATCCCCTATAATTTACCTTAAAGGGGTTACGATAATGATATTCCAACTGTCTGGCTTCTACTGTAAGCTCTGGACATGAGAATGGATACGGTATGGACCCTTCGCAGGCGGGGTTTAGGTGACTGCAGATCACGAGAAGGGCTCCTTCGACAAACAGCCTACCTAACAGATACCATACTCCCCGCATGCCCTGTGCTACCAGACTCTGGTAAAAGAATCCATTTTGGGAGGGTTAGCAGTATTTTGGGAGTGGGGAAGATGTAGCAGTCTCGAAACGTAGGGAGCCCTAATGTAGAACCCTCAATGATAGAATTCCGGTTGATTTTCCGACACCCTCGTGTTGGATGCCGATGCAGTTCTTTTGATTGCATACGGGTTGCTTAGTCTTTACCTGGATCCTAAGGAACCTACCTTTTTAGGGCTCCTTAATATGATTTCTTTATATAAGTCCTTAAAAAAGGTAGGTTACGTGGGTTTAAGGTAGGGTTTTACTTTAGGATCTGGAGAGGCAGAAGGAGGACGACGACTACTGCTGCTACTACCCTAGCTCTCTGATGGGTTGAAGTGTATGGGTTTCCGGCTGTAGCTTCATAACATGATATATTATTTAACTAACTTATACATAGTTTATAAATCAGGGTGCAACATCTTAGGTGGCGGGAGGTTGCCTGTGCACAGGCATCCCCTCATTCCGTACTTGAGAGGCTTTTGGAGTCTGTGATTACGATGGCGGCCTGAGTAAACTCCAATCTAGTTCCGTAGGCTTCATTCTCAGACATGTTTATGCTTCAAAATACCCTAGAACCCTAGTTACAGCATCAAGGCCCCTATATCTCAGATCCCTAAACCCAAAACCCCTACACGAAACCCTGAGAGCCCCTTTAAACCTAGACCCTCCATCTACCCTCCAGTAGACCCTAAAAGCCCATGATTTTGGACCTTGTACCCCGATTTGAGGGTACAAGGAGGGTCCTGGAAGGAGCCCGAAAAGGAACCCCTAAACCCCAAACCCTGCACTCCAGAGTGCAGACTGCTGTCTCTGGAGAAGATGAGTTCAACAACAAAAACCCTAAACCCTGAAAGAGCCCTAGTCTACCCAGGTCCAGGCGGGTGGCCGCATCCCTTTGATCATCGGCCGTGGACTCACCAACAAGGCCCGCGAGAGCTTGAACCTGGGCATGTCTACCACCTTCAAGCAGCTCGGTTTGCTTTTTGGGGCTTAGGGGGTTTAGGGGTGTGGGGGTTTGGGGTTTAGGGGTGTAGGGGTGTAGGGTTTAGGGGTGTAGGGGTTTAAGCAGCTCGGTTCCCAAGTTTGAGGAGGAGAGGGGGCGGGAGCGAAATTTGGGTGGCTGGGTGAAGCAGCTCGGTGGCTTCAAGGGTATAGGGTGTAGGTTTGTAGGGTTCGGGGTATATAGTTTGGTAGGTATGCTGTTTTGGAGGTGGGGATCATGTGGGCACTAGGTTACCAGGGCATTTATGCTGGTAATGCCTCAACCTTCAACCCCTAAAGCCTCAACCCCTAAAAGCCCTAAACCCTCAAACCCTAAAAGCCCAGGCAGATGGCCCAGCCAGATGTCAACGTGAAGGGCTTCACGTTGGCTCAGAAGATGGTGGGCAAGGCCGCAGAAGGGCTCATCTTGTCGGTGAGAATTTGGGGTGTGTTTCGGGTCGTGACGTATGTTATGTCAGGTTGTATGTACATACTGGGTGTACATATACATATACATATACATATACATATACATATACATATACATATACATATACATACATATATATATATATATATATATATATACACACATCTCGCTCTCACTCTCTCTCTCTCTCTCTCTCTCTCTCCTTGTCTCTCTCTCTCTCTCTCTGTCTTTCTCTTTCTCTCTCCCCCGATAAACTGTATGTATGTATGTATGTATGTATGTATGTATGTATGTATGTATGTATATATATATATATATACATATGTATGTACTTGCATACACACGTATATCTAAATATTTTCTGGTGAATACATACATTGTTGTTCATAATCGGGCGTGTTTTTGTTGATCCTTTGTTAGCATGCTAAGCACCCAGAGCCCCCTACCAGAACGCCAATTTGCTGTGCCAGAGGCGAATTCTGTGCAAGGCTAGAAAGTTTTGTGGATTCGACTCTTGTTTGCTAGAGATGCCTGCTTCAGGTACGAGGTTGAGCGAGTGATGCCAGAAGGCCACGGATGACCTTTCCAAACCCGTTTTCCTTTCCAGGCCTGTGGCGTTGAGGGCGTGGTGCCGGGAGCCTACTGCGAGCCCCGCATGGGAACCTTGGACTTGTTGCTGGAGCAATAGTCGTTATCACTGCGGCATGGGATATTGGAGTCTCTGGGTGTAATGCACCTCCGAGAATGTTGCCTGCGACGGCCTTCCAGTACCGTGAAGCATCCTTGAACAACGCCAGAACCCTCAACTCTACACCCTCGACTCCACCCCCCTATGCCCTATCTTCCTAAGCCGGGAACCTAAACCCCAAACCCTAATCCCTAAACCCTAACCGTCCCAAACCCCCAAACCTTAACCCCCAAACTCTAATCCCTAAACCCTGAACGCCAAACCTTAAACCCTAAACTCTAATCCCTAAACCCTGAACGCCAAACCTTAAACCCTAAACTCTAATCCCTAAACCCTGAACCCCAAACCTTAAAGCCTAAACCGTTTTCACTCTGAGGAACTGTGGGCTCCCAGGACACCACTGGGCCCATGACTCGCGCCGCTCGGCCGCAACGTCTTCGGGTGCGTTTTCTTTTCAATGGACGGGTTTAGGGTGTAGGGTGTAGGGCACAATGATGGAGGTTTTGGGTTCATGATTCAGAGCTTTTAGTATAGGGGCCTCGATAACTACCAATTACCAATACTGTTTAGGTGGTTCCTTGTCGAAAGAAGTAGTATAATGTTCCCGGCTTAAGGCTTCGAGGCCAGAGGCGCAGGGTTGAGAGATGACTCTGCTTCCTGTGCCCAGCTGGGGATTTACGACATGTTTAGGGTCTACGGTTAAGGGTTCAGGGATTAGGGTAGTTCACCAAAACATGAAAGTCCGAACCTCACGAGACATAGCCTTGAACCAAAAACCCGCGACTACACACCAACGAATCCACATGTTCAAAACCTGAATTCAATCCTAAAGCCCTGAAGCCTCACATGCCAAAGGCCTGATCCCTAAACTGCCATACTTGAGAGATTCGGTCAAGCCCTATACCCTATACCCTATACCCTAAACCCTAAACCCTAAACCCTAAACCCCTAAACCCCTAAACCCCACCCCCCCCCTCCACCAAGCCAAGGATGAGCTGAAGGACTTGGCCTGCCTGGGATTCCAGGCGGACCTCGTGATGCAGCACCTGGGCTCAGAGTCTTTACTTCAGGGCTGTAGGGCTTGAAGGAGTTAGGGTAGGATTAGGGTTTAGGGGTCTTTACTTCAGGGCTGTAGGGCTTAGGATTTAGGGCTTCGGGTTGAAAAACCTTACCAGGGAGCATTTAACCCTAAACACTAAACCCCTAAACCCTAAACTTTGGCTTTAAACCTCAGACCCTATGCACCCTAAACTTAAGCTTTGGCCCTAAACCCTACACCCTATAAACCCTAAACCCTACAACCCCTACACCAACTGGTTGGGCCCAGGTCTTTCTGCCACACCGCCGCCTACCCCAAGCCCGTGGATGCCCCTGCCTCAGAGTTGAGGGTTACGGGATGTTGACGGCGTAGGGTTTGGGGTAGAGGATTCAGGATTTGTGATAAGGGCAAAGGGTGTGCTGGAGGGTTTGTGTCTGTGGGTTTGGGGTTGAGGGGAGGGTAAGAACTTGTGACTATTTTCAAGAATGACCTACCATAAGGGCTTAAATGATGACCAATACTGTATTATTTCGCAGGGTTCCTTTTCATAAATATAGTACAATGGGCCCAAAAGCCCTATTCTGATTATTACGGCCCCAATAGTAAAATGTGGGCGCTGTCCCTCCACGAGAGAAATAGAGTAACCATGCAAAGGCAGAATTGAATCCATGGGCGAGGATCACAGTCAGGCCTCGTGGCTTCAGTGCCGCCAAGGTGATCACGCACCGCACCCTGCCGAAGTTCATCGCGGACCGCGGCGGTGTTGCCCTGCGCCCGGGCGATGGCATCATCCATTCCTGGCTCAACCGAATGCTGCTCCCCGATGAGGTCGGGACAGGCGCGGGGGAGGATCAAAGTTCAACCCCCCCCGCACCTATGTTATTTTCCCCACAAGTCCGTGCCTTCCCCGAACTCCAATAATGGCGTAAATCCTAAACAACTCAGGGTGTGGAGTCTTGAGTTCGAGTTCCGACCCAGGCTCTAGAACCCTTGACTTATCTTAACCTCAAGAGCCGAAAGCGCAATCGTCCCTTCCCTTGAAGGCGGAGACTCGCACACTCGCTTCTTGGATGCCGTTTAGGGCTCTTAGGGTGAGCAGGCTTTAGCTTTTAGGCTCTACCTTGACAACCTAACCCCTACAAATAACCGTGCATTTCAGAATAAATGCATTTACGCTACAAACCCCACAAGAAACATAATATTATCTTTCTTGGCTTTTGGAGGTTGTGAGTGCGAAATGTAAGCAATTAGGCGGCGACTTGATTTGGTGCTAAGGGGTTACGAAAATAGTTCGAGGCATGCAGAAATATTCATAAGTTGGCAAGGGATTCATCGTGCTGACGAATTGCTCTTGGCTGGAAGTGTTGACAGCGGGGGCCCGGCTTCTCTGGAGGCTGCTTCGTGGTCCGCCCTCCCCGTGCTTGTTCGGGTTTTCTTCAGCAGTGTGCATGATCAGTTGCGGGCAGTTCCAATCGTGATCTTGTAGTTGCTGCTGCTCAAGGCCAGGACTGTAGGGCTATAGGGGGGTTTTCCACGATGGCAGCAAAGCTCCTGAGCAACTGCTCCCAGAGGGGTGTGGATCTGGCCCATAGTGCAGGACATAAAAGCCGCATCACGAGCATGGAAAATTTTACTTGTCGGTTGCCAAACTCCTGCATGTACTCCATGGCAGGACTCATGCATCATCCAGATTCGTTTTGGAATGCAGCAGTGGAGGCAATCTACCCGGGCAACGAGGAGATGTGTGATGCTCTCGTATATGCAGATTCATTCATAGAAATAACAAATGTTTGAATATATGTGCAGGACATTCCATGTGCAGATAAGATGATGGCCGACGTGGTGACGAACATTGAGATGAATGGCATCTGCAAGCATTTCGCTGATATGTTCGTTCGGGGTCAAGGCCAGCAGGGAATCATTGACTTTAGCAAGATCGTATTCCTCGATTTTCAAATTAAGCGGCCCCTGCAGGAATGCTCGAGATCCAAAGGGGGCTTCCGAAGTGAGTCCTGCATGTGCGAGCATGCAGTCGCAGAAAGTGTTTCAGGCAGGCAATGCAGTCGGCACGATTTAACCGTCGGGGATTGTAGAAAAGCTGCTTGAGCAAGCCAGGGGGAAAAGATGTTTGTTCGGTCTTCCATGCAGATTCGAGCTCCAACAAGTCGAATCCAACCGAACAGCACAAAGCCTTCCCCCACGCAGGTCGATGCATGGACGGCTTCTCCTCCTTGCCAGCTTTTGCTGGCTGTGGAGGCAGACTGCATTTCGCCGGGGTATTGTTTGAAGTGTAGACTAGCCGAGCTCTCCGGCAGGCTGCTTTTAGTTTTGATCGTGCTCCTGATCTTCGATTTGCAGATCGGGCTTTCGCTTTTGTGCGGGCCTCGTTGTCTTTAGACTCAATCATAGACTAGCAAGTTTGACAATCAAAACCACTCCCGGGCGCAGGCCTTGGGCCTCCGAGAATCATTGGTGGATTCTTCGAGGCACGCAGGGATGGTTGATCGTGAGTCTAGTTGGTTTCAACAGCGGCTATATATCATCATATGTTGCAGGTCCTCAGACGGCCATTGATTGTGGTCAGTGTCTCAGTTTGGATTCCTCGTTCTCGGCTGCCACTGACAGTTGTTCCAACTGTGGTCTTTCCTTTGAAGGATTTGGGTTGCAGCAGCTCCGTTGTGTAGCAGCCATGGCAGCCATGGAAGGGGAGCCTGTAGCGGTGGTGGGCCAGCAGCTTCGGGTGAGGAGAAGGAAGGCTCAGGTTTGGCCAGAGATGGGCAAGCTTTCTTCTATGTGGGAGGGGAGCAATGACATCAGGGCTCTGTTCAGAGACAACAAGCAGAAGCTTCTGAAATGGCCGTCGCCATCTGTGGTGGGTGTTGCAAGCCTTAAGGCTCTGTCGCTCAATATCGCACTGGTGAACCAAGCCATTGAGGTTTGGGCGGAAGTTAATCCCACGCCGAAAACTATGTCGGTGGATTGGCTGAAGCAAGAAGCTACTTATCTAAAAACCATGTGGAGGTTCATGGGTATATATGTTATATAAGTTTACTAGGGTTCGTTTAAGATTCTTTATGGTTCTTTAATATGTGTTATATATATATATATAAGGGATTTAGGATCTACAGGGTTTGCTTCGAGGTTCCTGATGCTTCGATGTCTCAGGTATGCAAGTTGCATGAGCTGCTGAATCCCAACGTGAACTCCCGGGCCGTATGCATCTATGTCGATTCGTGGGGAATCAAACGACTTTCTACCCTGGCTATGTCTAGGTGGAAATCCCCGATCGGAGCCCCACGAGTTCCCAGGTTGCACGTCTCGGATCTGTGTACACTACATTCAAGACGGGGCTGTTAGATTATGTATATAACATGCATTAGCTCAGGACAGATCGCTGCAAGTCCTCTTCGATACCATGACAGCTGCTTGGGGTCAGGATGCAGAGATGGAAGATGACGGGGGCGATGATGCCGGTGCGATTTTGGATGACGCCTACTTGGCTTCCGATGATGCTGGTGACTCTGACTCTTTTCCGGCTCAGGCAGAGGATTCGACTGCCGGCGACGGCGAAGCCTTGGATCGCCAGATCTCGCTCCTGGATTTGCGGGTGGAAGAACTTCAGAGACTCGTTTGCTGTTACCCTACCATAGGACGTATTGGTCTTAGAATGTTCTCTCAATTTCACTTAGGAGAGAGTTGGATGCCCGCAGGGCCAATCGACAATTGGGTGCCTCGATGGCTTTGGCATGTACATGGATTGTGTACAGTTTCAGTGATTGTAAGCATATATGTACAGTGTCTGAGGTGTTGCATGTGCAGACCCTTCCAACAGCGACACTTTGCCGCACGACCTCATGGACAATTACATGGCCGACACCCCAATCGAGATCAGTGATTCTGATTGCGAGAATATTGTTCTGAATGAGGAGTACATGCAGGATCGCTGGGTTATACCGCATTAGAACAGCTGACTATGTGTTTGCAAATCCACATTCACCTTGGAAAGAAGCCAGGAGCCTTCTGCTGCATGCTGCCCAGAGTCCGCTGAACCAGGTGTCAGTACGGGGCAGCCGCCAGCAGAAGATGAGAAGCCGCAGGATGATCCTGAGCTCGATGGCTTCGATGTCCTAAACTTTCAGGACTGCCATGCCGCACTATAATTGGATGTCCTAAGCGGCTCGCTTTATTGAGGGTTTAAACATGTACTCGTATCCTATTCAGGAAGTCCCTTGCCGGCTGGAGCAGCATGCGATCTCCGCGACAGTTCGTGGGCATGGCACCACCAACAACGAACACGACGATGAAGGCGATGAGCCGAAGCCACGTGCAGGACGAGGACGTGGACGTGGCCGAGGACGTGGTTCGGGCAAGGCCAAGCCGGCGAAATCCGCCGTTGGTGGTGGCAGAGGCGGCCGAGGAAGAGGCCGTGCGACTCAGTTGAAGACTCCCTCCCCAAAAGGCAAGGGAGTCGCCGACCCATCCGACGAGGTGGAGACCCCAGAAAAGGCAACCCCGCCGGAGAGAAAGAGAGCCAAAGCCCCGAAAGCCAAAGCCAAAGCAGCTTCAAAATCGAAGTGTTCCCCAAAGTCGAAGGCATCTCCCAAATCCAAGACGGGCCCCAAAGCCTCCAAGACCGAGCCAAGCAAGCCCCGCAACGATGAGAGTGGTGATGGTATGGGCGATGAAGACAAAGGTGCTGATGAAGGCAAAGGTGATGGAAAGGCGAAACGACGACGCCACTCCGAAGACGACAAGAGTTTCGCACGCCGTGCGAAACCTAAGTCCTCCCAAGCTTTGATCCACTGGTCCGCAATCCGTGATGTGTTCAAGTCCGACATCGCCTTGAAGTTGACCAACCCTGGAACCAAGCAGGACCTTTCTGAATGTACTTATAAGTGATCGGAGCTCACCTCATGCTTCTATGCTTTCGTATTTCAGTTGCATGTGCAATTTCTAGAACCACTATACGAAGGACGACTTCTGGACGATTGCGAAGCCCATGATGCCGCCGAAGAGCCAAAGTACATACGAAGAATGTGTTAAGGTTGCCAAGAAGGCTGCACGTGAGTTTCTGCTGACTGTTCCTGAAGAGGAACCGTAAGGGGAGTGAGCATCAACTTCCGGCTTTTGGTCGAAGATGTGCTTTTCGGGGCCATATAGCAGCAAAGCTGTTCTGCCATTCGCACATTATCGTGCCATATCCTGAACGAAATAAGTGGGCTGGGATATAGCCATATTACCTTCAGACTGCAATGTCGTTCGGGCGGGCCCATATGTGCGAGAGTAGTTACACATTGCTCGTGGGGCTTTAATTCCGTGCTTTGGAAGATCGAGGCAGCAGGCAATCGAAAACAGCCAGTGCATCCGTGCAAGCCGTTATCGGTGCCTACTTATCTAAACCCTAAACCCTAACCCCTAAACCCTAACTATAAGGCCCATGGGACCTATAGTAAGTAAGGTTATAAGTAGGTGCAATTAAGATAACCCCACTTAGGAGACTATATATAACCCCAGTTATAACCTACTTACTATAAGTCCCATGATCCTCTAAGTACCATATCTCGGCATATATTGACCTTCCCTTGATACACTGCAATCCTTAAGATTCTCCCGCCCAGGTTCGACAATGCGACGTGGCCAGTCATTCGTGGCCCGGTGCGGGGCCCTGCCGGATGATGCCTTGGATGAAGGTTTCAGCCGGCTCGCTTGATGCCTCTCTCTGTTCTCTTTCGCCATTCACGGCAACTAAGGTTTCATATAGGGCTATATGCAAATCGAACCCTTTCTATACTTTCTTGAATATATTTAATATATTTAATATATATATATATATATATATAAATATATATATATATATATATTAAATATATTCAAGAAAGTATAGAAAGGGTTCGATTTGCCGGGGTAGTAGGTCACTTAGCATGGACTAGCCCGCTTGTTGCAGGGTCTCATATATAGATTAAGGAATTGTACAGTATTTGTGTCTGCTCGATGATCAGCCTCGTGCCCCCAATAAGTTTCCACATCATAAGGCTCGCCCGACACGTTTCATCCAGAATTGTATGGCTTCGGGATTGTACTCTGTGCCTTATCCTGGTCGCCCCATAAGATCTCTCTCTCTCACACATACTCTCTCTTTCTTCCTCTCTCCCACACTCACACACTCAATCACTTGCTCTCTCTCTCTCTCTCTCTCTCTCTCTCTCTCTCTCTCTCTCTCTCTCTCTCTCTCTCTCTCTCTCTCTCTCTCTCTCTTTAACTCCCACCCTCTCACTCTCACTGTCACTCTCACTCTCACTCTCATTCTCACTCTCACTCTCACTCTCACTCTCTCTCTCGCTCTCGCTCTCGCTCTCGCTCTCGCTCGCTTTCTCTCTCTTGTGTGGGCTTTGCTGTTGGGAAATGCAGCACATCACAGGTTGGCCCGTGTCCGGGCTCAATGGATATCGGATAGCAAACATGCAGCAAGCTTTGTGGTCAGGCTTGCAGTCGTCCTCGACATACCTCCTAGCCATAGCTACCAGCCAGCTTCCTTCAAGCACTGCAGACAAGTCCCGGGAGATGCATGGTTGCATGAAGCCGATCCTGCATCTGGTTGTGTGAGGCTTGCATACGGATTGGCGGTTGTGGGGGGGGGCTTCGAACATACTTACTTACATAGTTGATCATAGTTGATCATAGCCCGCATAGGATCCCACTGTGACCCTCGATCCCTATGCAACCCTATAATCAGCTTAAGCCAAATCAGCACTCAAAGCTTCGACGAGCCGAGATCCCCGCAAGAGGCTCCGTTTAGTGGAAACCCTAGATCCTCCCAGTCTGCACATCCCTATAAACCCATTATCAATCGTTAAACCCAATACCCTATCCCTAATATATCCTATAAAGCCTAACAGCCGCTTGCACAAATCGAGGATGGTATGGTCTGGCTCCTGGTGGCCTTTGGCTGAACTTCGGTGCCCAGCTTGAAGCTTAGAATTCTGGGTATCCATACTTGGGCTCGCTACATCCGGGTGTTTCGGGTTGTTTCAAGGCTCGGGTTGTTGTTGATATATGTCAAGAAACCCAAGCACATCACCTGTCAAGATCGAGTCGTAAACCTCTTGTGATCGCCTCCCCAAATCCTGTTGCGACTTCAACCCTGGACCGGGAACCCAGAAAGATACATAGTCTTGCAAGCCTGCTTTCAGCTCTAAAGGGTCGAGTCAAGCATCCAAAGATAATAACCTTAAGCCCCACGAAGGATCATTGTAAAGCCTATGCAGGGTTGAGAATAGCGAATTCGTCGTGTACTCGGGTTAGGGGTCCTCATAGTCTTATATAGATCTCAATCGAATCGTGCAGCCTAAGCCAAGCTTTAGTATCCCAGGACAGCTCATTCCCAAGGATCAGCAATGTTCAGGCCGGATACTAATAATGCCTGTGTGGTTGGGAATCACGAGTTCCTTGTGTAGTCCGGGCTTGGGGTTTGGAGGATCTCGGGTCATCGCTGGGTCCGATTCGAGTTGATGGTTTGGCTTAAGGCACACTTTGAGTGGGGCCAGGCCCCAGACGGATCAGGTTTCCGAGTCTCTCAGGGTGCCGGGTTGAGTTTGTCAACTATAGTACCTATATATAGTAGTTAGAATAGATGCCTGCAGGTTTAACATTGGATCTCCCCACTTTTCCGAGGTTCTAGATGGTCCGCCTACCAACAAGTGGTTGTCCAGGTTCGAAGGTTTCTAGATTCAAGAGTAGTAATTGCAGTATATCTGTAAATGTGTCAGAAACAAATCTTGCTGCTTGCTTAGACTGCCTGGCTAGTACAGAATGCTCAGCTGCCCGCTTTGTAGTTCTAGCTTATATCATGCTTTGGATTTTTTGTGCCTATATATATATATATATATATATATATATATATATATATTACACGAGAAATACAAAGCTAGCTTTCTAAAACCAACTAGGATACCGATCTTCTCTATGATTTGCAGCAGCCCCTCATAAAGCAAGAGTTGCAACCAACGAATTTCGACATCCGACATCTAATTTATCCAGTATATAAGCTATATACAAGATGTATAATTAAGTCGTACAGAACCTGACAACTCCTTAATTTATGCTAACGCTATAGTGTGCTTCTGAGTCCGGGAAACACCATCGATGAAAGCATTCTTGAGCACACCCGCATTTATTCATATTAATGTGCAGACATTATACAGTTCTATATATATATATATATAGATATATATACTAATTAACTTATATTGTATACACGTATAGTATGAAAAGCCCTATAAGCCGCTGCTTCCAAGGGCTGTAATGGTTTGTATTGAAATGACTTACATCAAGGAGTCTTGGTTTCTGCAGAACATATACACTCTAGTGTGTCATATATATCTATATAGGAAACATGCATGCATCTACTCGTTTGTCAAATATATGCGACAGCCCGATCATCGAACTGATTGAACCGTCCTGGAAGACCCCATATGTCCCACAAGGGCGAATCGTAGACTGGCCCCAATTAATGATATATGGACAAATCTTTCTCGCAGATAAGGAACGACCCAGCCCAGCTGCTCCAGGTGGCTGATGACAGATGGCAGTTCTCCTCGGGTCGCTCCTGGGCGGCGGGAGGGACATGTTTGGAAGACTTGAGAGCATGCTTCTCACGCCGAATCAGAGTTTCCGGGCGATCCTGATCATGCACCAGGGTTGCTCGATGCTAGATTTCACGTCTTGGCCCCGCCAATTCCCAGAAGTATTTTTCTTGAATTATTAGGAACTGGTGCGAAAAATCGGGATCCCAAACAGTAGCGGAAATGGCCGGGATTATAGCGGAAATGGCCGGAATATAGCGGAAATTGCCGGGGCAGCCACCTACCCAGTTTTGCATGGTCTTGTGCGCTCTGCATGCAGCACTGACCTTGAGCTCTTGTCTTGTGCTGTTTGAATCGCAGCCCAGCAGCATCGTAGGCCAATAGGTCCGCCAGGCCACAGACTCCTTGGCTAGTTGTGCTGGGATGCCGGGGGTAGTGAAGATCGAAAGTACCGAAGAACAACAGCTTGAGAAGCAGATCCAGGCTGGGTACTGGGCCTAAATGTATTGCACTCGTCGTATTGTCTCGCACACCGACGGAATATGTAGCTGCTAGATCACGCATGCAGGAGCTGAAGAAGAAGCAAGAGCTGCTTCGATTGGCCAAGGTGATGCTGCATTAGCTTGCACCCCCAAATATGCTCTGTATATCTATCATAGGCCTATATAGAACCCTTTTGTAGCCGTCTTTTGTCGTCGCCCCCGTCGTCGCCCTGCCAGTCTTTGTGTGTGTGTGTGTGTGTGGGTGTGTGGGTGTGTGTGTGTGTGTGTGTGTGGGTGTGGGTGTGTGGGTGTGGGTGTGGGTGTGGGTGTGTTGGTGGTTTGTGTTGGTGTTTGTGTGTAGGCTATGGGTCTGCTGAGGCAGAGAGAGGGAGAGAGGAGAATACATAATCATCGCTCAAACACACGTACACAGATACACAACCACATGGTAAGTGCACAGGTTCGACAAAGGACACAGAACGTGTAGTGGAGAGGCATGTTGACCGCAGACACATATATATATATATATATAGATCATATGATTGTAGATACACACATCGACTACCTATATGACTGTCTAGCTACACTTACATACATACATACATACATACATACATACATACATACATACATACATACAATACATACATACATACATACAATACATACATACATACATACATACATACATACATACACACATATATACATATACACACATACATGCATACATACATATACATATACAATATACATATACATACATGTACTACAAAGGTTTGCTTCACTCGGGGCTTAGCTTCACCCTGGGGCTCGGAGCCTTTGAGACTGACCTGCACCCTATGAAACCCTGAAGCTAAGAAACCTATGGTTGGGGTTTTGTGCTAGAATAGTCAAATACCTTTGGAATTGGGGTGCTGTGATAGGTGACATAAAAGCCTAACTTGGGCCTCTGCTGCTGGGCTCTTCCCTGATCAACTCAAACCCACCCTAAACCCTTATATAAGTGCTATTCAAAACCCTATTAAAACCCTTATAAACCCGCATTTATAAACCCTAAACCCTGACCCTATAATTTTTAAGTTGCCGTGGCTGCTGCTGCATCGCCAGGAAGCAGCTGAATCCGAAGTGGAGCCCGCCCCAGGTGGGCACGACCTCCGTATTGGGAAGGCTGAATTCTTCAGGGTATACGAAGTGAGTTATGTAGAGTTTAATCAAACCTTATATTGGCTCCTGGGTGTAGCTGAAGCAAACAAAGGTCCCGTGTATAGTGTTGATCCAAGAAAGGGGTTTAGTATAAAATTAGATTGGGCTTTATAGTGGTTTGTGGGAGGTTAGATAGGGTCAAGATTCTGTGCCCAGCCAGCCAGGCGATGCAGCAGCTCTGGAAGGGCAGCAAGCAAGGGAGCAGGAAGAGGCAACGGCACCAGCTTTAGCAGAGGAGCAAGCAAAAGAACAGGAGATGGCAAAGGCACGAGCTTTGGCAGAGGAGCAAGCAAAGGAACAGGAGCAGGCAAAGGCACGAGCTTTGGAGGAGCAAGCAAGGGAATGGGAACAGGCAAAGGCACGAGCTTTGGCAGAGCAGCAAGCAAAAGAAGAGGAGATGGCAAAGGCACGAGCATTGGCAGAGGAGCAAGCAAGGGAACAGGAGCAGGCAAAGGCACGAGCTTTGGAGGAGCAAGCAAGGGAACAGGAGCATGCAAAGGCACGAGCTTTGGCAGAGGAGCAAGCAAAAGAACAGGAGAAGGCAAAGGCACGAGCTTTGGCCGAGGAGCAAGCAAGGGAACAGGAGCATGCAAAGGCACGAGCTTTGGCAGAGGAGCAAGCAAGGGAACAGGAGCATGCAAAGGCACGAGCTTTGGCAGAGGAGCAAGCAAGGGAACAGGAGCAGGCAAAGGCACGAGCTTTGGCAGAGGAGCAAGCAAGGGTACGACAGGAGCAGAATCAACTCATCGAAGCAACAAGGCAGAACAAAGCTCAGCTAGCAGATGCACACAAGGCCCTTTTGCAGCTGGAGCATCAGGTGCAAGACGAGCTCCGGAATGCACAGGCAGTCATGCAAGCTCAGGTGCAGCCCAAGATGCTAGCAGCTCCAGCTTTGAAAGTTGAAGCTCCCACGCCCCTGACCTCGAAAGGATCGAATGGTTCAGAGACTCCACTGTCACAAACAAGCGAGGATGCCCAAAACCCCTGGCTTTGTCGCAAGCTCTTTCCGAGCCCGGAACCGGTCACCAATTGCTCCACTCCCTCTGAAACCCAGCAGACACTTTTGCAGTGCACCCAGGACAGCCTGTCGCATGCAGTTCCCAAAGCCTGCAGCCCAATAGGCCCGACCCCACCTTCTCAGGCAGCAGCCTCTCCACCGGCTTTGCCAAAGCATCCTCCCGCAGCCCCAGCAGCCTCAGTTTTGCAAGTTGCTCCGAAAGCAAAGAGCCCGGCTGCTGTTAAGTCTGCACCGAGTGCTGTGGCCCCGCTCGTGTCAAAGCCGACACTTACGAAGCGAATCTTGCGATGCTTGGAACCAACCTCTAAAGGTACCTTCAAAGTTTCCAAAGAGATTCGCGACATGTACTATGGCGGTGGCCGATCCAGAGAACGTGTCTACGAGCTTTTTGCCGAGTGTGGGAATAACTCGGACAGCCTGGCACGATTTGTTTGTTCGCACTCATGTTTTGAGGCTTGAGGCTTGCACTGATCTTCTGCAACCCCATGGCAGGAAAGTTTTCTTCATCGCTTTAGTGTTGAGCGAGACGAGACCCACGAGACTCAGCTTCGTGTGGAATTTGAATTCCTCACGAAGCAGGAGATGAGTGATGATCAGAACATGACCGAGTTTCTCGACTGTAACATAGGTCTGCTTTGATTGTGGCTGCATTGTGTATGTTGCTTCCAGAAATGCCCTCGGCTTTGCCACCACTTTAGGGAGGAAGTTGCCCAATGTGTGGCCGAAGCTGAGAAGGATCCCACGCGAAAAATCCGGAAGCTTGTATGCAAACTTTACTCACTTTCGTAGAGCATCTTACAGCATCAGTGAGCATTATCCTGCTGACCGAGGAAGCATCCCTACAAGCCCGGAGTCTTGAAGTACTACTGCGAGCTCAAAGTCAAAGGCCACTGTATGTGCCCGTGCTGCATTATTCTAGTGCACACCACAACCAAAACGAGCCTATGAATCTCTAAAGTATATGATCTCGCTAGTCCGAGGAAGCAGAACAGGCTGCACATCAAGGAGAGCTTCGAGCATGAAGGTGAGGCGGATCATATGGATATGCAAGTGGACCTAGACGACTGCCTGAACCAACTTGACAGCTGCTTGTTTGCGACATTGCAGCAGTGGCAGCATGTGGTCCATGCATAGGATGCAGTCTTCGGAGAAACCCAAGGCGATCAGCCGCAATCCTTTCGGGACTCTGGAGATGGGGTTACTCAGCAACCCCCAACATCAGAGGATGGGCTAAAGCTTCTGAAAAGGCTCGGCTTCCCGGAGGTACAGGAGTCATCGAAGCCCTCCAGTGTCATCGACAAAGCCATCAATGCTGCAACCAAGCGAATGAGAAAGCTGCAAGAGCTGATGCCTCCTCCTTTGCCCCCCCCTGCCGAAACAAACGATGGAACAACCGCAGCACCGGCACCGGATCGCAATATGCTGCTACGTGACAAGACCAGCACTCAGCATTCGTTTCGCACTTGATAGTTGCACTGTGACTGCTGCAAATGTACTCACAAAGTGTCTGCTCCTAGGCTGGAGAGCAGACTCAACGAGCTGTATTCCAAAGTGAACTCTAGCTGTGAGCTCCTGGAGCAGTTCAAGTCTGAGGGTCTCGTGGATGGCTACAGCGAGCAGTGGCTGGGCTACTTTGGGATGAGGGTTCCGGTTGCTGCTAACTGATGCACGATGGAGATTCTTCATGTAGTGCTGTTGGTCTTCGATTCGTTTTGAGGGCCGAAGTTGACATTGATCTCGAGCTGGGAACCTGCCGCAAGCTGAGCCCTGGATGCACGAAGCAACCGCAAACACAATATTGATTGAAGCTTTCCATGACCTGAATCTGTACCTATGCTATTGCATTGATCAGGCTTATCCAAGCCTTCGAATTGGAAGGCCGTGCAAGGACAGCATGTGTAACCAAGAGTTCATCACCCCGAACCCATCGCAAGCCCCTTGGCAGGACCCTGCTTCCGAAGCTCGAAAGTGCTTTGGCAACCGTGATACCAAAGGTTCCCCCGCCGAAAAGTGGTGGCAAGGCAACCCCCAAAGCGAGGGTCAAGGCTCCATCGAAGGCCACCCCGCCAAAAGCGCCGACGAAGTCCGAGCAGCCGCCTAAGCGGCAGAGGACTAAGTAGAATTGTTCATGATCAGGGCCGGGCTGGCTTATGTGTACACCATAGACTAATGCATCGAGTTATTTCGGGCAATACAATGATGCTCAGGACAGCCTTGTGCCCGGGGTGCGAGGTTTTGTGGCTTTGCACGTGGATTACCATGTGTAGCGAGAGCATTGCAGGTGAAAAACGTGCACACGGCTTGATTCTACACTTTGTAAAGTGCATGATCTTCGCTTAAAGTTGGTTGGGGAGGGGTTGATCTTCGGAATCGATGCCAGGTCCGGTGGCATCTCATACGTTGGTGGCACTGGCCGAGAAAGTGGCTGATGGTGCCCGGGTCCAAGGCAGCAACAGTCCATAACCCGCCATAGATTTTAAATTTGCATAACAAATTTAGGGTATATGATCAAGGTATACAATACATAGACAGATAGAATTCCTAGGGTTTCATATGCACCCCCAAACATAAAGGAATCCTGACGTCCCGAAAGCCCAGCACATCAAAGCAAGTGGTGGCACTTCTCAATGTACCATCGCTGTTGTCGGCCAATATAGCTTTGGTAGCATGCAACCTTAAGTATAAACCCATAGCAGCCTTACAAACCCTTATATAAAGCCTAAATCTTTATAAGCCCGGCATAGAATCCCTATACGCACTAAACCAGAATCTCTCAAGGGCACGATTGTGCAGTCATGATTCGTTCAATGTGCACCGTGCATATATCACAACTCCCTAAACCCTATATAAACGTACCCTATAAAAAAACCCTTAACGATACAAAGCCGTCTCGCTATAAGCTGTAATTTCACGGTCTATTTATCGATCTATCTATCCACCGATATGTACTATTTACCCACCTATCCAAACACTTTCCTTCAGGATGTGTCTATGAATCTGCCAACCTATCTATCTATCCAATTCTACCCATCTTTCGATGAGGCTCCTGCTTCCAGCATCGGCGACATCGCCGGAGCGATCCTGAGAGATGGCTGCTCGCTTCCGTCCCTTCAAGAAGCTTCTAGAGTAGATAAGCAACACTCTGAACGAAATGCTCATCGGCTATTTAACCGTTACGGGCTGGCTTTGAAGGTTCCTGTGTCGAGCTTGGAAGTCGCAACTTCTGGCCAGGGGGACCAACCATTGTCCATTCCTTTTCTATCGGTTCCCAGCTATGCAAAGGTATTGCTCAATCGATACGAGCAGGTTCTGTTCGGAGGATTGAAGGTGGGACCTCAGGCCGAGAATATGTTCAGCACGTTCTGGTCTCGGTACCGTTTCACGAACCCAGACCATGTGGTATACTCTCAGGTTAATGAGCAAGATCGCCGATTCTACATACCATGTCTTCTTCACGGCGACAAAGGTCGCACGCTACAGAAATCGCCGATTTTCGTCCTGTCCTGGGAGATACCATTTGGTCTAGGCCCTGATCTTCTGAAATGCTGTGCATACGACAACAAAGCTTATGCAAGGAAGCAGTTTTCTGATGGGAAGCTGAAGTGGACTTGTTCTGAGCGGCTGCACAACGCCGGAATCAAACGAAAGTATGCTGATTTGCATGAGTGTCCCATGGTTTCGAGCCCCGGCTGCACTGGAGGGTCAAAGCTGAATCCTGATGCTCACCAGCGACACAATTCCAAAGGACACTCCTACGTCAGCCGGTGGCTGGTTGCTGCAGTCCCCTCTAAAGTGTACAACAACAATTCAAGAGCACTGCAAGCCCTTCTGAAAGAGGTGGCTTCTGAACTCACGAGTCTGTTCAAAGACGGCATAGTCCATGAGGCTTCTGGGACCCGTTTCCACTTCGCATTCATCGGTTGCAAGGGTGATGCCGAATTTCATTGGGAAGCTGGTGAGTTCAACCGGAGCTATCACAACACGGGACTCGTGAACGAGCAAATGATATGTCACCAATGCGAAGCAGGTGCTCCAGGCATCAGCTTCAGCGACAGCAGAGACAGTCCGGCTTGGGCGGCCACCATCGGCCGCAGCGAACCATGGGATGTTCTGCCGCCCTTAAACCACGCCCCGTACTCTACTCAAAACCCGGCATCTCTTTACCTCTTCGACCCCTTTCATGTGCTGAAGTATGGGTTGTTCCGGGATTGCATCGGCAGCATCGTGGTTCGATTGTGTGCCATGAAGTACTTTGATTTCGAGGATAGAGATTTGAAAGGCATAGAACCACGATTGCAGCGAGCTTACTCGATGTACAAGCTTTGGGCTCTTGCCGAAGGTAAGAACCTCACTTTGAAAAAGTTCACGAAATCCAACATGAACTTCGAGAAGTACAGCCATTATGCTTGGATCAATTGCAAAGGCTCGGAAGCGAGTCTTCTCCTGATGTGGCTTGCTGCCTACTTAAGCCTTCTGCTAGAGCAGCCCATCAAGGAGCAGTGGCACACAAAAGTTCTGCAAGCCATGAGGCAAACGGTTCAAGCTGGTTTGACCTTCGTTGGGATAATGCACTCCCACGGTTTGTGGTTGCCTAGAGGCTGTGCGCAACTGCTCATTGATGCCGGTCTGGGATATATGCGAGGATACAACTTCCTCGCGAAGGACTGCATGGACCGTGAGGTCACAGGTTTTCGATTGAGACCGAAGCTACACTATCTAGGCCATATAGTCCACGACCAGCAGATGCAACTTCGTCGTGGTGCCCTGTACACCCTGAATCCTGCCTATGCTCTATGCGAACAGAACGAGGATTTCATTGGCAGATTATCTCGAGTCTCAAGGCGGGTATCTTCGCGAACTTGTAGCATTCGGACGATCCAGCGATATCTGGTCAAGGTTCGGCTGCTGCTCTCCAGAATGCTTCCGGAGTGAGGAGTGAGAAAAAGTGGGCCTACATCGGCGAGTACAAGAGTTCATGCATCGAATATATACTACCTAATTTTCGTGTTGTAGCCAGGAGTTGACGATGACCAGTCTTGTATTAGAACGAAAGATTGTGGTTTTCATCGCGAGCCCGGAAGGCAGGATTGTGTTTTTTACGCAAGATTGTGCTTTTGGCGGAACATTGTGTTTTTTCAGACATGAAGCAATAGTGGTGGTTATTCAACGGGGGCGGGTGGTCTAGGTAGACTTTAGGTGTACTTTGCGGCATGGCTGTGGTTGTGGGAAAGAGGCTTTGTCTTGCCTTCAAAGGAGGCAAGAGCATAGCACCTTGCGGCCGGATGCCTAGCTTGACGAGCTCCTCATGTCCTTAAACCCCTAAACACCCTGAACACCCTAAATACCCGAAACCCTAAACCCTCACAGCCCCAAACCGCTAGTCCCTCAACCCTAATCCCCAAATCCCGAACCCCTATAGATCCCGTCAAGAACTCTCAAGAGCCCTTCAAAGAACCTCCAATATCCTGCTCCGGATTAAAATCCCAAGCCGCAAGACCTAAACCTTGAACCTCAAACCCCCAAGCCCTACATCTTAAACCTGAACCCCCAAAGCCTATAAAGCCTACAAACCTAAACCCTTTTGCCCTAAACCCCTTTACCCTAAACCCTAACCCCCCCCCCCTCCCAAAATAAACCAAAAACAGCCCTGGGCTTCCCTAAACCCTATACTCTAAATCCCCTTAGAACACTTAAACACTCGATCAAAAAAACGCACCCTAACCCCCTCCCCCCCTCAAAAACCAACAAACAAAAACAAGAAACACAACAAAAACAACTAAGCCCTAGGCTTCCCCCTGGGCATCTCCTTCCCCGCCGGCTCCGGACTGGTGGCCTTCGGCGCCGCCACGGGGGTGATGCCCCTGCGCCTCGGCGCGATGAGGGTTCTTTAAGGTTAAGGGTTCCTTTAAAAGGGATCGATAGGGCTTAGGGGGTTTGGGGTTTAGGGTTCTTTAGGGAATCTATAGGGTCTAGGGGGTTTTAGGGTTTTTAGTGGATTTAGGATCTAGTGTTTAGGTTTTAAAAGGGGGTCCAGTGTTCAGGGTTTAGGGAAACCTCGAATCCATAGGGGTTTAGGGGGGGTTTAGGGTTTTTGGAGGATTTAGGATCTGTAGGGTCTAGTGTTCAGACTTTCTGTTCAGGGAAGCCTCGAATCCCTGAACCCTATGCTCCCTCGTCCCTCACATCGGGGAGTCAGGACCCAGACCCCCGGGAGGATCCAACAAGTAGATCCCTTAATGGGGGGTTCCTAGAAAAGTACCCTTAGTAGTATAGGGCCCCAAATCAGGGGGTCTACTTTCTAGATCCTCCCGGGGGTCTGGGGATTTGAGGTTTGGGATTTTCGGGTTGCAGGGAAAGCACAAGGTTTCGGGGTGGTCTAGTCTAAGGGCTTATTTAGGATTTTCTGCGGGTTTAGGGCTTTCGGGTTTTGGTGGTTTTTAAGACGATGTAGGGCATTAAGGTGGTGGGATTATCGGGTCCTAGGTCTTTTGCGGATGCGGGGTTTTAATGGGTCCTGCGCTCTTTAGGCTCGAGAGTGTCTAGCGGTTTGGAGGATTTGGGTGCAGGTTCAGAGGCCTCGAATAAACGTGTATTTGCGAATGACGGCAGGAACATGCCTGAGTCGGTCTTGGTTCGCTTCAGCGGCCGCTTGGCAACAGTTTAGGGCTTCGGTCCTTCAGTGGTTCAGGGTTTAGGATGCGAAGCTTTGCTAATGCTATGTACGTATAAACATATTTAATTTATGTAACATAGATGGTTATTTAGATAGATAGTTCGACAGGGCGATGGACAGATAGAGAGATAGGAGGTAGGTCTGAGGTAGGTAGCTCGATCGATAGATACATGATGCGCCATATATATATATATATATATATACACACACATGTCGCGCAGAGGTACGAGCATGTGTTAGGAAACTACGAATAGTATTAGGTAAGAGAGATGAAGAGGTACTTGACTTTCATAAGCATGCATGCATGCGCAGATACACGCTTCTTTCCTTTGCAAGGGTGTGCGGGAAGCATGATCAGAGTTTAAGCACGTAAGAGTTTCATTTGGAGCGTATCACCTTTGTTGTCGTGGTCAGGTGGGAGTTGTTTGATTCGGCAACTTCAATCTAGGAGCCCTCAAAACAGGGTAATATCGCTGCCGCATCGAAATCCTGCGTAAATGCAGCATTCTGGGGTTCCAGCATTTTCCCGTAATAGCCCCACACCCTCCGCCCCCCACCCACCCACCCACCCAAATTTTCACCCACCCCCACCAGCGACATCGCTATCTGATATCTCGAGTTTGAACCTGATATCAGAACTTCAGATTTGCGGCCTTGCAAACTTCAAAGGTGTTAGCTGTAATGTTCGTGCCAAATCCTCAAACCTTCAATGCTCGCCATATGTGCAGGCTTCCGACCCCTAGCCCTCGAAATCGAAGCACTCAGTTTAAGCTTCAACCCTCAACCTCCAAAAGCCCAACTCCTAGATTGGCCCCACCGGAGGAACAGCTTTCGATTTCTACATTTCGTCCTACATGGTTTCCTAGATCTTGTGGCCGAAATCGACATCTACTCTAACCGAAATCGAAATCTACCCTGAAACCTTAAACTCTAGACTCTATACCCCAATTCATCCAGGTTTCGACAGCTCGAAGCCGCAAAACGCCCGCCAGGCAAGATGCAGCCAGGAGTGACCTTGCGCGACTTGGTCCACGCCATCCCCTACTATGCCATCAAGCAGGCCTTCGGTAGACTAGGGTCCCTTAAAAGGGATCCTTTAAGGGTTATGACGAGGGTTTGGTATAGGGGCCTAGACATTAGCAACAGGGGGTTCCTTATGATTATAGTATAATGGGCCCCGACTCCCTATTCTAATTATTAAGGCCCCTAGAGTAGTTTCAGGGCCCATGAAGCATAGTAGTTCCTTCTTGTGGTTCATATTGAGAATTCTCTTAGGCAAGCCCAAAAAGGAACTACTATGGGGCCCATGGGTACATGGACCCTAAGGAACCTTGAAAAGGTGGGTTTTTTGGGGTTAACGTAATTACCAATAGTTTGGGTACGGCCCCCACTCAGCAATAGTTGATAATATTCATAATATAGATATATCAGGACCTTAATAATAGCCCGTTTATAGACTCTGACTGTATGGGGGCCGTACCTAACCGATACTTGAAGGAACCCAGCTTTGGCCCAGTTAGGGCGACTGGTCGGGTTTTGAAACTGTGGAGCCCACGGAGGGTTTAGGGTTTGTAAGATTTAGGCGGCAGGATTTTGGGGTTTAGGAATGTAGGATTTAGGACTTAGGGTTTCGGGTTGAGGTTTTACGTTTTAGGGTTTAGGCGTCAGGTTGCGGGTGTAGGTTTCGAGTTTAGGCCTAGGGGTTCAGGGCGTCCTGGTTTGCACCGGGGATAGGGATCAGTTAGAAGCGGCCCCCACCCTGTAATAGCGACTATAAGGATTATATTGGGGCCCTATTATATTCCGATTATACCACTATTACAGGGTGTGGGGCCCCTTCTAAGGCATCAGTCCTTTGAATAGATTGGGGCTGTGGTAATCACGTGACTCTTCTTTGGGATTCCCTCATATAACCTCTTGTTTAGGGCCGCGGAAACCCCAGTCAAAGAGACTAGGCGTCTAGTTAGAGCACAGGGCTGAGGGCTTTAAGTCTTTAAGTATCATGAAACCTAACACGAAAGACATACGCCGACATACGCATAGAAGATGGTACACAGTATTCCTAGCAGGGCCTCCAGATACTATCCAAAGAACCCCCAGCAAAGTGTTCTTTGGGGAACCCGTTTACCCCGAGCCATTAATCAGGGATTGCTGACCGTGGAGAAGAAGGGGAAGACACTCGTCAGGTTTGGCAGCCGGTCTCTGGTGTAAGATTTCGAGGTTCGAGGGCTCCTTCGATTTCGGAGGGTTTAGGTTTCAAGGTTTGGGGCTTATGGTTCGGTTCATACAGGATACTAGGGCTTCTGAGGAATAGGTGCGAGAGAATCTTTTGGCTTCTGTACTTAGATAGTGAACGGGGGAGCTTTAAACTCTTTGGCCGCATATAATAGCTCTATTTTAGAAAGTTTGACCTTTTGGGGGCCCGGTTGTTGAAGAAGAGAGTGTATTGTGGAGGAGCTGGCTTTAATTCGTGAATGGTCTCAATTGGGTACGGCCCCCACTCAGTAATAGTTGAATAATATTCATAATGTAGATATATCAGGACCTTAATAATAGCCCTTTTATAGACTCTTACTGTATGGGGGCCGTACCTAAGGTCTCAACTAAGTAGTGTTTGATTTTTTGTTGCTGTTGTGGGGATTCTAGCAATACAAAAGCCCTGCTTCACATGTGATTTTGATTTGCGAGGTGTTGGTTTAGGGCGTTTAGGGCCTACACTGCTGTGTGTACAGTTCGGTTACGGAGGTCAGGTTTTGGGTTCGGTCCGGTGGATCCTGAAATTCCAAAGCCCATACGAGCAGTCGTGCTTATGTTAGGAAGACCAGCCCCAAACCCTAAACCCCAAACCCGAAGTGAGCGCCTTGAGTGTTGCATCTTTTCAGGTAGCAAAAGCCGAAAGCCATGAGCCCCAAGTTTAGGTGCTAGGTTAGGGTTTCATGACTCAGGGCTGGAGGCTTGGAGGGTTTTAGGTGCAGGGTCTTATGATTTGGGGTGGTAGGTTTTTTGTGTTTTAAGTTCCGGGTCTCTTGCTCGAGCCCCGAAACGCTGAGCCTTGAGTCCTGGACTGTGGCAGATTCCAGTGCTCTGGGCGCAAGGCTGCTCGGGTGAATGTAGAAACCTGACATCACCAGTATGGGAGTTTCCGAAAATCAGGGGTACCTTTTTTGGGGGGTCCTTATAATAAGGATCCTATTATTGAAGGTACGATGTTAGGGTCCCCTATTTTCGAAAACCCCCGTATAAAACTCTGCAGCAACAGCTGCGACCCTAAACTGATGAAGGCCCTCTTCCGAGGGCCGATGACGCGAAAGCAACAGAGGTCCGAGCGGGGGTATAAAGTAAAAGCCAGAAAGTTGGAATATGATTATCCTCAACCCTTTATGGTAGATTATAGGGTATCCTACCCTGGAACCATATTCCAACTTTCTGGAGTTCCCTGTAAGGGTTTAGGGTTTAGGGGTTTGGGGTTTTAGCGGTCAGGGTTTTAGGGTTTAGGGTTTGGGGTTTAGGGCTTTCAAAAACTCAACCCAAATAGGCTTTAGAAGCACCTCCTAGCCCAGAAGGAGCCTGGACTTTGCAAGGAACCCGATGCAGGCCCCCACATTGCGGGCGATGATATACAGTCTTGCATCACCCATAAAAGGGGAATAACCATAATTCCCATAGTGTAGGTTCCTTAAGGTAATGTAGGGTTTATATCATCAACAGTAGGACCCAAATCGGCCCCAAAGACAGAGGCACACACACTCTGGATGCCCCAGACCCTACTTAAAGGATCATGGGACTTAGTAACTAGGGTAGGGTAACTATACTTATAACTACGTATAACACCAAATAAGGTACTTATAACCTTACTTACTAAGTCCCATGATCCTCCAAGTAAAGCCTACATTAAACCCGATATTACCCTGCATTACCCCCCAAACCCTTTGAACCCTAAACCCCTAAACCACCAAACCCCTCAACCCCTCAACCCCCTAACCCTAACCCAATTTTTGGGGCGAGCCCTACATTACCCGATATTACCCTGCATTACCCTATACCCTAAACCCTAAGCCGTTCCCAGAGAGCCCAATACCCCTTAATTCAGGAATATGGCTTAAATCATTATATGAAGCCCTATATAATTTAAGCCATGTTCCTTAATTAAGGGGTATTGGGCTCTCTGGGTTGGGGCGAGGTACCTTATTTGGGGTTACAAGTAGCTATAAGTATAGTTACGCTAATTATAACCCTAGTTTCTAAGTCCCATGATCCTCTAAGTGGAAGCCCTAAACCCTAAACCCCCTAGATTCCTTTGAGGAACCCTCTAGATCCCTTTAAGAAGCCCTTTAAGGAGCCCTAAAAGTAAGAGGGGCGAGCCCGAAATATTTTTTAATGAATCCCGAAGAAACAGCTAAAATTATAAGTTTTGCTAGGGTTCTAAGTTCAGTATAGTCTCTGGGTTGGGGCGAGCCCAGGAAGAACATCTTCAACGGCCGCATCCTGGAGATCGAGGGCTTGCCGGACCTGAGCCGCGGCGGATCGAGGGCTTTGGGGGGATCTCGGGTTTAGGGTTTAGGGTTTAAGGTTTAGGGTTTAGTTAGGATTTAGGGATTACGGGAACTTACCTACCTAGACCCCCAAAGGTAGGTAAGATAATGACCACAAACCTATAAAAGGCTATGATTCTACATACTTTTGGGGTCCAGGTATAGTCTCCATTGTAGTTCCTTTTTGGTTAACCAAAATCTCTATCATAAGAGCTTAACCATAAAATTGGTTAACCAACAAAAGGAACTACAATGGAGACTATAGGTAAGGGTTTTAAGTTTTGGGGGTCGGGGGTTTACATGTTAAGGGTTTGGGGGTTTAGGACATAGGTGTTTAGGGTGTAGGGGTCAGGTTTTGGGGGTCAGGGGTTCAGGGGTTTGCTTGTTAAGGTGTTCAGGGTTTAAGGGTTTAGGGTTTGGGGCATGGGTGTTTAGGGTTTGGGTTATTGGCTATTTGATGGTTTCAGGTGCTGTTACAGGGTCTGAGATGAAGAACGCTGGAATGTTTTGGACTGAAACTGTGCCGACAGTATAGTACCCGCAGGTTCAGGGTTGAACGCATCAAGGTAACCGCAATCCCCGAAGGCTTGAACCCAAGACCTTACTCCCCAACTCTGAGAAGCTTAACACCCACTGAAGCCCTATGGCTTCTTAGAGTCAAGCACGCCGCAAAAGCTTTCAGAACTGTCCGAACAATCCTACAGACATCCTACAGAACCATTGCCGCACGAAACCGCGCACCTAAACCCTAAACCCTAAACCCTAAACCGTCCAAAAAGGAAAAACAGGGACCCGTAGCTGTGAATCCTCATCGAACCCGATAGCCCCTAATTGGGAACCCACCTTGGAAAACCCTCTATTCTAAGCCTTACAGAAACCTCGAAGGAACCCTTTAAGGAGCCCTAAATTAGGCCCTAAATCTGAGACTAAATCTGAGGAGCCATAAACCCTAACACCTAAAACCTTGTGCTGGAACCCTATAGTACCACTTAATCACCCTTTAAGCCCTTAAGCAGGATAGACACCTTGAGTTGAACCTTTTACATGAACTTTAAACCCCAAACCCCAAACCCTAAACCCCAAACCCCAAACCCTAAGCCCCAAACCCTAAGCCCTAAACCCTAAATCCCTCAAACCCTAAACCTCAGCCCTTAAGTACGGTTGATGATATAAATCCTGCATGACCCATGATAACGAATATACCATAATTCCCATAGTTTAGGGTCCTTAAGGTCATGCAGGATTTATATCATCAGCAGTATTACCCTATATGACCCTGCATTACCACCCAAACCCTTTAAACCCCTAAACCACCAAACCCCTCAACCCCTAACCCCTCAACCCCCTAACCCCCTAAGTCGGAGCCCTTAAAGGAACCCCTATAGATCCTTTTAAAGAAACCCCTGTAGATCCCTTTAAAGGAACCCTTGTAGATCCCTTTAAAGGAGCCCCTGTAGATCCCTTTAAAAGGAACCCCAACCTGCCGAGGAAGTGCGAGCATCAGCCCTAAACCCTAAAGCCCCTATAGATCCTCCCTTAAAGGAAGCCCTCAAAGGTACCCTTAATAGACCCCTTTAAAGGAACCCTAGGATTTATATCATCAGCAGTAGGAGCCCCAAGCTGCCGAGGAAGTGCGAGCAGGCCTTCGAGCTTTCGGACGCCTCCGCCGAGCGCTCCGCGGCGGGCTGCACCATCAAGCTGAACGAGGCTCTTCAGGGTTTAGGGATTTATAGGGTTTAGGGTTTAGGGATTAGGATTTCGGGTTTAGGGATTAGGATTTAGGGTTTAGGGTTTAGGGATTAGGGTTTAGGGATTAGGATTTAGGGTTTAGGGATAAGCTGAATGAGGCTCTTTTTAGGGTTCTAGAGAGTTGTATGGGGTTCGGGCCTATCTATAGGGGTGTATGCAAATCCGGATCAAGCTGAATGAGGCTCTTTTTAGGGTTTAGGGTTCTATAGGGTTCTATAGAGGCTCTTAGGCGTGTAGGGGCTCTATAGGGTTATATATAGGGGTTATATAGGGTTCTATGGAGTTCTATGGGGTTGTATAGGGGTTCTATAGGGTTCTATGGAGTTCTATAGGGTTGTACAGGGGTTCTATAGGGTTCTTTGGGGTTCCAAGATATCCATCCAGAGATGAGTTCCAATCATGACTGTTTATTTCTCCCCGATGGATTGTGGAGCTCGTGGTTTCATTCGAAGCAAAGTGGTGCCGATGTATTTCCTGCTGCAGATCTCGATTGAAAACACTCGCCTGTTTCCGGCGAGAGGGTTTAGGGTTCTCATGGTGGGGTCTCTTTGGTTATTAAAAAGGGTTCCGGGTTATCTATAGGGTCTATAAGTCTTCAGGCAGAATGAGGCTAATGAGGGGGGGCTCTTTACGGAGTTTAGGGTTTAGGGAAGTTTAGGGTTTTGGGTTTTTTGGTTTAGGGCTCAGGGTTTAGGGTTTAGGTTTGTTTACAGGGTGTATTTTGAGGCTTTGCAGGGGGCCTATTTATGGGTCTTTTTTGAGGGGGTAGCTACAGGGTTTGCAAGACTTCGGGCTGAATGAGGCTATGGGTGGGGTGGAGTTCATGCGGGTTTTGTAAGGGTCTTCTGTAGGGTTATACTTAGAATACCTCAAGCTGAATGAGGCTTTTAACGTGGTGTAGAGGGTGTTTATGGGGGGTTTAGGGTGTCTACGTGTTTTTGTCCAGTCTTCAATGTTTACAAGGGAGTAGAAGGGCGTAGCAGGTTTTTTAATGGGCCAAGCCCAAAACCAGCCCTGAACTCCAAAGCCTTCAAACGCTCGAAATTCAGAGGACTCCGTGAAGGAGTACCTGACTTCCAACATTACGTGCCTTGTCGGCTCATGATCTGGGTGAAACTCAAGTTCTAGGACCTAGAGTAGGCCCTTATTCCCTTTGTTTAGGGCTCAGCTTCCATACAAGCCCCCCTTTGAACCAAAAAGGCACCCTTTTTATTCCTAGGTCACTTTTAGGTCTAGAGCTGCATACGGACTCGTAGTGTTATAGGTTTTGGGTTTGATGGTTCGGATCTGGGTTGGGAGCTCGTGGGTGGTCGTTGCGGGGCCGAGCACTGTTTCCGATTGCAACTCTGCGAGGTTCCTCAGCATCTGCGAAACGTGTAATATAGAAGGCTGTACTGTTCCTTTTAAAGGTTTCCTATTGTGGTTAAACCAAAATATAAGATAGTTCTGGTTCTAAAAATGGGAGTTTCCGAAAATCGGGGACCCTAATATGGTACCCTAAATACTAGGATCCTTATTATAAGGACCCCAAAATAAGGTACCCGATTTTCGGAAACTCCCAAATAGAGGCACCTACATTACACAAAGTCTCTGGCATCCTAGGAGTAGCCTGGCACAGAGCTCCATGTCCGGGCCCTTGTTAAATTCTAACAAACCACTACAGTTCCTTCAGGGATTTACAAGGGATCTAAAGGTTTCGAGCTTTGGGGTAGGGGCCTCAAAAATTACCTGCATTTTTTGGGGGGTTCCTTCTTATAATTATGGTATAACGGGCCCGAAACCCCTATTCGAATTATTATTAGGCCCCTATAGTATTGAGTTTAAGAACCATGTTAGCAAACCCCGAACCCTAAACCCCCACTATAGAGGCCTAAATAATTACGAATACTATTTTCGGGCGGGCCCCTTATTCTAATTTTAGCATAATAGACCCCAAAACCCTATTCTGATTAAGAAGGCCCCTGTTTTATAAAGTTGTTAACCTTGCATTAACGCCCAACCCGCTTGACCTAAACCCTGCGCCAGCCGGGCTCCAGGCTGCTCAAGTGGATGATCTCCGAGGGCTACAGCGATCCCCGTACCCTCGCCCGGCGTGTCACCAAGATGGAGAAGTGGCTGGAGAGCCCCACCCTCATGGAGGCCTGAAGTCTTGCACATGTGTATATATATATATATATATACACATCTCTATATATTCATTTATATGTCTTTACTATAAATGTCTTTACTGTATATGTCTATACTATATATATATATATATATATATGTATATATATAGTTTCGCTTTTTTTTCAACGAAGCCCCACCCTCACGGAGGCATGGAGCCCGGAATTTCGTCCTAAATTCTCGAAGCTTAGGCCGAGGATCTGGAAATTGAAGATTCTGCCGATATATACATAAAATATGTGTATATATATATATATATATATATATATATATATATATATATACGTATTTAATGCGTGTATATATATATATATATATTTACATAAGTCTAGATATTATATAGAGTTTCGCCTTTTTCAGCGAAGTCAGCCTCTTGCCAAGTTCGACTCCCCAAGCCCTGTTTGGAATCCGACTGCCATGCTTGGAGCTTTCCTGCCGACAGCAAGGACCAGCATGAACACGCGAATATCAAAGCCTTCAACTTAGGTACGGCCCCCACTCAGTGATAGTCCTCAACCCCCCTGTGAAGAGACCCAGGGATGCTCCGGCCAAGGAGTAGAAGACCGCCTTAGCACTTAACTAGGATGCCCAGTAGTACCCTTATTCCCTTTTTCTGGTCCTAGGTTCCTTGTAAAGTTACCCAATACCAAAAAGAGAGGCCTTTTTGTTCCTAGGTTACTGGGTATCCTAGTTAAAGTTGCAAAGCTTTGTGGGTTTGGGTAATATATAGTGAACCCCAGAAAGTTGGAACATGGACGTAGGATCCACTGGGATTCCCTATACTTTACTTTAGGGGCATGAGGAGAATGATGTTCCAACTTTCTGGCTCCTACTATAGGAACCTGATTAAGAACCCTTGGAACCTAATTAGGGTTCTTAACATGGATCCTACTATATAAATTGGGGTTTTAGGGCCAGGGTTTCTTAATCAGGTTCCCCCGTAGCCAAAAACACCTATATGCCTGTTTTCAGGAACTATATATAGAAACCATAATAGGAAGCCTAAAGGTAGGTCTTTCCGGCTACAGGCCTACATTAAAGCAAAACCAGGGCCCCTGAAGCCTCACTCACCTGGCATTGGAGTTCCATACTTTAACACTTTTTTGGGGGGGACGTGGTACTTAAAGGGGTCAATTATGAAATAAAAGTCTATACTTCCCTAAAAAGGAGGGATTTTCTGAGGGAAATGGGAGCTGTAAGTGCTGTTTTGGTGCACACCTCAAGGAGGTAGGTGTTGGACCTGCTGCCATGCGGAGAAAGGCCACTGCATCTTAAAACAAACTTTTTCTCCATGGTTACTTCAAATAAACCCTAAACCCTAAAACCCTAAACCCCTAAACCCTAAACCTTAAAACCCTAAACCCTAAACCCCTAAACCTCTAAACCCCAAACCCCTAAACCCCCAAACCCCTAAACCCCTAAACCCAAAACCCCTGAACCCCTAAACCTCTAAACCCTAAACCCCTAAACCTCTAAACCCTAAACCCCTAAAGCCTGAAAACCCTAAGCCCAGCTCAAGAAGGGAAGCGAAATCGACTCGCAGGCTGACAAGGAGGCCGAGTACGCTGCCAGGGCCCTGGGAGGCTTAGCCCAGAGACTCCAATATCCCTTACTATAAGGGTTCCTTTCAGGGATCTATAAGGGCTCCTTTCAGGGATCTATAAGGGTTCCTTTCAGGGATCCTATAAGGGTTCTTTTAAGGGTTGCTGTAAGGGATCTGTAGGGCTTAGGGTTAAGGGTACTCACAAATACCCCTTAATTAAGGAATATTCCTTAAATTATAGTAGGATCCCTAATATGATTTAAGGAATATTCCTTAAATTATAGTAGGATCCCTAATATGATTTAAGGAATATTCCTTAATTAAGGGATATTGGAGTCTCTGCCTTGCTCACCGCTTCTTTTTGCTATGGGTAAAAGGAGGGACCCAAAAAAAGGACCCCTAGGCACCTGGACCCCAAAAGTAGGTAGAATGATAGCCTTTTTTTTAGGTTTTGGGCAATTATTTTACCTACTTTTGGGGGTCTAGGTAGATGCCCTTAATATAGCTATTATGTACCCATTATCTAGCCCATGATAGGGTAGGGGTCCCCATTAAGGGTCCCTCCTCTTCCCCTTTGCTATGGAGAAGGGCTACCATGGGCTTTCAGAGGTGTGCGCGTGGGTGAGTCTGTCTGTGTGTCTGTCCGTCTTTAGGGTTTGGGGTTTAGGGTTTCGTCTGTCTGTTTGTTTGTTTGTCTGTCCAGGGTTTAGGCCGATGGTGTGTCAGGCCACGGTGACTACACCCGGCGCCCGGTCTGTGATTCTAAAGCCACAAAACCTCGGACGGTCCAGACGTTGTCTGAGCGGACCGCTCTTGAGGCCGTCATCGACATCAACCTGGATGAGCTGAAGGACCGGTCTTAGATGGTTTTGCGATGTTTCATTTGTTTCTTGTGTATGGCAGGGGATTTCACCGGCCTGTCAAGATGAACTGATTCTAGGGCACCTGCTGCTTTTCTAAATGCAGAACTCAGCTGAAGCACTGGCACCAAGTTTATGAAGATGTTTAGTAGCGGTCAGAATGACTGCGGAGACTATCTCTATATACAGTAGTTCCCTTCTACTCCTACTCTACTGCGATATATCCCCAAAGCCCTTTTCTGAGGATTGAGGCCCCTGCATTCGAGTTCACAGGGCGCGTTTTTTGTGTAGACTGCAGCGTTTTACGTCTGCCAGTTTCGATCCTTTTGGGTTGATTTTGTCGTATAATGAGAATAGAGATTTGGGGTATATTCTGCTATAACACTATAAGTATGGTGAGGAACTGGTGTCCTTCAGCGGACTTAGGATTTAGAGTTTAGGGTTCGGAGTTAGGGTTCAGGGTTGGAGGGTTTAGGTTTCAAGGTTCAGGAGTTAGGGTTCAGGGTTGGGGGGTTAAGGTTGAGGGTTCAGGGTCAACACGTTGCTTCAGTTCAGAACTACGATAGAAGCCAGAAGAATTGCCATGTGCATTCCTTCCGGTTCATTGGTATATGTAACTACAAACACACACATATGTGTATATATATATATATATATATATATTATACGCACATACATATACATATAAGTACAAAGATAAATATGAATATATTTCTTTCTATGATGCATGTATTGTAATTATACAAAAAATGTGTCACCCAAAGCCCAATTAGAACCACCAGGGCCCCTCCATTACACTGCAAAAATGCAAGCTTTGCATCCCAAGGCTGCAAATCCTAAAACCCCTGACGAGGTGGCAATTTGGGAAACTTGTTAGTTTGCCTTTTGTGGTTCCTGTAGAGGTATCTATGCATGAAGGCTTTTCAGAGCCCCAAAACTACAACCCTAAACCCTAAGCACTGAGCTTTATGGCTCACAGACCCCTAAGACCCGAAAGCCAAACATGTTCCACCAGCCTCAACGAGCTCAATGAACTGAAACGCCGGAGGGCCAACCCCTCCTCCCCCTAAACCCCTAATCCCCTGAACCCTAACCCCTAAACCCTACTGTCATTTGTTGAGGAGCCGGTCTTGTGCTGCCCCAACGATCCTGATGATGCCAAGACCCTGACGGAGGCGGGATCCAGTTTGAAACCCTAAACCGTTCAGCTTGGATTTTGCGACATGGCCACCACTGGCATTGCCATCCCGATGGTCATGATCGCTCCTTTTCGGATTGCCTCCGCTGCCCGCCGTCGGTTTAGGGTTTAGGGTTTAGGGCTTCAAGGGTTTAGGGTTTAGGGCTTGGGGTTTAGGGCTCTTCTTTTGCCACTGTGCACTCTCTTGGCAAGCGAAGCTTTTACCGTGGCATCCTGCTTGCAGATTGGAACCGCCGGAATCGACGAGGTGTTCATTGGCTCTTGCATGACGCATCCTGCATGAACTGGTGAGCTTCATCAAGCAAGGAGCCAAATATGGACCTAACTACTAGGATTCTGATTACCCTGGACAAGACCCTATATGATCTTGACAAGCTGCATGCGTTCAACAGCCTTGCGCACGATGTAACCGACTGGTCATGCAGTGCACGAAGTAGGCAGAAGGACTGCTTCTTCCCCAAGCCCTAAACCCTACTTCTACAGCCTGCGATCCTAAATCCTGCATGGCCCACCCAGGAACATTGGTCGCGGCCTCGGGCTTCTTTGAGACGCCATGCTGTGGGTGCCGTATTGAGAGAAGATTTTGTTGCTTAGGATTTGCGGTTTAGTGTGCGAAGTAAACCCTAAACCCTAAGTCCTAAGCCGCTTAAGGTTTAGGGTTTGGGAGTCAGCATCCTCAAGATTGGGTAGCATTGTTCCACTGGTAACCTCTTACGTCTGACACATGCTGCATGTGTTTCTCGCGCTCATATCTATCTATCTATCTATCTATCTGTCTATTTGTCTATCTAATTGATTATCTATCTAGTACCCTCACTCTGTAAGATGATTACCTAGGCTGAGTCTCTGTAGTAGGTCCGGTTTTGAAGGGTCAAGTTTTGCTGCTATGCGAGGGCATGGGGCTAAGGCTAAGGTGATCCCTCCCTCCTGCCGGAAGTTGAGTTCTGGCCTTCGTTTTCTCTGCAATTCCTCGGTTTAGCTGTTCTTTGGGCGTGGGAGCAGCTGCCGGAAGCCCTGAATGTCTATCAATTACGGTCCTACATGCCCATAGCCACAGCTCCGATCTAAACTCCAAAGCCTGATACCTAATAGAGGGGCCTCAAGCATTACCAATACTATTTTGGGGGTCCCTTTTATAACTATAGTTTAATGGGCCCCCAAACCCTAATTATTAAGGCCCCTACAGGACATGAACAGATTTCCGGCTAGCCCAAACATTCCGACGCTGTGGGCCAACTCCACATGAACCCCATGCAGAAACTTCCCCCCCGGAGCTCTAAACTCAGGCCACTACCGAGCCGCCGGAAAGATGCTTTCGCAGTTCGACGGCCAGCTGTCCACTCGCTTGTGGATTGCCCCCCCGACCAAGATGGACGAGGAATTTAGGGCGGGGGTTTCCCCTAAACCCTGGAAGCCCCAAACCCTGTAAGCCCTAAACCCTGTAAACCCTAAACCCCAAACTCAATACCCTGAAAACCCTAAACCATGGGGTTCAGGCACAGGTTGCATATCGCATCAGGCCTGGGTTTCATAGGGGCTTTATGGATTTTCATGATGTGAACCCCGGGTTTGGGGTTCAGTGCTTGCTTGGAGGCTCATGGGTGGAGGGTAATTACAACTACAGCGGTTGGTGTTCTTCTGATCTCTTGAGGACGAGGACCTGTGGGTGTATGTATGCCTTCATGTGCTTGAAGCTCATGAGGTCCCGTCCGCCGACACCATAACAGAGTCTGAAAAATTGGCAATCGTATCCCCGCCCTGCCAAACTCGAAACCCCACGCTCGAAACCCTGAACCACTAAACCCTAAATCCTAAGACCCGCAAGTCTGGCCGAAGTCGCCTAAACCTCCCAACTTCTCCAAGCCGGAAGCCACGACGTCGACATGCTCTGACTACCTGAGTCTACCATGAGCTAGTTTGTGGCAGTGTCCCGATGATATCGAAGCCAGGGTTTCTACTAAGAACAAGACAGACAGCTTCCAGCAGTGAGGATGGCTTGCTGCCGGTTAGGGCTTATAGGGTCTAGCGCCCGACGCCCTAACCTAAACCAACGAAACGTCACTGCTGCAGGAGCAACTCACCAAGGAGGGCTACTACTCCGTCTACGGAAAGGCCGAAGCCATACAGTTCGAGCTTTGAGCCCTACAGCCCGGAGCCATTTAGGGTTCCGGAACCCTAAACCCTGAACCCTAATCCCTAACCTGTAATCCTTAAACCCTGAACCCTAAACCCTAAACTCTAATCCCTAAACTAAACCCTAATCCCTGAACCCTAACCTGATGGTCCAGGTCGGTGCCCGGACCGAGATGCCCGGTTGCTCCCTTTGCATGGGCAACCAGGCCGGGAGTTAAGGCTTTCAGGGTGTAGGGGTTTAGGGGTTTAGGGTTTTAGGGGTTTTAGGGGTTTAGGGTTTATGGTTTAGGGTTTAGGGGTTTAGGGTTTTAGGGGTTTTAGGGGTTTAGGGTTTATGGTTTAGGGTTTAGGGGTTTAGGGGTTTAGGGTTTTAGGGTTTAGGGTTTAGGGGTTCATTAGGGGTTTTAGCAGGCATGATTCCACGGCTTCAAATTAAAGGGAGCGATGGGTTTCGAGGTTCTGGTGCTGTACTTACTGCCAGCTTGTTGGGTGCGGGGTTTTAGGTGCTGCGGTTGGATCTCACCCTTCGTCGGAGTCTAATGCCCACACGCGGATGCAAATATGTAGCCCTCCCGGACACCTTAAGCCATCGACATCTTTATTGTTAATCCGTACTAGACGCAAACTTTAGAAGCTGCCCCCACCTGCCCCCACCCTGTAATAGTGGTATAATATAATGTAAGAGGGCCCTAATATAATATGAATATAATCCTTATAGTCACTATTACAGGGTGGGGGCAGCTTCTAACGCAAACTGCTCAAACCCTGAGCTCCAAACCAAGCACCCTGAACTCTTTCACAGACCCTGAGCTGTAAACCCTAAGCTGGCAGGCCTTGAGCACCAAACCGACCAAACCCTCCACAACTGAAGTAACTAAATCGGAGGCCTCACAAGGTGGGATGAAGGTAGGTGGGATTAACGATCCCTTATGGAAGGACTCTTATTTGGGAATATCCCAGCTATACCTTCATCCTACCTTTCGAGGCCCCCGACTAAAGCGCAAGCCGCGAGGCGCGAGTGGCCGACAACGCCACCGTGGTGTCGACCTCCACCCGTAACTTCCCCAACCGTCTGGGCAAGGGCCGCTCGCCATTCACGGAGGTCGGGGGAAGTTGGTGGTTCAGCAATATGGGAGTTTCCCAAAACTGGGGGTGTGGGGGGTACCGTATTTGGGGGTCCTTATAATAAGTAAGGATCCTACTATTTAGGGTACTATATTAGGGTCGCGTTTGGCGCCCTACAATACTATTTTGGGGTGCCTTTTTGCATTGGTACTATAATATACTCCAAAACCCTGTTCTAGCTATGCGACTGAATGACACGCGCACACACACACACACACCCTCACACATACGTGGATAGCTAGCAGATAGATCGGTAGGTAGTTGGCTTGTAACAAGGGGTCTTTCCCCATTATGGTATATAGTTACTGATAGTTTAAGCTGCGCTCCTCCATAAGAAACCAGATCCTTCTCAGATTTTCGAGATCCCCGGAAGCAGCTCTGGACCTGAAAGCCCGGACCCCACGCCCCAAATTCTCCGAGGCGCCAATGTCTACCTGGCCCCTCGGTCTGCAAGTCTTAACATGTTAGGGTTTAGGGTTTAGGGTTTTAGGGTTTAGGGTGTAGGTAGTTCGCACAAAGAAGGTTGGGGGGGACTGCTACAGTAGCAATGTGATGGTCATGTTGGCGGTAGTGCCGCTACTTCTGCTGCAGCTGCTGATCAGGGATAATGAGAGCGAGTATGAAGTATGAAGATGCATGTGGCGATGACACTGACATAGGGACCCTTAGGGGGGTAAAGGGGAGCGGGGGCAGGGGACTATACTTCCTTAATTAGGCCTTATTCGGTCCTTGTTATGGGCATTAAGGCCCCATACCCTCCCTCCTCCTACACTCCTAAGGGTCCCTGTAAACAATGTTGACGGTTAATCTTCCAAGACGGCGAAGACAAATCATATCATGATTTGTTGATGGTGGCGAAGAAGATGCAGATGGTGGTGCTATCGATGTTAGCAGGAATTCTCGACATTATGTGATTGCTGTTGGCACTGGTCATGGCGAAAACTTACTTGGAGCACTACGATGACTTGCACCATTAAGACCACAGCAACGATATGAATCACCCCTCAACCGCGGGCCGGACAGCTTGAAAGTCCTTAGAAGGAAAAGCCATTCAAGGCTAGCCGCCAGCAAGCTTCGTAGAAGCCCCGATAGTGGGATCAAGAATCGTATGATCCCGGAGCCTTACTCGAGAGGTACAAGTATTCGCAGTTTTCCTGGAGCCCAACACCTAAACCCTAAACTAAACTCTCAAGCCCTACATCCAGAAAGCCTAACCTTGAGTGAGCCTTGAAAGGCCCTAAGCCCCAAGAACCCACATCCTAGACCCTACACCCTAAACTCTCAAGCCCCACATCATAAAGCCCAAAACCCCGAAAGCCAGCAACCTAAACTTCTATCTCTATATATATATAAACCCTAAACTCACAAGCCCTACATCACAAAGCCCCTAAACCCCCAAACCCCCAATACTAAATAACACCACCATGAAGGAAGCAGAAACGAGCCGAGGCATCCGCAGAGCTCGCAGCAGTGGCAGCCATCCTCGGACGGCTCCCAACCAACGAGGAGTGTGGAGTTTACTTGGAGGGTCGGGGGACTTAGTAACTGGTTATTCTAGGGACTTATAAGTACCATAACCTCAATTAGGATCCCTTTTAGGGTACTTATAAGTCTACTTACTACCTACTTACTAAGTCCCCCGACCCTCCAAGTAGGGTTTAGGGAACCCTAATCTCTAAAAACCTGTGTAACATAGGGGTCTTCACAAGTCGACTTCCTAGCAAGAATATGGGTAGTTCTCCAAACTAGCGTCCCTTGTAAGCTCCTGCGCCGTGCTCCATGAGGGATTTGAAAAGGGGCCCTAATTCAGAGAACTACCCATATATTGTACTTAAAGGATCATGGGACTTAGTAACTAGGCTTATAATTAGGGTAACGATACTTATAACTACTTATAACCCCAACTAAGGTACTTATAACCTTACTTACTAAGTCCCATGATCCTCCAAGTAGGGGTCTTCACACTTCCTAGAAAGAATATCATAGTGTAACTTAGGGGTCGTTGATTGTTCATGGTTGTTTATGGCTTTCTATGCTGTTATAGGGCTTAATATAGGGGCTTGAATAGCTCGACTAAGAATAGAGCTCCTTTACGGAGGGGTGTACTTTAAATGTTGCTACACACGTTCTGTGATATGGCGGCCTTTGGGGGGTCCTTTACATGTTCTTTATGGGGGATACTAAGGTTATTTTCGGGTGTAGTATAGGGCCTGAATAAGTAGAGCCAAGTTTTGGTGTATATGATGGTGTGTTCATACTACGGAACCCTCAGCAATAATGATGGTAGTTATTTAGGCCCCTATATTACTCTAGAGTCTAACGAAGTAAAGGCTAGATTAGTTTCAGATCTCGAGCTGCGTCCCAGGGCGATGTAGTAAGAAGTGTTTAATCCGAGCATAATGCGCCCCACAAGACAAGGTAGCGCCCGAACCCCTAAACCCTAAACTCTAAACCCCTAAACCCCTAAACAAGCCCTAAATCCCAAACCCAGGTTGGCCCCTAGCCTTCGAGATTCCGATAGGTGTCTGCAAGGTCGCATGCCTAGGCTTTGATACACCGACTATAAAGGACTTAAAACTTAGGTATAAAGTGAACTCCAGAAAGTTGGAATATGGATTAATGGTAGGATCCCCTATAGTTTACCTTAAAGGGAGTACGATAATGATATTCCAACTTTCTGGCTTCTACTGTAAGGTTTAGGGTTTAGATTATGGGAGTTCTTTTGAAGGGTTCCCTAAAGGGGTCTACCAACGGATCTACTTTCGGGGTTCCTTATTATAATCAGTGTAATGGGCCCCAAAGCCCTGCTTGGAGGGTCGGGGGACTTAGTAACTGGTTATTTTAGGGACTTATAGTACCATAACCTCAATTAGGATCCCTTCTAGGGTACTTATAAGTCTACTTACTACCTACTTACTAAGTCCCTCCACGTATTCTAATGATTAAGGCCCTTACAGGCTTTGGTAATCTGAGGCCTCCGGAGACTTCAACTTAGGGTTTTTAGGGTTTAGGGTTTAACTTAGGGCTTAGGGTTTAGGGTTTAACTTAGGGGTTTAACTTAGGGTTTAGCTTACAAGAGTTACTGGAGTCATGTAGGTGTTCAGTTCTTCAGGATTGGCACCCGTCTACGCTTTGTGGACTTCGGCCTTCGGCTGCCATAATTTAGGGACCCAAAAAGCACATACGCATAAGCATTTTGTAGGGATATCCCTACCTTATTGGGCTTCATTATAAGGGGATTTGTATGGGGCCCTAATAATAATGAGGATTCACTTGCAGACGTTCTGGTTCGCACCACGAAAGTGCAATGAAATACATAGCAACACTGACTGTTATACTAGAGCTATGCTGGCCGAGCAGAAAGGAATATCAGTGCCTGAAGTTGCTATTCCCATTGGTATTCTTGCTATTGTTATTATGTTTGCTATTATTCTCATAGCTATCACTATAAAGCAAATTTTTGTTTTTCTCTTATCATGACTATCTTTATAATAATACCTTTATGCTCTTGGAGTGCAGGAGTACCTGAAGTACCATGCGGAGCTGGCCAAGAGCTCGGACTCCATCTACCAGTACCTGAACTTCGATCAGGCTGGGTTAGAGTGTAGGGCTTCTTTAAAGCATTCTAAAAGGGTTACCATAAGGGTTCTATACCTGAACTTCGATCAGGCTGGGCGGGGCGGGAGAAGGGTTTAGGGGTTTAGCTTCGTAGCTGAGTGGATACACTTTACACTTTTTAGGATAGTAATACCCACTGTACAACTGAAAGTGTACACTTTTGGGGGCTAATGAACTCAGCAACTAAGTTAAGATTCGAATCAGGGTGGCTTGCAGGGGTTTAGGGATTAGGTTTAGAGGTTAGGGGTTAGGGTTTAGGGAGTAGCCAAACTTCGGTCAGGCGGGGGGGTTAGGGGGGCGGGGGGGGTTTAGGGTTCCTTTAAAAGGCATCCGTAAGGGATCCTCTTCAGGGATCTATAGGGGTGGTTGTCAAAATTATGGTCCCTTTTTGGGGTGCCCTAAATAATAGGTGCCGTGTTATAATAGGGACCCAAAAAGGGACCCCAATATTGACAACCACCCGATAGGGTTTGGGAGTTTGGGGTTTAGGCTTTAGGGTGTAAGCAGTACCTGAACTTCGATCAGGCTGGGTTAGGGTTTAGGGCTCCTTTAAGGCATTCTAAAAGGGTTACCATAAGGGTTCTATACCTGAACTTCGATCAGGGCTGGCTTTTGGGGGCTTAGGGGTTTAGGGTTTAGAGGATGGCGCTTAAATAAGTACCCATACATATTTTGGAGGTTCCTTAATATATAAGCATAGTATAATTAATTGGCCCCAAAACACTATTCTTATTTGTTTAAGGCCCCTATACTAGGACTTTAGGTTTTAGGGTCTGGGATTTAGGGCTGAGGGTTTAGGCTTTATGGCTTGAGGGCGTGAGGGTTTGGGTTTAGGGCTTGAGGGCTTCAGGGTTTGAGGGCTTTTTTGCATGTAGCGTTTAGGATTTTTGGGATTTCTAAAGTGTAGGGCTTTAGGGTTTTGGGGCTTTGGGGTTTAGGGGCTTTAGGGTTCTAGGGCGTAGGATGTAAGGCGAAGGGTTTGGGGACTTGGTAGCTTTTGAGGGGCTAGCTCTGCTCACGTCCCCGCATCGTACCGCTGCGGGGGCCCTAAACTTATCGAAACAAGCGAGAGAGGACTCAAGAAAGACTTTCAAGTTGTAAGCTCTTTAACCTTGCACTAAGCCCTAGACCCGAAACCCTAAGCCCTAAACTCCACAGCTCTTACTGCCGCACAGCCCCGAGGCACCGCAGTGAGGTTTGGGTGGCCTCGGTCTATGACTTTCCTAGAGTCCTCGAGGGCTTCGGATGTCAGCCATAATGTAAGAACCTGATTAAGAAGCCTTGGGCCTAAGGGTTCCTTTAAAGGGGTCCACAAGGATTACTATAAGGGATCTATAGGGGTACTATAATAATGTAGGAACCTGATTAAGGAACCTTGGGCCTCAGTTATGGTTCTTTCTATGAATCCTATAATTGTAAGGTTGTAGGGCCAAGGTTTCTTAGGCAGGTTCCTACATAAGCCCCAAATCGAAAACCTCAATCGAAGTTTTTCCCACCCGGGGGTTGCTGTTTTTCTGAAAGATCTTCATAGTCAGGCTCCGTCCCATTTCCTAAGCCTTAGTACGTACGCGAAGGTGGAGGACTACGTTGCGAAGGCTGGCAAGGTGCAGATGTCCGAGTACTCCTAAACAGCAGGAGGTGCACATATTGAGCTCCTTGGTTCGCAGTTTACTTGAAGGGCTCTGAACTTTGAACCTCCCCCAAACCCCTACGTAGAAAACGTAAATTGTTCAACAATCCCAACAGCTTCCATCGAGCATTTAGTCTCCGGCAGGCAGGAAGTTGGGGTTGGACCCTTCCGTGGCCCCGGCGTCTATCGTTGTCGGAACATGTGTTTGCATTGTTGTGCCTGATAGTACGGATTCGCAGAACATGTTCTCACAAGAGAAGATTGTGAACCTCGAACGATTGCTTTTGCTGGCCCAAGGTCCCACCCCCGACAGCACACCATGCTGAAATCGACGTGTCTAGACGCTGGCGGCTGCTCTTTTCCTGTCAGCATGGCCGTTGGAGCAGGATGGTGTCTGTCATCGTTTTACACCACCCGCGAATGCAGTTCCGATTAACGCCCTGCGTTGGGAGCGTTGCAGTCAAGCATGGGCTTGAGATGCCAAAAAGTGCGACCTGCCTTTGGAAATGTCGTCAGCATGGTCACAGTGCTGAGAATGGCAAGCATCATCATCATCATCATCATCATCATCAGCAGCAGCAGCATCACTGCCACCATCTCCATCACCATCGACATCCTCATCCTCCTCCTCACCATCATCATAGTCGCAATGACGCGACTCCCCAGCCTCGCATCACCACAGCCGCCCGGCCACAGCCAAAAGGCCCCTCCCGCCGCCCCGCATTCATGTACACCAACCCCAGCATCAGCCCCAGAACCAGCACCAGCACACAAGACCTCACAGAAACGTCGTCGGTCAGAGCTTGAATCCAATCAAGTTCGTACAGGTTGCAAGCAACAACCATGAAGGGCATGCCTTTATGGCTACCTGGACCCCAAAAGTATGTAGAATAATAGCCCTTTATAGGATTGGGGCCAGTATTTTATCTACTTTTGGGGGTCTAGGTATGCTGCATCTCATGCTCCTCTCGGCCCAGGTCTCCCGGGAGACTTTCGGATCCGCTAAAAGTGCTTTTGCGGGGGCCATCGGGCCTCATTCTCGACCCTACTATAGCTTACTAGTTCATAGCTTTTACCGCATGGCTGCCCGTGTGATCGCGGCGGCGCTGATTGCGGTGGCCGCCGGCCAAGAGCCGCTAAGCCTCGACGACGAGTGCGCCGGCGAGGAGCAATGTGCACTGAACGCACTGCAGCGGCGAGGTGAGGCCGTGTCGGCACTGGAGAGGACGGCAGAAGCTGCCGGTGCTCCGAAGTGCGAGGCCCTCCATCACCCCTCCAACAACATCTGCCGTTCGACGGTCGAATGGGCGCACAGGGGCGGAAAGTACGACCGACATGGGCCGCAGTGGTTTGCCGACATGCAGTCCATTTCCGGTGTGGATTACCACACAGCCAGCATTGGCGACTGGCAAAAGCTCTACTTTTGCGCACCTCCCGGAGGCAAACAGTGTGGGTCGCCGCCGTGCACCTGCACGAACCCTCCATGTGATGTCTGCTTCCAGGGAAAGAGCAAAGCCAAATGCAGCGATCCCGACAGTATCGCGTGCAAGCCACCAGCCACGGCGCTGGACTACAACGGGATGGCTTGGGAGGACATGAACGTCTCTGGCACAGGTCCCTTCCACGTCTTTGCCATCGGAAGCTTGGCTGCACCTCGCTTTCTCAACCTCTGCTGATCCGCACCCAAGTAGAAGTTGCTTGGAATTGTCTGCATGCGTGTCAGCGGGTTTAGTTCTGCGCCGAGGTGACTGGGGTGGCTTGGACGGTACACTGCACCCGATTGAGGGGCGGCCCAACCTCATTGCCTATCCGGCAGGAACGAAAGCAGGACCAAGCGTTTTCCCAAGGACGCGTTTCAACAAGCCGCACACGAAGCTGCTCTGCAACCACAAGCAGTTTGTCGAGTGCTACAAGACGATGGGACGAGTGTGCGATCCCGGATGTGGTTTCGTGAAGGGCATCGATGATCAGCCCCAGTTGCTGGTGGCCAGCTCCTTCAAGAGTCGCGCGGCCAAAGTGGACCCCGTCTTCATCCTCAACGTAGGCGACAACTTCTACTGGGGCGGTATCGAAAAGACCTGCGGCACGCCAATGGACGAGCTGTCCTACGTGACCCACCACCAGTTCGACCAAGTCTTCGAGAACATTTACAACGGGCCTGGCTTGGATGGCAAGCCGTGGCTGAGCGTCTTGGGCAACCACGACTGGGGAGGCCGCGTCTTCAACAACGGCTGGGATCAGCAGATTGCTTACACCTGGCACAGCGACCGCTGGAGACTGCCGGCGGCATACTGGAGCCAGCACGTGAACTTCGTGGATGCCGGGTTCACCATGGACATCTACATGGTCGACTCGAATTCCCAGGATGCGGAGGATCCACCTCTGGACCCCGAGCACAACATCTGCGGATCCGCACACAATCCGCCTGGAGCAAACTGCGCGTCGCAAGGCGCACAGCCGGGTAGCATGCGCTTGTGCTTCGCCACGTTTGCAGTTCTCTTTTTCATTCATGTGCATGTGCACAGCTTTTGCCTCCCTCTGCTGTCAGGTGGACCGACTTCTGTCGCGACATGCAAGGCATGGTTTTGGGCCTTGTGGCGCAAGAACCAGGCCGGCTTGCACAGTATAGTCACCGTGGTGAGAACCCACAGCATCTCGAAAGCTCTGTCAGGAGTGGCTGACAGAGCAGCTGAGCAAGTCCACGGCGGACTGGCAGCTAGCCGTCACACATTTCCCGTGTGGCTTCGAGAAGAACTATTGGGTATCTCGGTCGCAGTCGGTCGCACCAGCATTGCAACCTTGAAGCGAAGGCTCGTGTTTTTTTTGCTTGCATCCCTTGCAGGCAGGACTGCACCAGCAGTGGCTTGGCTGAAAGATGCTGAAACATCGTGGCTGTTGTAAACATCAAAGCTCTATCTGCAGGCACGGACTGGACCTGCTCGTGACCGGACACCGCCACGACCAGGAACTTTGGAGTCCTAGCAGGCCGGAAGCTTGACTAGAAGCAATCTGAATGCTTTGGCTTGGCTGTGGCGTTGCAGGCTGGGAGGACTCACGTGCTTCGTGACCGGCGGCGGCGGAGGCATCTCTTCTGAAGCCACTCCGAACATCCACAACAAGAGGGTGGCTCGGTTAGCAAGGGGTGAGATGGATGTGCAGGGTGACAAGGAGCCATGCTGCTTGGGCCATGCAGGGCGAGCAAGCACCCGAGGATTGGTACGGCGAGGCCCAGTACGGCTTCTACGATCTCTTGATCTCCAAAACCTCCATCCTCATAACCTCAATCAACTGGCGACTGGGCTCCGTCATGCTGAGCATCGGTAGTGTTGAAGCCCTGCTGAGAATCTTCTAAATCCGAGGAATGGCTACGAGATCATGACCCGCACTGTGTACCCCAAGGCGTAAATACGTGCAGCAAGCCGGGCTGATCCGCCTCAGCTGGAGACTTGCATGCTTCAATTGTATTTTGATTTTGAGATGGTTTGGGAAACCTAAGCCCCTGCCCTAAGCCCTAACCGCATTAACCCTAAAACCCCCCGTTAACCCTGAACGCGATAATCCCTAAAAGCTCTACAACCCTGAACCCGACAGCAATGTATCAGTTGGCTCTGTATTGTCATCTTGCCCGCAACTCGGGTTGCTGTGGGGTTGGGACGAAGGCCTGTAGGGTTGAGCATTCGGGCGGATGTCTAGTGTCTAGTACCCTCAACTCCAAGCCCCATAGACCCTGAGCCCCAAACCCCTAAACCCTATTTAAACCTGTACCTATAGTCTCCATTGTAGTTCCTTTTTGTGGTTAACCAATTTTATGGTTAGGATCCTATAGTCGAGATTGTATGACATTTGTTCACTGAGGGGTTTGGATTGCTTGGCCTTGCATCCCGCGCACCTCGGGAAGTTTATAAGCTTTCAGGATTCCGCTGTCTAACTGTTGTGGTATTCTTGTACCCTGAACAACCAAAACATACTATTTTGTAGGGTTCCTATAAATTCCATATTAGGGCTTATAGTAGGTCATGGTAGTATTTTACAACCAGCCTTGATTTCATCCCATGGAAAATGTTTTCTATCTGGACAGATCAGCCAAACATGACAAGCTTTCCTGGATCAGGGAGCCACAAAGCAAGACCTACACACCCCAGTACGTTACAGTGTCTAGGGTTTAGGGTCTAGGGCTCTAGGGTTTAGGGTTTAGGGTGTAGGTTAAGGGTCTGTGCGGCCTAGGGCTTTGGGTTTGGGGCCTCCAGGGCTAAGGGTTTGAAGCCAACCTGGCGATTTCAGGAATGGCTAGCCGCTAGCCCCTGAACCCTATAAACCCCAAACCCTAAACCCTGAACCCTAAACTATAAACCCTGAACCCTAAAGGAATGGCGACGAGATCAAGATGCGGACGGTGTGATCTCGAAGGCCCCGCTCGCCTGAGCACTGCGAAGCCCTTGCCTCGGGTTTGGAGCTTTCGGGTTACTCTGTCGTTGCCCCTGTGTTAACCATACGGGTCCACAGGACCCAATAAGGATGTACTTGGGTTTCGAATAGTAATGTAGGTTGCTATTTTGGAGAGTTTCTGATTATTAGGTACTCGGACTCTTCGGGTAATTGCTTTTACATTGGGACATGATGTCTATTATGGGTGGTTCCACAGCGTAGAGCTACCACTAGATTGTTTTGTGCCATATGTGCTGCTCATAAGTGGAGCAGCGCGCTTTTGTCAGCGAAAAACACTGCCCGGAGTGCAGGTTGGTTACGGGCAGTAAGGCGGGACACCTTATAAATCTTGGACAGCAAGTACTTGGAGGGTCGGGGGACTTAGTAGGTAGGTAGTAAGTAGACTTATAAGTACCCTAAAAGGGACCCTAATTGGGGTTATGGTACTTATAAGTCCCCAAAATAACCAGTTACTAAGTCCCCCGACCCTCCAAGTACAGTCCTCCGAGGTGTCTCATGGAGTGCACTCTTGACTGCCTTGTTTCCACTGACATTGTTGGTCTTTCGGCCCAGGTCTCTTGGGGGACTTCGGATCCGCGAAAAGTGCTTTTTGTGGGCCATCGGCCCTTTCCTCTACTAGCTTACTAGTTCATAGCTTTTACCGCATGGCTGCCCGTGTGATCGCGGCGGCGCTGATTGCGGTGGCCGCCGGCCAAGAGCCGCTAAGCCTCGACGACGAGTGCGCCGGCGAGGAGCAATGTGCTCTGAACGCACTGCAGCGGCGAGGTGAGGCCGTGTCGGCACTGGAGAAGACGGCAGAAGCTGCCGGTGCTCCGAAGTGCGAGGCCCTCCATCATCCCTCCAACAACATCTGCCGTTCGACGGTCGAATGGGCGCACAGGGGCGGAAAGTACGACCGACATGGGCCACAGTGGTTTGCCGACATGCAGTCCATTTCCGGTGTGGATTACCACACAGCCAGCATTGGCGACTGGCAAAAGCTCTACTTTTGCGCACCTCCCGGAGGCAAACAGTGTGGGTCGCCGCCGTGCACCTGCACGAACCCTCCATGTGATGTCTGCTTCCAGGGAAAGAGCAAAGCCAAATGCAGCGATCCCGACAGTATCGCGTGCAAGCCACCAGCCACGGCGCTGGACTACAACGGGATGGCTTGGGAGGACATGAACGTCTCTGGCACAGGTCCCTTCCACGTCTTTGCCATCGGAAGCTTGGCTGCACCTCGCTTTCTCAACCTCTGCTGATCCGCACCCAAGTAGAAGTTGCTTGGAATTGTCTGCATGCGTGTCAGCGGGTTTAGTTCTGCGCCGAGGTGACTGGGGTGGCTTGGACGGTACACTGCACCCGATTGAGGGGCGGCCCAACCTCATTGCCTACCCGGCAGGAACGAAAGCAGGACCAAGCGTTTTCCCAAGGACGCGCTTCAACAAGCCGCACACAAAGCTGCTCTGCAACCACAAGCAGTTTGTCGAGTGCTACAAGACGATGGGACGAGTGTGCGATCCCGGATGTGGTTTCGTGAAGGGCATCGATGATCAGCCCCAGTTGCTGGTGGCCAGCTCCTTCAAGAGTCGCGCGGCCAAAGTGGACCCCGTCTTCATCCTCAACGTAGGCGACAACTTCTACTGGGGCGGTATCGAAAAGACCTGCGGCACGCCAATGGACGAGCTGTCCTACGTGACCCACCACCAGTTCGACCAAGTCTTCGAGAACATTTACAACGGGCCTGGCTTGGATGGCAAGCCGTGGCTGAGCGTCTTGGGGAACCACGACTGGGGAGGCCGCGTCTTCAACAACGGCTGGGATCAGCAGATTGCTTACACCTGGCACAGCGACCGCTGGAGACTGCCGGCGGCATACTGGAGCCAGCACGTGAACTTCGTGGATGCCGGGTTCACCATGGACATCTACATGGTCGACTCGAATTCCCAGGATGCGGAGGATCCACCTCTGGACCCCGAGCACAACATCTGCGGATCCGCACACAATCCGCCTGGAGCAAACTGCGCGTCGCAAGGCGCACAGCCGGGTAGCCTGCGCTTGTGCTTCGCCATGTCTTTTTCATTCACTTGCATGTGCACAGCTTTTGCCTCCCTTTGCTCGCAGGTGGACCGACTTCTGTCGCGACATGCAAGGCATGGTTTTGGGCCTTGTGGCGCAAGAACCAGGCCCGCTTGCACAGTAGTCACCGTGGTGAGAACCCACAGCATCTCGAAAGCTCTGTCAGGAGTGGCTGACAGAGCAGCTGAGCAAGTCCACGGCGGACTGGCAGCTAGCCGTCACACATTTCCCGTGCGGGTTCGAGAAGAACTATTGGGTATCTCGGTCGCAGTCGGTCGCACCAGCATTGCAACCTTGACGAGAAGGCTCGTGTCTTTTTTTGCTTGCATCCCTTACAGGCAGGACTGCACCAGCAGTGGCTTGGCTGAAAGATGCTGAAACATCGTGGCTGTTGTAAACATCAAACCTCTATCTGCAGGCACGGACTGGACCTGCTCGTGACCGGACACCGCCACGACCAGGAACTTTGGAGTCCTAGCAGGCGGAATCTTGACTAGAAGCAATCTGAATGCTTTGGCTTGGCTGTGGCGTTGCAGGCTGGGAGGACTCACGTGCTTCGTGACCGGCGGCGGCGGAGGCATCTCTTCTGAAGCCACTCCGAACATCCACAACAAGAGGGTGGCTCGGCTAGCAAGGGGTGAGATGGATGTGCAGGGTGACAAGGAGCCACGCTGCTTGGGCCATGTAGGGCGAGCAAGCACCCGAGGATTGGTACGGCGAGGCCCAGTACGGCTTCTACGATCTCTTGATCTCCAAAACTTCCATCCTCATCACCTCAATCAACTGGCGACTGGGCTCCGTCATGCTAAGCATCTGTAGCAGTGTTGAAGTCCCGCTTGGAACCATACCTGAGGAACGGCTACGAGATCATGACCCGCACGGTGTACCCCAAGGCGTAAAGTGAACTAGGCTGAGCTGCGGCCCCTGCAATGCCTTGGGACCGCTGCCCGCCTGCCGAAGGATTTTGACAACCTGAACTCTATGCGTTTGAACCATGTATGATCGTGTGGTTTCGGGACTGCGAGCACGGCCGAATGTATTTCTGCTGTAAGTCTAAATAGTTGAGGAAGCAAAATTAGAATCTCAGTGCTGCACGACATCAGACTCCAAATGCCACATATAGAAGCCACCATGTTGGTCATCATAGTTCCGTAGTATTTCTTGTTGTAATTGTCGTGTAATTTGTAATCTACCCCAAAACCCTGCTCTAACTAATAAAGGCCACTGTATCACACCCTGAACCGCTCCTGCTCCGCAACTCTTTGGTGGAGCTCCCGCTTGCCGCGATGCAGAGTTTCAAGCGACTGAAAACTGGGAGAAGGTCCTAGTAGTAGAGTCGGCAACCTTTAACCTTTTTTGGGTAGTATAGCCCCTACATAATCCCTATATACCCCAAAAAGGTTAACCTTTAGTTCCCTATGACCTGGGGGAAGGCGTTCGCGAGACTTCCGGGTCGAAGGCAGATCTGGGAGTTTCCGAAAATTAGGGGATACCTTTCAAGGGATCCTTTAAGGGCTCCTTAAAGGGATCTATGAGGGTTCTTTAAAGGGTTTACGGTATTGGGTTTAGAGTTTCCGAAAATTAGGGGATACCTTTCCAAGGGATCCTTTAAGGGCTCCTTAAAGGGATCTATGAGGGTTCTATAAGGGGTTTACGGTATTGGGTCGGTTTAGAGTTTCCGAAAATTAGGGGTACCTTGTTTCTGGGGTCCTTCTAGTAAGGATCCTAGTAGGGTCCCCTATTTTCGGAAGCTCCCATGAGGGTACTATAAGGGCCTTAATAAGTAGAATAGGGTTTTGGGGCCCGTTATACTACAATCATAATAAGGAACCTCCAAAATATTATAGGTAGCTATTCAGGCCCCTACAGTACCAATCAAAATAACGGCGAGAAGCATAGTAGTTACTATAGTTATCAGTAATACTTGTGTCATCACCATCATCATCATAGATATATACCGAGACAGAGAGAGATAGAGGGAGAGAGAAAGAGCGAAAGAAAGAAAGCTTTCAATTCTTGGATTTGGGGTTTAGGGCTGGAGGTGTTCGATTTAGGGTTTGGTGTGTAGGAGTTTAGGGTTTCGGGTTAGAGGTGGGGGCAGAAGCCACACGTGGTATTATCCTGCCTGAAAGTTTGCATTTAAACAACCAGCGCGCTGAGATTCCACAAGCCGCGAAATCTGCGGTGTCCTTGCGTGATGCTTGCCGGATCCTATCTACATTCTTCAGGCCCCCAATGCAACACCCCAAGGAACCCCAAGCTCCTCATAGACCATGCCCTTATCAGGCGTGTCTATACTCTACTGCGAGTATGCCACTTCTCCAGAGTCTCCAATATAAGGGCTTTAATAAATACCTATACTATTTTGGGGGTTCCTGATTATAACTATAGTATAATGGACCATTACAATGGATCCCAAAACCGTATGATAATTGTTAAGGCCCCTATACTAGAGGTTCCCCGGCTTGGATGCAGACGAGGCAAATAAGATTTCTCTGACTTGGCCATGGTTTGGGGTCTAGGGTTTAGGGATTTCTGTGACTTGCTTTGGCTGGCAGCCATTCCAGGTCATATGACCCTCCCAGACAAGCAGCCCCCACTCCAGGCTGTTGCTGTTGTAACAGGTAGTCGGTAGTGCTCAAGACTGTTTTCTGAAGGATGACCAGGCAAACAGAACCAGCGAGCTCACCAGACTTAGACATGTGATGTCTTCTTTAGTCCTCTTTGTCCTTTCAATCCCTTGCACGGGTCCCCAAATCACAGACCTCTAAAGAAACCTGCTCTCCGCATCATGGCGGCGGTGGCGGGTACCAATCCAAGTGTCATCCTCAGTTGGGTTTAGGCACATCAACTAACATAGGGGCCTTAAGAATTACCTATACAACTTTGTGGGCTCCTTAGTAATTAGAAAAGTAGTATAATGGGCCTTTTTCTAACAATTCAGGCCCCTATATTATAGTACCCTTATAGATTATATTACAGTGCCCTTATAGATCCCGTATAGTAACCCTTATAGACCCCTTTGAAAGGAACCCTATTCTAATTATGAAGGCCTCTCCCTAAACCTAACCCCTAAGCCCCCAAACCCCTAAACCCTTAACCTTAAACCCGAACCCGAGACCCCTAAATACAGCCGGGCTGTCTCAGTGAAAGGGACAAAGCCTTGCTCATGATCGTCATAAACTGGGCTTTGGAGTATAATACTTTGGGTCTCTTTTAGGTTCCTTAAAGGGACTCTATACAGGTTCCTATAGGGTTTCTATAAGGGTACTATGACTGGGCTTTGGAGTGCCATACTTCAGTACTTGTTTGGGACCTGTTACTTAAAGGGAACCAACTATGAGGTAAAGGTCTATCTCTTCTTCCTGGTTAGTTCGAAGCCTGGTGAACAGAAAATTTTGTTATTGATAGTGATGGCTATGGTGACGATGCCTGCTGTGCTGGTGGCGATCGCTGTAGTGATGTTGGCATTGCCAGGTTGGATTTGGACTGTGATGACGGTAGTGACGGGTAATGTGATGATGATGATGATCAGCATGGTGCTGATGATGAAGATGAAGTTGAAGATGAAGATGAACATGGTAATGAACGAAGTATGCATCTATAACAATGAAGAAAAAGAGCTGCGGACGAGGAAGAGCATGTTGAGCCGTTGTGCACCTATGTAGTGGTCACTGATGGTGGCACCAATTGCTGGTGGTGCGTTAATGTTGATGCTGGCAACGATAGCGATAGGAACGTTCTGATGCAAGCGATGTTGGTAGTCATATTGATGCATGCTGCTGTGCACGGTGACCATGCCGATGGTAATGCCGATGGTTGTGGCGGACGTGATGATGAAAGTGATGACCATGGTGGCGGTGGTGGTGGTGATGATGCGGATAATGATGTGGGTTTGGGTGTGGATGTGGCGATGAACAAGGCCAGACAGAGTGGCAAGGAGGTTTCAAGACCAGAATCGGTGGTAAACTGATGCAAACTTATTGCAGAACTCTCTTCACACATGCTTGCATCGGGTGCGCGGAGTTTCTGGGTCCCGCGGCAATGAATGCGACTTTGTGCAATTAGTTTTCTCCTCGATTTGAAAATGTCCTGCAGGAAGCACATGTGCAAAGCTGCACAACACACTCGTGGGGACCGTCTCGGTGCAAGAATGCTGTATTGCTGAATGACAGAACCCTGAAGTGGCAACCCTAAAACAGTGCCGAACGCCTACACACCAAACTCAACACCCTGAAACCTTAACTTAAATGCTCAACCAAAATGCGCCCACCCGAAGCTTGAAAGCAAGACCCTCACGCACGTCCTGTACACGTTGGGGCCTAAATAATTACCAATACTATTCTAGGAACCCCAGTGTAGTGGACCCCAAAACCCTATTCTAACTACGTCGCCTTATAGATCCCTCAAAGTAACCCTTAAAGGACCCCCTTCAAAGGGACCCCCCCATTCTAACTATTAAGGCCTTTAAGAAGTCCTAGCAAACCTCTGCCCTGGCGAAAGGTCCCAGCGTAGCTCATCCCAGGCGGCCGGTTGCAGGGGCCCAGAGTTTAGGGTTAGGGGGTTTAGGGTTTAAGGGTTCCGGGGTGTAGGGTTTAGAGTTCAGGGTTGGTTTCGGGTTTGGGCCTTTAGGACATTTGATATTTGCTCTAATTGGGCGTAAGAGGGTCTTACCTACTACTACTATTTTTCAAAGGCTTTACAAACACCTCCTAGTTCGGGGTGTGGGGTTTATGGGGTGCTTGGGTTTTGGGTTTGGGGCCTTTGGGTTTTGGGTTTAGGGTCCTTGGGTTTAGGGTTGTCCTTGGGTTGGTTTCGGGTTCTGGCTTAGGGTTTAGCCTAGTAGTAGAGGAGATAACCTTTGACCTCTTTTGGGGTAGTATAGCCCCTATATAGTCCCGATATAACCAAAAAGGTTAACCTTTACTTCCCTATGATACCCGACAAGTAGGGGACAACTGGGCACACCCTTACACCCTGCCCTAAAGTTAAACGCAACCCTAAGCCCTGAACACACGCAGGCCGCCGCGTGCAGCACTGGTTCAACAAAGTGCCGGGCACCCGAAGTCTCAGCTACGGGCTTTGATGCGGGTTTTGGGGTTCGGATTTGGGGATTTAGGGTTTAGGGTTCGGATTTGGGGATTTAGGGTTTGGGCGATTCAATGATATAGGTGCCTTAATAATTACCAATACTATTTTTTTTGGGGGGGGGTCCTTACTATAATCATAGTATAATGGGCCCAAAGCCCTATTCCAATTTTGAAGGCCCCTACATTACATAGAATAGGGTTTTGTATTACGAGGTTGAATGATATTCATAATGCATGTAGTTATGGTAGTAACATCAGCAGTAGTCGTAGGTAGTCGTCGTCGTCGTCGTAGCAGTAGTAGCAGTAGTAATAAACAGTAACATCAATAACAAAGTTTGTTATACACATCTCAGTATTAGCAAACTAACAAGATCATTTTTGATAATCATGTTACCATGAAATCTAGCAATAATAGCAATAATCATTCATTATGACGAAGCCCTGACGCTGAAGATTTCGAAGCCTAAACTTCAAAGTGCAAATTCAAGGTCATCGCGGACCTCAACTCCACGACCCTCGACCCGCAGTGTAAAACCTGCCAGACCTGAACTTTCGAAGCCCAAAGTACCGAAGTTCTGAACACAAATATAGAACTAGAAAAATCTGAACACAAATATAGAAGCCTAAATAATTACCAACAGGATTCCGTAGGGTTCCTTACTACAACTATACTATAAAGGACCCCAAACCCACCATTCTAATTCCTAAGGCCCCTACATTAAACTCCTACAGTTTCGGGCCGGGCCTCTGGCCCAGCCCAAAACCTCCCTTGTTTGGGACCTTATACCCCTGTTTGAGGGTACAAGGAGGGTCCTGGCAGTTGGAGAAAACGCCCGCAGACCCCAAACCAACATGAAAAACGGTTATAGGTTTTACGCCCTTACTGACGGCCTAAATCCCTAGATCCCTGAACCCTAAAACCGAAGCCCAAAATTACTAAAGTTAAAGCTTTCCATTGCACTAAAAAAAATTAAAGCTTTCAACCCCCAGCCTGAACCTCCACTACGAGGCCGGCAATCCAAAGCCCTAAAGCCCAAAAAGGTTGCCCCAGAGCGGGCCGTACGGTCAGGCGTCCAGAACCAAGTCTTGGTCCAGCCAGCGGAAATTTCGCGTTTGGGGGTGTGCAGTTTCGGGTTTAGGGTTAAGGGCGTACCAGGCTGAACAGCGCTGACGTCCGAGAAATCTGTAGATCCAGGGTAGGACCATCAATATGGGTTTGCGACATGAAGTTTGGATGTTCTGCAGTTGAAAGTCCCGGTTCTACGGCAGTCACGGGCTGCAATATGAGGGTCCGATTATTGTGATGGTATCCTATCATGGCCCTTCTGTAATTGCTATATAGTATATCACAGAACCCTGGCCGCATTCCAAGAAGTGCGGCATTGGTTCAGCATTGCGTGTGATGTGCAGTGGTTTGCTTGGCGGTTTTACACGTCATGGGCGGGTTTTGGTTCGGGACCCAACAAGGGCAAAAGCATAAGCATTTTACAGGGATCTCCCTACCCTACTCGGCTTCATTGTGATCGGATTTCTATGGATTATCGCTAGGCAAGTTTGTTGCATGTGCGCTTTTGAGGACCCTACTTAGAGGCACAGGCGACTTAGTAAGTAGGTTATAAGCAGGGTTGTAAGTACCCTAAAGGGAGTTCCCCAATTATAACCCTACTTATAACCGACTTACTAAGTCCCCCAGTATAGTACCCTTATAGAGACCCCATAGAAACCCTTATAGATCCCGTCACTTTAAGGAACCCCAAAAGGGACCCTAATACTGTTCCTGTTTGTAAGACCTGGTATCATGCCCCTTAAAGGGTAGGGGGGAGGGGATAATACCTGTAATCAGGGCTTAATAAGGCTTATCTAAGGAAGTATAGTCCCCTACCCCCCTTAAACCCTGAACCCTAAACCCTAAGGGTCCCTATGATGGTACCATGGTGGAGAGCTCAGGTGCGTGGCGAGCGGGCCCGCCCTTCGACGACAGGCAGGGGAACCTTTGAGTCGAGGGGTTGGGATTCAGGGTTTAGGGATCCCTAAACCCTAAATCCTCTCTCTCTCTCTCTCTCTCTCTCTCTCTCTCTCTCTCTACATATATTTCCGGGATTTCCTGGCTGTCAGAGGTGTTCGCAGCTAATTACAGACTTGCAAAAGCCCTCTTAAGTGGCTCAAAGGCGATAGCCAGAGGGTGGCGCCAAAAGGAAGCCGGCGCTGCTACTTGCGGACGATTGCCGCTGAGCAGTCGCAGCCAAGCATGCTGCAGCTCCTTTGGCAAAAGAAGGCTGGGGTCCCTGACGACGGATGCGTTATCCAAGCCGTCCCTGTACAGTCGCCACGCTTCTTCCCAGCAACTGTCCAGTGAGTACAACGGCTTGTCTCGGGTCACGTCATCTCCGGCAATCTCGCGGATGGCCTCGCCCAAGTCGAAGTCTTGCATCCTTTCCTTGAAAGTCGCAAGAGTAGGCATTTCCTTGAGCACTTGTTGTCCATCATCGTAGACTACCTCGTCTTCAAGGAGGGTTCGGGCAGCTACAATCCAGGCTTGGTATTGCTGCGAAGTCCATGGTCGGATCGCCTCGTCTGACTGCAGCATCTCGATCTCGGTGATGAGGAAGTGCAGCACCGCCTGGAGCTCTGCCGGGTAGAGGTGGTGCTCGGCCGCAATCTTGTCGAGAGCCTGGTAGCACGCTTGGGGGTCCGTGGGGGAGTCAGCGTCAAAGAAGAAGTCGCAAAGGGCTCGGTAGAAACCCTGTTGCCAGCTGGTCCACTCGTGAGCATCGATGTGGATGTTCTGCTTGGCCATCTGGCTTGGTGGAGCCAGAGTGAAGTTCTCGATCTCCTTTTGTCGACGCTTTTTGCTGCCATAGCCGGGGGCAGCTTCGGACTTTTTCTGCCCAAGAGTAGGCCATCGCTTGGCACAGTGGGAGGAGGCTCGTACATGGTCTTCAAGCCTTCCCTCTGTCCAGAACTGCTTCTGGCAGACCAAGCAAACAGTCCCAGCGATGAAGTAGCGATACTCCGCGCAGCGACCGTGAACTTTAAAGAAGTGGACGCCTAGAGCAGCCCTGCTGCTGAAGGACTTTCTGCAGGATCGACAAGGCCAAGCAGCAGAACCTGTTTGGCCGGGATTCGCCACCGTTTTGAACAGGGTCCACAAACATAGCTGGTTAGTCATCTCCTCCTGGTACACGGTGAAGTCCTTCGCAAGCTGCTTGTTGGTGCGTCTCTTGATTCTTTGTGGCGCGTCTCTGAGCAGTTGCCACCACTGCGGCCAGGCCGCTTCGCAAGGACGAGGCCAGTTGACCTCATCTCCATGGACCAGCCATGCGATGTCCTGTCGCAGTTGCCCAATCCAGGAGCCTTCGTCTTGTAGAATGGCCCAAAGCGTTGCCGGTCCTGCTTTGGCCATGGAGACCAGCAAGGATAGACGACTCCGTCTGGCGTAGAAGGATAGTGGCCAGATCCCCGTCACCCAGTGCGCGAGTGGGGCCGGGATGCGGTAGAAGTCAGGACCAGAAACCTCTCGGCATAGCAGACGCCGCACCAGACGCGAGAAGCCATCAGCCAATGCCGTCCAGTTCTTGCTGTCAACCTGCCACAGTGCAAGGTTGAAGAAAGTGGACAGCACGGTGGACTGGAAGACCGCACTGCGAGTACGGAGCGTCAAATCCCTGTTCTGCAGCAGGAGGGACTTGGCCGCTTCATATGAAGAAGCCGCCAGGCCCAATCGATGTCGGACCTCTTGTCCCAAGTCCATGCGGCCATCAATGACGCCGCCAAGATGACGGTAGTAGGGGACAATGTCAATGCTCAGCTGAAGATCCTCGAGGAAGAGCGCTGCTTTGCCCGAGGAGAAGAAGCGGCGACGAGCCCGAACAGCGCCTTTGCCCCGGAGCTGAATGATCAAGCTCGTCTTGTGGCGTTTCAGACTGACCTCCATTCCGCATGATTGAAAGAGCCCGATGACGAGAGAGCCGACTCGTTTGGTCTTCACCAGTAGCGCTTCGGGCTCGCTAGACTCCAATGGGAAGGCCGAGTCGTCTGCCCATGTAGTGTCCCAAGAAGGCTCCTCGAAGCCTTGGCCCCCGGTTGCGTAGATGCCGGACTCCTGGTCGAAGGGTAGTCTGAAGAGGAGGCCCTCCGCATCCATGCACTCGTGGACCTTGTAGAGGACCTTTGCATATATAAATGCAAAGATGGTATCAGCCCAGGCCTCGCCTGGGCGAGACCCGGCGAAAGCCTGTCCGATCTCATCGCCCTGGGAGTACCGGGTGATAAACCAGGTCCGAAAATGCATGTCGCGCACTGCTTGTCGGATGGGAGGTGGGACGTCAAATGCTTCCAACATACCACCTTGTTGGATAATGGTGCGAAGCTCGTCCACATCGTCCTCACTGAGCTGAAAGCGGCGGAACAACCAGACCAGCGTGGAGTCTTGGGTGATAACCCCAGTGGCGACCTCCCTGATCACCCGGTAGTACGCGCTTTTTGTGTCGACGAACAGCGCCGCCGCGCTGTGGCCAAGCCGGCGACAACGTCTGAAGTGCGAGGCCACATACAAACTTGGAAAGAGAACTGGGGCCGAATCTCTCGTTCCAAAGTGTAGCGGGTGCAGTGAGCACTGGACCTCGCCACGGATCTTGGTCCGAAGGGATTTATGCAGCGCTTTGCCCAAGTGGCTGCTCAGGAAGATGCTGCGGTGACTCTCAACCTGGCTTTGCATGCCTGATCTCTTGAACAATTCAAAGAGGACGCCACCTCTCCATTGAATCGGTTGGCGGAAGGTGAGGAGGGATTTGAGGTACAGGGGGTACGTGATCTGCGACATACCTGTCGGGCATGCAGCGAGCAAATCGCTTGGGAGACCATCTAATCCTCCAGCTTTCCCAGGCTTGACTTTCCGCATCAGGCTCTCGAAGTCTGTGAGTGACGGGAGCCATTCGCACTTCCATGTAGTCTCCGAGTGCTCCATCCGCTGGTCGTCACGCAGAAAATCACTTGTCTTTCGAATGACACTTTGTTCTTGCCTTCCGAAGTGCAGGAGCCAAATTTGATCACGATCCTGTCTGGACCGGGCCAGCTCGCCTGAGTCCGGATGCAGTAGGGCCGGGAGAGGGCGGACCACAGGCCGCGTCTTTTGACCCCCAAGTCCTGCGCGCTTTGCGCGCTGTAGAACCTCAGAGACCCCCTGCGGTCCTTCTCGGACAATGGACCCCAGCATGTCGTTCTTGCCCTTGGCGATCAAGGTCTTGATTTTCTTGGTGACGAGCTTGATCGCAACCGCAATGGTCTCGTAGAGGATAGCGTGCTTTCGGAGGCCCTGCTGGTTGGTCAGAGGGACTCCTTTCTGCCAGCATCGGAAGGCAGTCGCCGCAAAGCTGCTCCACAACTGTCGCCTTGAAAGAGTTTTTCGGCGCAGGCTGAGCTTGGCATCCCGTAGTGTCCACGCCTCATCGGGGATGAAAGAGGAACGTCTTGAGGTAGGGGGCTTCGGGAACCACCAGCTGAGGGCGTCCTGTAGGTAGTCCTGAAGTCGCTGGCAGTGTTCGTCAGGATGGACATGCCATGCAGGCTGTGGGAAACTGTCGCAGATATACTGTAGTCTGGCATCGTCCTTGCTCTGTTCGCATGGCCTCGGTGTCATAGCGCGGAAGCTGGAGACGAGCTTCAAGGTTGCTTTGGAGTGCTTCTCCTTCAAACTCCAAGACAATCAATTTGTGATCTTCATTGGGACTACCATTGTCGAAGCTGGGCACGGAATCACTGACCAGAGAAAGAACCTCGGCTTTCCCTCCTAGGAGCAGGTAATCGATCCTGCTTTGCTGGCCATTAGGATGAGTATAGGTCGCTGGGTCCCCTTTGTGGAGGGACCCATAGGTGGCTGGGGCCCAAAGACCATAGTCGGCCATGACATTGGCCATCAACCATCCAGTGTGATCGGGAGGGTCGAAAGTCAGGGAGCCCGTGACGCACTGGTAGTTTGTGGGCAAACGTCCATTCAGATCAATACCAAACACCACAACTTGGGCCTGTCTGCACCTGGCCAAAGTGGGTTTGAGGTCGTTGAAAAAGGCATCTCTCTCATCAACTCGTCCAGCATGAGGACAGTGCCCTGCCAGAACTGCGATTTTTATCCCTGACTCAACGATCTGTATGGCCAGTAGCCGGGGTCCTTCGAAGAGGAGCTCGATGTTGGCCTCGTCAACAACAACCGGCTTGCCGTTGAATTGGATGGCTCCCTTCTGCCTGTGCAGCCAAATGGCTGTACCCCAATGGCCCTGAGATTCAGAGGAGAGTCGGAGATAATGGGGTCCCCGGCATAGACCGGATGCTCCTTTGGTCTCTTGGAGCATCACAATCTGCAGGCCTTCGGCGTGGAACTGATCCTCGATGTATCGATGAAGCCCCCCGATGCCTTGGATGTTCGCCGATCCAACCTTGCAGGAGAAAGGCACCGGTGTGTTGGTCGAGCCTGGGGCTCCAGGCTTGTGTGTGGGGATCAACTGCGAGGGCTCGAGCTGAAAAGCTTTGAAGTCCTCCTCTCCCCATGTGATGCCCAGGTTGGTAAGCTTCAATGCTCCGGTCTTGAGTGCAGACGCAGCCGTGGCCAACCATGCGAGGGAGTTGGCCTGAAAAGCTTGGACTACCTCGATAGAGGGCCCTTTGAGGGAGGGATCGCCCTTGGCCGCGGCCTTGGCCAGCGCGTCCGCCATTTCGTTCCATGGATCCCCGCTGTGGCCTTTGACATGGCTGTATTCAATCCATGTTTGCGGGAGCTCTTTCAGGAAGAGCTCGAACTGGTGGGTGCGCTCGGCAAAGGAGTTTGGAGCGTTCCACCGGCCTGAGGCAGACCAGCCTGCAGCATTGCAGTCGAAGAGGATGTGGTACTTGGCAGTGGGAAGCAGTGACCTTGCCTGAGCGATCCACAACAAGGCGGCAGCGATTGCGATCTGTTCGGCTGCTAGAGCCGGGACATCGGGAACATTCCAAGGGCATAGATCGTTACCTTGAAGCTGTTCCCCAATCGCGCCGAAGAGTGCCATGAAGACGCCGACTTTAAGCAGTATGAGGATTCCATAGCCGCTGCGGCCCTGCTGGTCAGCGGACCCGTCAGTGTACAAGTAGACTTCGTGGTCTGCCTGCCCTGCTTGGGAAATCAGGTCACTCCAATGGACCAGCTCTCGCATGGCATTCTGCGTGTTCTTGTGCAACCTGAGGCCTTGCCAAGAAAATTGCAGCCAGGTTGGGAGCCACGGTCGCATCAAGGTAGCGAGCTGTTGTGGTGTATGAGGTAGCTGCAGGTGGTTGACAGTCAGGTCGAAGTGCGGGGGCGGTACCACGTCTTCGAGGGAGACGATCTTGACCCCCGTTTGTTCGTGGCCCACATCCTCCCCGAGGGCCGTTGGCAGAAGTCCTGCTTCGCATCCATGTCCCCGTGGAGCAGCAGCGGGACGTCGACTAGGCGAGCGACTGCGGTTCACCGGCCGAGGTGGAGGTGGTCCTCGAGGTCGGCCGTCTGATGGGGGTGGTGAAGCAGAAATGTCACTCGAGTTGGGCAGGTTGTCGTTGTGAGAGCTGTCGGAATTCTCCGAGTCGTCTTCATCATCTCCGTCGCTATCTTCGCCGATCGGGGACGGGGTGAGGTCAGCAGTCTCCTTCAAGAAGAAGTTGAGGGTTTCCCCTGACTGAACTCGAAGGAGATCTCGTTGTGCAGTGAGCTCTCCTCCCTCCACGATCATGGTCCAGCCTTCGATGCTGGGTGCCTGGATGCCCTCTAAGTACTCGGAGGAGTTAAAGAAGGGGCCGGGCAACAGAAGCCACTGTGGGAACATGCCCAGACCTCTCAAGTCGACAAAGATGACGACGGCATCCGGATCGTCTATCGGCGTGGAGCGCGGACCAGGGATCACCGCAATCTGTTTAGCGATGCGGCGACCTGCATGTGTGAGGTCGTCAAGTGGCTGCGCCGGCTCCACGATCCAACTTTGTCCTGGCTGGAAACCCATGAGAAGATCAGCCAGGTCATTTCGGCGCTGGTCTGCATCCGGGAGGTCCTCAAAGACAAGCTGGTTCTCAGGAGTTTGATAGACAACATGTGAACCCCGGCTTAGGCCTGGTGGATGCTGTCTGGGATCCCATCTCGAGGGGTCCGTAAGTCTGTCCGACAGAGAGTCCTCCCAGGCACAGAATTCCCCAGCGAAAACCGTTTTGATGATGCCTCCTTGGATAGCATCGACAGAGTCGGTCGGCTGCAACGCTGTTCGGTTCCCGAAGAGGTAGATGTCGATATCAGCCGCATCCTCCGGGAGTTGCCTTTCGAGGGATCTCTGCGATATGGGACCGGTGTGGTAGAAGGCAAAGAGCTCGCCCCCTATTCCCCGGTTGTCCATCAACATGACGGTCTTACCGTCAGCAGGAATCCAAGATGGTACGAGGAGACAGCTGCCGAAGTGCGACCCCAGTTGTGGGATCGTAGGGACTGCAGTCTCCGCATATGTGGGCATACTTCGGCACGTGGAAACAACCGCATCACAGAATCGTTGAGAGGTCAAGGGGAATCCCATTCCAATGTCGATGGTTTCCTGGCCAAAGTGCGGCGACGTTGTCCACACTGTAATGTGTACAGCTCTTCGGTCTTCTTCGGACATAGCTGCATCGTTTTCGTGCCCGGTAGGGTTCGGATCAGCTGGTGGGGGAGGCATGTCGCTTGCTTCGGTTTCTAGCAGGGGCGACCTATCCACATCAGCTCGAAGAAGTTGTTCTCGAAGAGTGAGCTGTCCGGAGGTCCACAACTCCAGATCTGTTTGGCGAGGGACTGCCGGAGAAGGTAGAGGTCCTGCTCGCGGATCTCGTTCTGGGAGGCTAGATCCGGGTGTCGGGACCGCTTGCCCAACAGCGACAACCGAAAAAGCCAAAAGCATTCGAAGTGGGCAGCTTTTCGAGAGGCGGGAGAGCCTCCTGCATGTGGGTGGTCCTTGGCTTCCGGCGGAGAGGATGAGGGCAAGGAGGGCTCCCATCTGTGCCGCGTAGAAACTGTGCAGGAGGCCTTGGGCATGTTCCTGTGCAAAACTGCCAAATTGAGTCAGCGTGGCACTGACGTGGTCAAGGAGGTCGCGGGCCACGTCGAGGATGTCGTAGTAGCGCCATGTTTGTTCGCCACTGTCAGGGCGACCTTCCTCCTGGCCATTGGCCAGGGTAGCTCGCAGAGCATCGCTCTCTTCAATGAGGTCGTGGCCTCCCGTAGGGCCGTGCCTCTTTGCGGGCTGAGACTCACCGCTCAGCCTTCGTTGTTGCAAGGCAAAGTCCAGCAGCCCGCTGGAACAAGCCGATTCCATCACCTGTGGACTCCAGAGAAGTGGTAGTCCTGCAGGCCTTTCATGTGATACTGTAAGGCGCGCTTCACCGGTAGCGTCTTGTAAGCCAAGAACACCAAAAGGTAGAGCACCGCCATGAAAAAGGGGGGAGTTCCTGGACAAGCCGAAAAAGCCAGGTTCCCTGGAAGGAAACATGATCGCTCCTGTTGCCGGCAACCGCCGCCCCAGCTGCGATGCCACACTGTCTTGACAGCAGAGCAATCCTAGTCGCACCCCGCCAAACCGGAGGTGTTGTCCTCCGTCTTCGTCTCCAAATCGGCGATCGCCTGGTCCTCGTCTGAGTCCAGAGTTTGGACGTCCATTCCTTCCTTGCGCTTGGCCTCCAATTTCTGCGAGAGCGCAGTTCCACTGACTCGGGGCTTCGAGGGGCCACGCCCCAGTTGCTTCACCGGAATACGTGCCCCCGGCCGCGAGCGTGTCCTGGAGATGCCGTCCGGGATTGGTGCTGCCGAAGTGGTAGAAGGCGACGTAGGAAAGGGAGTCCCCTTGGGAGCAGCCCCATCGAAACTGTAGAGATCGCCCTTGGCTGGCGGTTTGGCTTTCGTCGGTGCGCTTGTCTTCGGATCTTGTGGGGTTCGTGGCTCTCTGCCGTGTGTCCTGCGGGGCGGGGTGTGGAGTGAGGCCTCGCCGTTCCGCCTGCCCGCCAGGGCAGATAGCAGCTGTCGTCGTTGGGCTTCTTGATCGCCACCACCATTCAGGACCTCTGAGAGCAGGTCTGCTAGTCCCGGCTTGGGTCTCTGCTCCGGGGACTTCAGCAACTGGTCCAACTCTTCCAGAGCAGCGGTGTTGTCGGGGACTTCCACCCGCGGCTTCGCCACCGACTGGGGCTCCGCAATGGCGAGCTGGAGACCCGCCAGAGCTTCCTCTTGGGTCTGCTCGGCTTCCTGAAGGTCCTGGCTCAGCTGCTCCATCCTTTCGCGGAAACGGTTTTTCTCCTTCACGAAGGCCTGCTGCAGCTCCTGCTTGAAGGTCGCCCATTGCGCCTGTAGTGCTTGGCGCTCTTCTTCGATCTTTCTCGACCGCCCCTCGGACTTCCTCAGGCTGTTGAGCAGCTTCTGGACACCTCTGGCCAGCTGGCCTGTAGTGATCGCCTCCTCGTCGATCTCCATCTGCTCCCTGGCACGCTCCGGAGCCCTGGAGGTGGCACCACTCGTTGCCGGCATCATGTCGAAGGAGGGAAAGGACACTTTCCGAGTGTCCGCCGCGGTCTCTTTGGGGCCCGGGTAGCCATTCTTGGAGGTGTCCTTGGTCTTCCCTTTGCCCTTCGGCTGGTGCCATCCGCCATATTGAGATGTAGAGGATGACCGCCAAGCTTGCCATTCCGCATCGGACCATTTTTTGCCCATGGGCGTCGAACCACGGCAATCCCGACCTTGCTGTAGCTCTCGGTATCGCGGAGCGCTGTGATGCCTGGTGAGGGCAAGGAGATCCCTTAACCAGGGCCGGACACCCCGTGTCCGAAGGGTATGCACCCTTGACCTTAGCTTGGCTCTTCTCGCCCTGGCGCGGCGATGCCAAGACGGCGAGGCTGCTATGGCTCAAAAGGTGCCACAGCACCGTTGGGGTTCCAGGCTATGCTGGCCAGCTGTGCGGCCGCTCGATCCCAAACCCTTCTACATATATGTATATATACATCTATATCATGAGCAAAGTGTCGAGCTATAGCAACGTCAACCTGAAGCAGCGTTCGGTACGACCTCTGGCATGTAAGGGCGTGCCTCGCCGTTGCAGCCTTGAGGTCAGACATTTAGTTGTAGGAACAAACCTTACGACTGAGCCTTCAGAAGCCTTAAACCTTTAAGGCCTTTAAGGCTTGACTAGGTGACAATTTGGGAAACTTTCAAATCTTTATGGTTCCTATACAGGTACCTATTCGTAAATATTTTTCAGAGCCCCAAAACTACAACCCAGTTGAGATTTCAAGAACTATGGGTGCCAACATCCTAAGGAATCCAAAGACCTTCATCCCTCATGCCCTGAGGCTGTTTTTCTCAGAACCCTGCCATACAGTATAGTAACAGTACATTGCGATGTAGTATATTGTAATACAATATGGTATAAGACAGAAAGAAGAGAGACAGCATTTTCTAGCTCCCCAGGCCAATGGATGCTCCTTGGAAGCATGGTCTTGGCTCCCTCGGCCTTCAAGACGACGAGTTCGTCAAGGAGGCACTGGTCGTTTAGGGCTCATGGCAGTGTTGAGTGTTGGGCTTTGTGTTATGCCCCCTACTGTTCAGGGCAGGTCCCCTGAACCCTACCAGGGTTTAGGGTTGAGGGTTAAGGGTTTATACACCCTGTCGTGCTTTCCCTCTCTGTCTGTTGCTGTTTGTTCCTCCAGTCCCACACCCTGATGCGCTGTAAGCCCGTCCGTTTCTTCTTCTCTTTCTTTGTAATGCCACGGGGGACTGCAGCAGCACTGTTATCACCATGATATTAATGCTTTGGGTATTCCTGTCCCAAACCCTTCAGCCCTAAGAAAGTATCCCTTTCCTAGGCCCTCCATCTACCCTCTATATTAGACCCTAAATACCCCTTATTTGGGACCTCATACCCCTATTTGAGGGTACAAGGAGGGTCCTGGTTCTTTGTCGCCTGATCGAGACTTTCAACTCGAAGTTCATGGCTTCCCCTTAGAATGAACTTTGACCTTACGCATGCATCAGGCTGTATACACTGTGTAGCAAACTCTAGCGATGGAGTGTATGATATGGTGCGAAAGAAATGTACATGTATGTGTGTGCATACTTATATGCATATTGTAGATGCATAATTACTTCGTGCATCTTAGTGTGCAGTACGTATCCCAAGCGCAAATCCTGGAGTTTTTGTGCATGCTGGTGAGGCCGAACGGCAGGGTCAGCATCAGGCCGTTCTTGCCCATGCTTTGTATTGCACGGTGTGGGGTTGTTTCCAGCGTAAGGAAGCGGTTGAGATTTGCCTATAGAGTTGACATGGATCAAGTCTCCGCTGAGAGAGCTCTGTTTGTTCGTGTGTTTCTTTTGTTGTGTGTGTGTGTGTGTGTGTCTCGGTTTGGGCGCGTGTGTGCTCGCACAGACCTTTTCGTGACCTCACAAGACCCCATGCCAACTGCGCCTGCGCCCATGACATGCGCCCCAGGACATACTGGCGGCTGTGGGTTGAGGGGATGCAGGGGTGGAAGACAGGGCGCGACATGATTAAGTAAGATCACACAGCCCAACCCGCGCGGCGGAAAGGGGCTGAAAGACAAATGGGACCACTCAGCTGCATGTCACACGTCAGGCCGGACTGGTTCAACACATGCAGGACGCGTTGATTGACCAAGGATTTCTTCTTGTGCGGATCATCGGGCATTATGTATGTCCCCAATGGTGCGATTGCATTTATGATTGAATCGATCATGTCGTTCGCGCGGTTCGTGGTTTACTTTTGCCGTTGCCGTCGAAACGATTTCGGGACTATAGCGGTGCAACGTAATGTTAAGTTCATAGGTCACATTGACCTCACGGAGTATACGGTACCGGTGAGAGCGCAAGGTCCACATCCAAGATAGTTGCCCTCATGATTCGTTGCTACGCCTTTGGACGCAAGAATGTTGCTAGCGCTGTCAGCCCGGTGAGGCGAGTCTGGGCGAACACATGGCAAGGTTGTCAAACAATGATGAGTGGAACAACAGGCATGACGCGAGTTGAACACCAGGTGGCTGCAAGCAACAACAATCATGCGAACACGCCGGGCCGTCGGCATTGCAGTTGTATTTGGTGACGGTATTGGCGAGTATGACTGGGCCGAAAGAAGCACAAGTTTTGAACTTGCACCACAACATATTCTAGAGCCGAGCTACAGCCAGGTCTTTGCAAGGACATGCCTCAAGAGTGCCCTTGCCGGGCTGTGGCATTGCGCCGAGACAAACAAAGGACCGCAGCTGCCCATCCTATTGTGCTTATGAGAGTGGCCTTTAATTCAGCATTCCTCCATGTTTCGCGGGGGGGCGGCGGGTGCCCAGCTATCAGGCGGCCGAGTTCTAGAATCTCGAACCCACTTGGGTTGAATTCGTCGGAGCGCAGCTGTGTCGATTAGGGTTCCCAGGACTCGATCTCGAAAGGCGCTGAAGTGCTGAAGCGGCGAATTTGCTCCGGTTACAACCTGCTGCTGGAATCGCTGTATTTGTCGGGGTTGTTGGTGCTCCCTTTCCTTTGCCTTCTCTTCTGTTGTCACCACCACCGCCGATGTCGGCAGAGCAGACCAGACCAGCTGTCATACGTCAGAGGTTGGGAAAGGCTTGGGCTTGGTGCCGGCGGCTGCACCCGGGAACACCGGCTGCTCGCGCCTGCAGTGGCAAACGACCTCGAACAGTCGCTCACGGGGTGGCTTGTCGATGCTCAAGATTGAAAAATGTTGAATTCACGCTCGGTGCGGTTGAGATTCGCGAAATCCAATGCAGCCATGTCAGCCGTGTCTTAGAGGCCACAGAAGCCATGCTAGATTTGGGACTTGCGCGGATCAATCCCGATCATGTATTGCAACCAGCCACCATGACAAATGAGAAACGTGACATTGTCATGCAGCCCGGAATCCACACGTGCTTTCAGGCGGTAGGAGGCTCCGGACGGGAGCGGCCGAACAAAATAACTCGGAGGCATCTGGTATGCGTGCAGGCGTCGAGCTGGACGGGTTGTGGGGTCCACCACGCTCGCCAGAAGGTGGTCAGAGACACGATCCGCGGATGCCAATGCTGTTCCCTCTCTTGCCCTTGCCCCTGCCACGCGTGCCCTCCCGGAGGGGCTGCGTCCAAGGGAACACGGTTTGCTTGCCTTGCGGGAATTTACTCCGCCTGCGCCAGCAACGTGAGCACCTGCTTCACATTGCGAAGACTTCCAGCCGGCATGTTTCAGGCGCAGCTCCTCCCAACTCCATGCGTCCTCACGGACCTCCGCGATGCTGCGATCTGGGCCGGCAAACGGGCCCCAGTCGGCACACCCAACTTTGTCGACCTGGTCTCCTTGAGTGGCGCGTTTCTGGGAGCGCATCGGCCCACGCAGCAGCGTATACGCAGCCGCCCGCACTCGCTCCGCACAGACGCCCGACGCCAGGCAAGCCAGAGAACGCGCTGCATCCCACCGCTCAGACTCAGATGTTGTAGCTTCCGGAATTTAGCATGGTTTTGCACAGCCGCGTACGCAACGGACGCGACGAGGAGAGCTGAACAAAGCATGCGGCCCTGCCCGCGTGGTCTGGCGATGCTTGCCGCGCAACAGCAACAGAAGCCACGCAGGCTGGAGGGGAGGACGGGCATTTTGTCATTATGGTCGAGTGTGTTTCTGTGAACGGAGTGGTCGTGGTAGTCTAGTCGTCGAATTGTTGTAATTGTACTAGTACAGTGTGCCGGGAATTGAGCGCCGCTTGTGACCAACATTTGGCCATGACTTGGTTATTCTTGCCCATGTTGGTCCTAAGTGGTCACGTGGTGCAAGTGGTGCAAGGCAAGGCACGATGGGCAAGATGACCAAGATTGCCCTTCCTTCCTTTTCCCAAGCGGTGAGAAATGGTTTTTGGCAAGCTTGCGCGCCCATTTATGCCCATCTCCCAAGAAAACCATGATGAGCCAACTTGCCGTCTAAACTTGGTTTCCAAGCTCGCATCAACAATAGTAGCAGTCGCCGTCGTTGTCGTAGTCGAAGTAGTTGTCGTAGTAGTAGTAGTAGTAGTAGAAGTAGTAGTAGTAGTAGTAGTAGTAGTAGTAGTAGTAGTAATAGTAGTAGTAAAAGTAGTATAGTAGTAGTATAGTAGCCTTAGTCGTGGTAGTGGTAGTGGTAGTGGTAGTGGTAGTGGTAGTGGTAGTGGTAGTAGTAGTAGTAGTAGTAGTAGTAGTAGTAGTAGTAGTAGTGGTAGTAGTAGTCGTAGTAGTCGTCGTCGTCGTAGTAGTCGTAGTAGTAGTCCAGTGTAGTGTCGTAGGAGTAGTCCTAGTAGTAGTAGTAGTAATAGTAGTATAAATTAAAAGTTAGTAGTAGTAGTAGTAGTAGTAGTAGTAGTAGTAGTAGTAGTAGTAGTAGTAGTAGTAGTAGTAGTAGTAGTAGTAGAAATAGTAAAAGTAGTATAGTCGTAGTATAGTAGTCGTAGTCGTAGTCGTGGTAGTGGTAGTGGTAGTGGTAGTGGTAGTGGTAGTGGTAGTAGTAGTAGTAGTAGTAGTAGTAGTAGTAGTAGTAGTAGTAGTAGTAATAGTACTAGTAGTAGTAGTTGTTGTTGTTGTAGTGGTGGTACTGGCAGTAGCAGTAGTAGTCGTCGTCGTCGTAGTAGTAGTAGTAGTCGTAGTAGTAGTAGTAGTACTTGGTCCCGGGGCTATCTCGTATCACCTGGGTGTTTTACGCATCTGCAAGGCGTCTACTTCGGGGAACGCATTATAAACGTTATATCATCTTATCAAGCTCTGTATCTTGACCTTCATATTCTTCGGCGTCCGCAGCACGCTCTCGCATTTGTCAGTGTCAGTGGGCTTGTGCGCGCTCATCTTCGCACGAGTGTGTGCTTGTGTATTGCAGCTTATGTATTAGACATCTGTATACATATGCACTGGTGCGGTCTGCGCCTGTCGGTTTTTGAAGCCCAAAGAGTCTTCTGCTCACATCTGCGTCGCGCAGGGTCACGCGGGACTCGCGTAGGACTATAATATAGCGACCTACTCACCACCCATTTTTCAGGGTTGCTTTTCATGCTTCCGTGGCGGGTTTAGGCATCCTCTCAGTCTTATACTAGTAGCATGCCACTTTCAAATCCCAGCGTCTACTTGGCAAACGCATTGATTTCTCATCTTGGAATGCTTCCAAATGTAGTATATACCTCAGCGTCCGCAACAAATCCGGCACTTTGGCCTATCTGCTGCGTGCCTTGAAACCAGCGTCTACATGGGGATTAGCTAGTTCTGATGTGTAAATTTCCCGCTGATGTGTATTCTCCCTAAACCAGCGTCTGTCGGCATTGATGTGTATTCTCACCAGCTGATGTGAGATAACCCCAGCGCCCAATAGTCGTAGTAGTAGTCGTTGTAGTCGTCGTTGTAGTAGTCGTAGTCGTAGTAGTAGTCGTGGTAGTAGTAGTAGTAGTCGTCGTCGTTGTTGTTGTAGTAGTAATAGTAGTAGTAGTAGTAGTAGTAGTAGTAGTAGTAGTAGTAGTAGTAGTAGTAGTAAAAGTAGTGGTGGTAATGGTAGTCGTAGTCGTCGTCGTCGTCGTGGAGGGTGGTGGTAGTACTGGTGGTGGTAGTAGTGGTAGTAGTAGTGGTAGTAGTAGTAGTAGTAGTAGTAGTAGTAAAAGTAGTAGTGGTAGTAATGGTAGTGGTAGTCGTCGTAGTGGTAGTAGTAGTGGTACTAGTAGTGGTAGTAGTGGTAGTAGTAGTAGTAGTAGTAGGAGTAATAGTAGTAGTAGTGGTAGTAGTAGTAGTAATAGTAGTAGTGGGTGGTGGTGGTGGTGGCAGTGTTACTAGGAGTAGTAGTACTAGTAGTGCTTAGTGCCAGTACATTAGTTGTAGCAATCACTAGCACCAGTTACGAGTATTTTTTTAGCAGCAGTCGTAAGTGTAGCTGTCGTCGCCGACATCCGCGTCCTAGTGTTCGTTTCAGTTTTGGCCTTGATATTCATGCTGGCCCTCGTCCTGGTCTTAGTTAGTTTGAGCTTCAGTACGAGTCCTAGCCCAAGTCCCAGCCCTGGTCATAGTTCGAGTCCAAGTCCTGTAGTCCTATAGCCCTAGTCCTGGTCCTAGCCCTAGTCCTAGTTCCAGTTGTCGTAGTCGTCATCGTCGTTGTTGTTTGTCGTCATCGTCCTAGTAGAAGCAGTGGCATTTTAGATATGTTAATATTCGCATTACGAACAACACTGCCGGATATTATGCTTTTGCGCACTGGGGACCGCTACAGGCGGTGCGGCAGGCGACTGGCGCTCGTTGGTCCGGCAAGCTCGAGTTGAGAACGGCTCGTCTCTTTGGCACGAGCGGAGCGGCCCTGGCCAACAATACAGCGCCAGCCAAGCGCCTTGCTGGCGATTGCCTGCTTTACGGCCACCCCTAAAGCATGCTCCACCAACGGCGCGCGACGGTGCGGAGAGCGGGCGCAGGACTTCGGGTGACTCATGGTGACTCTGCTTTCCAAGCTTTGCTTGGGTTGCGCAGCCCTGCTCCACCAAATCACATTCCCAACGCATGTTCCGGCGACGGGGTCAGCAGAGAGTTTTATGCCTTTATGCCCTCCGCATTCTGCAGCACCAGCTGCGTGAACCACTGCATGGCCAATTGCCGCCTTGTTTGACGGCCACTATTGTGCTGGGGCGGAGTCCCAGCTTCGGGAGCTTCCCCACTACACTCCTCAACACACGTCGCGGATCAAAAAAAATCCGTGCCCAACCTGATGTGGGGATGGAACAGCGCAACTTGCATGATCGCAACTTCGTGAATGCTTTTGACTGCACCCCTGCAGTGTCACCACCAAGGCAAGACCGGTGAAGCCAGTTTCACGAATACTGCCATCACACACCAAGCGTCGAGATTCGCGAACACGACCCCCAACCGTAAAATTAGACGACAAACATGACCTTGTGATCCAGCGATTAGGACGAGACCCCCTTGTTTTTGCGACGTACCACGAGCACTGAATTCATACGAATACGTTTGGACTGCCGTATCTGGTGTACAATGCTTGTGGTATATGTAGTACTTGCGGCACTACAAGTACCGGTAATGCTAGAGCGAATTTTCGTCCAATTTTCTTTGCCTTCCAGCACTACAAATGCAAGGCCTTTTTCGTGGGGGGTTGTACGGTGTCTCAGACCCTTTGGCCAATTTCTGTCCAGCACGGCGCTCGCATCACCTGACCAGCATGGCAACTTTTTCAATGCACTCGCCTTGTCAGGTCAGGCGTGGTGGCTGTCGCCGTCGCCGTTGCTGTCGATATTAATGCTAGTGGGTCGTAGTCGTGGAGTCGCAGTCGCCGTCAATTTCGTAGTCATAGTCGCCGTTGCATTTGTAGATCCAGTATGTTCCACGTGTAGTTGCAGTAGTAGTTGTCGTCGTCGTTGTAGTAGTAGTTGTTGTTGTTGTTGTAGCAGTGGTAGTACTAGTACTGGTAGTGGTAGTAGTAGTAGTAGTAGTAGTAGTAGTAGTAGTAGTAGTAGTAGTAGTAGTAGTAGTAGTAGTAATGGTAGTAGTAGTAGTAGTAGTGGTAGTAGTAGTAGTTGTAGTAGTAGTAGTAGTACTACTAGTACTAGTACTAGTACTAGTACTAGTACTAGTACTAGTACTAGTACTACTAGCACTAGCACTAGCACTAGTACTAGTACTAGCACTAGCATTACTACTATTAGTATTATTACTACGATTACGACTATTACTGGTGCTATTAGTACTATTAATAGTAGTATTACCAGTACTACCAATGCTACTAGTACTACCAGTACTACTACTACTACTACTACTACTACTACTACTACCACCACTATTACTACTACTATTACTACTACTACTACTATTATTACTACTACTACTACTACTACTACTACTGCTAATACTACTAGTGCTACTAGTACTACTAGTACTGTTAGTATTACGAGTACTACTAGTGTACTACTAGTACTACTGGTGCACTACTAGTACTACTAGTGTATTACTAGTGTACTACTAGTGTATTACTAGTGTACTACTAGTGTACTACTAGTACTGATAGTGGTATTAGTAGTGCTAGTACTACTAGTCGACAGCCTGCTCCTGTGATCCCCTTATCATTTGGGTCTGCAGCACCAAAAGGATGTTTTGTACGACCCTTTAAAGGGAACATGCCGGCGACAGCTACCGTAAAGAAGCAAACGGGCGACCACGACTACTGCAATGGAGCAGGCGTTCTACTACTGCCACTATTTTAGGGGGGAAGGCGGTGGACTCCTACTATTATTATTACTACGACGACGACGACTACTACTACCACCACCACTACGACGACTACGACTACGACGACTACGATTACTGTTGGGGAGCAGGCAGCGGAGTATTTTGTAGAGGAGCTACTGCTACTTTAGAGGGTAGGTGGGACGATTACCAAAGCCAGACCAAGCCAAACCATTTTTTTTCAACAGAACTCTTTTCACGAGTGTGTCAGAAGAAAACCAAATCTAATAGAAAACGTTTCTAACATCAATATCTACGAGGATCCTATCCAACAGTATAACCCTATATAATAGTAATTATTTTTTTGTAATAAAAACATGCTGAGAATAAACCCTATCTAGCGGGAAGTCCCTATTCAATAAAAAACCATTTCTAGCCGGAAAACCCGATGTAAGAAGAAAGCGTTATGTAATAGGAACAAGCTACTACTACTACGACGACGACGACTACTACTACTACTACCACTACCACTACCACTACCACTACGACGACGACGACTAGTACTACTACTACTACTACTACCACTACTACTACTACTACTACTACTACCACTACTACCACTACTACGACTACTACTACTACTACTACTACTACTACCACTGATACTTCCACTACTACTACTGCTGCTACTACTGCTACTACTACTACTACTGCTGCTACTACTACTACTACTACTACCACTCTACTACTACTACTACTACTACTACAACTACTACAACTACTACTATTACTACTACAACTACTACTACTACTAATAACAATACTACTACTACTACTACTACTACTACTACTACTACTACTACTACTACTACTACTACTACTACGCAGCGGCAAGCGGTAGCGCTTCAGCAAAGTCCAAGACCTCATCCAGGGCCGGCGCATAGGCATCAGAGCCGTGCGGCAACCGGCGTGCATGACTGCGACGCACAGCACGTTCCACCAACGCCGGGTCCACGCCGCTTTAGCAGGGCACTCCCGGCGGGACTCGGTGCGCGCGAAGGGCGACCAGGCACTTGACTAACTGCACGGCGTCAGCAATGCATCACACGTAAGCAATCCACACCATCGCTGCACCCAAGCTGCGGTGCTGCTGGCACGCATTCTCGTTTGCTGACTGATCACCACGCAGGCTTCAGCGCATACGACTTCACAGCGAACCGCCGGACAGCACAACTCGCGTCTGGCGATGCCGGTTTTTTGGGTAAACTGCAAGCATCGGCAAGGAGGCTACAAAGGAGATGTTCTCGAAGGGCCGCCGCGAAGAGTGCAGCATTCGATGCTGCCGTGTGCCAAAACTAAACATTTGGCATAGCGCGGTTTGAATAAGAAAAATGCGAATTGCCCGTCGCGCATTTTTTTTCAACACACTCTTTTTTCCGTCCGCAGCTGGGTCGCCACTACAGCCCTACGGCGGCGCCGCCCAGAGAGCGAAACCTAAAATATCCCAAAATGCTACTCCCAGCGTTTTCGCCTTCTGCTCCGCTTGAGTTGCGGCCACCATGCATGGTTTGAGAATGTTCTCCACCACCACCACCACCACCACCACCACCACCAAAATTCATACCACCACCATGACGATGCCTACGGCTCCTACTTAAACCACCACCACTACTTCAACAACAACGACGACATCGACGAGTACTACTGCAACGACAGCTGCGGCTACTAGTACATGAACTGTATTACGACACGACAGTAGTAGTAGGAGAAATAATGGTAACAGTAGTCGCAACAGAAATCGCTGTAATACTAAAAGAAGTAACAGTGGCAAGCGTAATAGCAATAGCAAAAATAGTAGCTATGGTGGTAGTAGTAGTAGAGTAGTAGTAGTAGTAGTAGTAGTCGTAGTAATAGTAGTCGTAGTAGTAGTAGTAGTAGTAGTAGTAGTAGTAGTAGTAGGGTTGTCGTCGTCAGCGTCGATGGCCTTGTTTTTGAGCTCAGGGACGTGCTCGCCGAGCACCGGCTGGACAGGCCGCCACATGCCAGTCGCTTACCTGCACGGCGATATGCATCGCAACCGCATTTCATCCCCTTCCCCGAAGACTGCAGCGAGAACAGGGATCGCACCGGATCCATTAAAAAAAAAAAAAGCTGCGTCGCCAGCCGTCCTGTCCCACTTTCAGCGGCAGCTTTGGGCTCCATCCTGAAGGACGCTGACTTCGCTAGAACAGCATGTAGCGGCAGTGCAATCTTCCTGCGACGGGGCCGCGGACCTTGAGTCGCAAAAATGCCCAAGAAAAGTTCAACACGGCAAAAGTGAAGCCTCGGCCAGACCGCAAAAAAAACTATCCATTGTCAGGCACGTAATTAGTCGAGATAGTGTTGTTTTGTTGCTCGGACCTTAATTACAGCGTCTACCGCAGCCAGCGTTCGCGTTGCACCTTGGGGTAGGCACTGCTACCGCACAGCAAGCCGTCAGGCTGTCGTGCTTGATTTATTGCCGTCAACGATACGAAATCGGCGGGTTTTCGTAGCTGCGCATCACCCCCGAGCCTTTGTTGCACCCCAGAAGGAATATGCTCCCTTGCTTGCGTAGAGCAGAGCGGCACGAGCCAACATATGCCCGTGGTGGGTATACGAACAATGGTGCAATCACTTCAGGATGCTATACTGTGCTTGCCCGGACTGCCGCAGCCTTTCTTCGCGTGGTTGGATTTAGAGCCATGCCAGAACCCCAATCCAGGGCCCAGAGCATGCTAGAGCTCAGCGTGCCTTTGTCCACCACTTTGCCTCGCAATCCCCCGCTCATCGGTGACATGCCTTTGTTGCCGCGTGCACGAAGCCTCGGCGACCACATCACCCGGCCGGCGCAGCTCTCGAGATCGCCGGATCCTCGCCAGAGACCCGCCGGAAATTCAGCACAGCCGGCCCACCAAAAACACTTGGAAGCTTGGGGGTATGGGGGAGAGGCTCGCTGTTTCTGGAATTTTGAAACGTCGAAAGTCGCAATGCAGGCTCGAAGCTCGTAGAGGGTGGCAAGATGAGGGATTGTTTTCAAGGCAGGTGCAGCCGAACCTGGTGCATAGATGGCGAGGCTCAGCATTCATTTCATGTTTACGGCAGCAATTCCGAAAATTATGTGAGCCATTTTCAAACTTGGGAACGTCATGAACTCATGGTATGTTTATTCCAACCCTCATATTGTGTTATTGAAACCGCAAGCCCTAGCCACATGTGTGGCCGCAACACAATTCCCATCCGAATCGCAGGCGTCGGGCCGGAGGCGCCGACGCACCTGAGTGATTTGCTTTGCATGTGCCATGTGCCAGCAGTACAAGACACCTGTCCTTGCTTGAAGTTTGTTTGTGTCTTGTTCGCACATGCAGTGGCACAGTGGGGCTCGGGTGTGAGGTGAGGACGGTTTCGACGCCGTTGCCGGGCAAAAGGCTCGCACCTTTTAAGTTGTTGGGTCTGGGTTTCCAAGATGTAGACGTTCGACCGAGAGTTTTTCAAGGATGGCAACATCGTCCCATGAAGAACCCTTGCTGTCAGGGCATCAAGCTGATATTGGCAGAGGGGCTTGGCTGGCAACCCGGGCGATGCAATTGCAGATCTCGTTTCGCCTGATGTATTGCCTCCATGCATCCGATTGCACGCTGTGGCACAGAGTAAGGACATGACCGGAGAAATCGTTCGATTGGCCTGAGAAGCTGTGATGGTTTCAAGCAGCGGTTGGCAAGCAACAGTTCTTCATGTTCGTGCCCGTAACTCATCACAGGATTTAGAGATAGCTTCGTTGCAAGAAGTACGTTGTTGAAGGGGATGGCAGCTGCACCTTCCTCCGTCGACATTTTGGCTGACGGTCGGTTCAGTTGCCTCCAAAACTTTGCGCAAGGCTACGGGTTCTGGGTATTGGATACCGCAACTCATTTGCGCAAATGGTGGCCCAGTGCCGAGCATTACTTTCAGGCGGGGAAATTCTCCGATCCGGAACTGCAGGAACAGGTTCGCCGAGCCCCGGAGCCAGGAATCGCTAAGCATTTAGGGCGGACTTTAGGCCCTTTGCGAGCCGACTGGGACGATGTGAAAGCCAGCCGCCTCCGACGCGCCCTACGCGAGAAGCTTTGGGCTCATCTGGAGCTACGCAACTTGTTTTGATTTTCATATGTTTTCTGATATTTGCTTACAGAATGTTTATTCTGCTCATGATTGCTGGGGTTATGGTAATGATATGTAATGAAGTAACGATTATGGCACATGGTGATAATCATGCTTTCGGTTGGAACTGTGATAACTATCGTTACTTGTTATTGCGGGTGGTCAGCAAACGGTCTGGTGCTTATTGTTGGATTAGAGGAATTCTTGATTAATTAAATGGCTCTGTGTGCGCGAAATAAAGTAGTGAGCTACGACCAGTCGATTTCAACATGATTCAATTTCAACCAACGACCGGAACATACGAAGTTTGCAAGCCAGGCAATGTACTTCTCAGCATTCCAGATGGTTCTCGCATCCTCTACGGGAACACGGTGGATAGTTTTTTCGGCACAGGGCCCGATGGTGGTGGCTTGAATGTGATGGGCGCAGAACTCGAGAACTCGCGGGAGTTCTTCCAACGATACAGCCAGCGGCTGGAAGTGCCAGTCCTTATTGCTGAAGTTGGTGATGTTTTCGAGTCTCGGTCCACATGCGTAGACTTGACTGGGGCGCGCCCTGACGAAGTGCCAGAATTGTTGGCGGAAGTCTTGGGCCTTCCCCAGGAAAGCATTACCGATGTGGCTTTTCTCTACGACGACGGCTTCGAGCGCATGAACCTCTCGGAAGTGGAGTTTGCTGAGAGCTTGCAGGCTTTCTTGGTAAGCAACGCCCGGGACTGTCAGATTGAAGCACGGTTCTCGGAGATGGGTGTTGTGACGCTGTGGAATGCCACGGATGACAGCTACTTGGGACGTGCCGAGGTCGGGACATTGATCCGGACGACACCGGAATTGAAACGTCGTTTGGAGAGCCTCATGCCAATTCTACAGCATGAAAGCTTTCGTCCCGATTTCAGCTACAGTTTGGATGGGGCTGCTTCAAAGTTAGACGAAGCATCGATGCCCAAGATATGCCAAGCAGCAAGAGATGGGGTTGACGTTCTGATCTACGGCCACTACGAGGTCCCCGACCTCCCTTTGGCTCGCGCAGTTCCCGCGGCAGATCCTCCGACCGTTCGCCTTGGGGTGCACACGGATCTTGCAGCTGCTGAGCTGCGTGACAAAATCCAAGGCCTTCTGTGGGGATGTGCTTTGGGAGATGCTGTGGGGCTGAGCACCGAATCTTAGTAGCTGAGTGGATACACTTTACACTTTTTGGGATAATAATGATAATACTACCCACTATAAAACCGAACGTGTGCACTTTTTGGGGCTTATGAACTCAGCAACTAAGGAATTTATGGACAAAGCAGAGGCAGCAAGATCTTACCCGACACAGCTAAGTCCGGCCTCTCGGGTGGAGGACAAGCATCGGAAGCGCTGGGCCCAGGGTGATTCTTAGGGGTACTTAGAAATAATTTTTGGTGATAATAAGCCCTAAGAAACAGCTGAAATTATAGTTTTTGCTAGGGTTCTCAGTTCAGTATAGGTGATTGGACAGATGATACCGACCAGATGGTCATACTTTTAGATGCAATCGTGGCTGGCAGCGGCGTCTTGCAGGAGGCTACCTTTGCTAAAGGCCTGAAAGACAGCTTCTAAAGCTTTAAACCGTTTCCCCCAAACTCTACAACCCCGAAACTCTGGAACTTTAAATCCTTAAAAGGCCTCCTTAAAAACCAGAAGCCCTAAACCCTACATCTCCAAAAAGGCTTCCCTGAAAACCTAAAACTCTAGAACCCTAAATCCTTAAAAGGCCTCCTTAAAACCCTACAACATCCTAAAACCCTAGAACCCTAAATCCCTAAAAGGCTTCCCTAAACCTACAACCCTAGAACCCTCCCTAAAACCTAAAAACTTAGAAGCCTAAATCCCTAAAAGGCTTGAAAGCTTGGCTGCACTCTGGCTTCCCGGAGTTAGGCGACTCCTCCGGCTTGGGGATCGGGCAGACGGTGAAGTCGGTCTTGGAGCACACGGCTTCTTAGTAGCTCAGTATATATGTAACCTTTAATCTTAGTCTTTTGGGGCTCATATATTTCTACCATTCTTGAACAGGTTATAACCCGGTTGGTCGTGGAGTCACACGGCTTCACACGGCCTCTTAGGTTCCTGAGTAGTATCCTTTAAAGGGTCCTTAAAGGGTTCGATAGGGGTACTGCTTCTTAGTAGCTGAGTATGTATATTGGGGCTAGAAGGGATTTAAGGGATCTATCGCGGTGCTTCTAGGGTTTAGGCTTCTCAGGTTCCTGAGTAGTAGCCTTTTGCCCTGAGGTTTCCTTACAGCCTCAACGGGTTCTATAAGAGATGTATAGGAGCACACGGCTTTTTAGTAGCTGAGTATGTAACATTTTAGGGTTGATATAAAGAGATCCCTTTAAGGAATCCATAGGAGATGTTACCTTTCACTTTCTGGTGTACCATGAAGGGGCCTCTTTAAGACTTTCACGGATCTATACGGGCACTATTAGGGCTTAGGGGTAACCTTTTAACTTGTAAAGGTTATAAGGGGTTCGTTTACGGGATCTGTAAGGGCACTATTAGGTTTAGGGGTAACCTTTGACCTTTTGGGGTTTATACAATCCTACCATAATAGAACAGGTTAATCTTGTTCCAACCTAAATAACAGCCATAGTTGGCAACGAGCCCCTGCAAGGCTTTCGATGTCGCCCCCAGCGTAGCAGCTGACGTGGTCTGGCGGGAGACTGGTTGCAGTCTTGCAGCCAACGGCGCTATAATGCGGTGTGCAGCTGCCGCCTTGGGGTGTCTGGGTTCTTATTAGGGGGTTTTAATAGAGTTAATTACCATAATAATAGGGATCTATAGTAAATAATGGGATTTCCTTAATGTGGTAACTTAAACTAAACCCCTTCACAAGAACCCAGGTGTTTCTGGGATGAGGCGGTCGTTCGTCACAACGCCGTTGTTTCGGCAACAGTCACGCATGCCGACCCAAGGTGTGTGGCCAGCTGCGTTTGCATCGCATTGATCTTGGCCCGGCTTCTCGCAGGGCACAGCACTGCAACGCTTGCGCAACGCAGACAGCTAGTTTTGTCAGTGGCGCTGCAAGCAAGCGAGCACTTAGATGGAGGAGATGTCGACGAGCTCTTGCGCTATGTGGATGTTGCCGTTGATGGACTCAGTGCGCTTGAGCTGGGTTCTGGTGGCATCGGCTACACTTACAAACCCCTGGGAGCAGCGTCATGGTCTTTCTTACATGTGGACGATTTCAAGATGGCCATCCAAGCGGTTTCCATGGAGGCAGGGGATGCAGATTCCAATGCTGCTGTGGCGGGTGCGCTGCTGGGAGCCCGATTGGGCTACCAAAACCTGCCTCAAGACTGGTTGAAGGAACTGCCAGCTGCTCAGGTGTCTTGGTTTAGTCAGAAGATCGCTGCGTGCCTGGTGATGCTCGGGTTGGATTGACGCCGTGCAATGCAGAAAGCTCTCATCACGTAAAAATGGTCTTGCTCTTGATAATGTAGGGCCTTAGTGATTAGAATAGGGTTTTGGGGTCTAATTTTACTATCATCATAACAAGGAGCCCCCAAAATAGTATAGGTAGTTCCGAGGAATATGTATGTATATATATATATATATACATACATACATATCTTGTTACGCCGGATCCAGCTGGAGACGAGGGGGTGCAGCATTTCCGGTTGCGCTTTGTTAGTGCCGTACCCCTGCTTTGCGTGGCACGGTCCACAACAAGGCATCTTTCAGAGGCAATCGTGAGTCCAGGCAAGGCCAACAGAATATGTTCGCGCTGCACCTTGAGGTCCATACGTGGCTAAGAATTTCAACGAGCGTCGCGATCTGGAAGCCCAGGCCAGTCAAGTCGTCGTCTCATCATCGTTGCAATCCTGGGTGTGATTATACACACACTTTCTAGGTTCCTGTTGCCTGCATCATGGGGTTTCCATGATGTTTCATTTTTATGATCGGAAACCTAAGACTAGGTAACGAGAGCCCTGAGTTTCTTTGCCACAATAAGATAGTTGTAGCTTTTTCGCTGTTGTTGTGCTTTCCTGGTTCTAGATACCTTGACGGTAGGTAGGCCACTATGCAACCCAGTTGCCACTTTTTTAGACAACTGGAATCATAGACATCCTAGGAACCGCGGTCAACTTGAAAACCCTGACCCCCCAGACCCTCAGGGTCCATGTACCCAAATAGTATATACATTTGGCCTTAATGTAGTCCCTATAATAGGTACCTTGGGCCCAAAGTATATACTGTATGGATACATGCCTAAACCCTAAACCCCTAAACCCTAAACCCTCCCCAACAAAAACCAAAGAAAAAAGCTTAGACCTCTCGACCCCGGAGGTCGAGACGCGGTTGATGGACACGCTGAAAGAAGTGGAGCAGAAGGTGCCGACACGAGCTTGACTCCAAAATCTTTGGGTGCCCCTTGAAGGGTTTGGGGTTCAGGATCTGAAAGTTCTTACAAGGTTCGAAGTTCGTGTGGGCTTCAGTACTATAATGGTTTCTACAAGGACTCTGCCACAAAGCCGCCGTAAATCCCGGAATCCAAAACCTCACAGAGCCTCCAAAGGCCGATAAACGCCCCAAAGCTGTAACCTTTCTTGGAGGGTCGGGGGACTTAGTAACTGGTTATTTTAGGGACTTTTAAGTACCATAACCCCAATTAGGGTCCCTTTTAGGCTTATAAGTCTCCTTACTACCTACTTACTAAGTCCCCCGACCCTCCAAGTAACCTTTGCCAGAGCAAGCCTTGCAGCAGAGTCGTCAAGCTGCAGGTTCATACTTATCATGTGGGGTCCTTTTCAGGGCTGTCTAGGGGATTTATCACAGCTCTACCCAAAGGCCCCAAAGTAGTTCCTTTTGGGGGTTCGTATATAGAATCTTATTAGGGAATCCCAAAAAGGAACTACTTTGGGGCCTCTGGGTATAAGGGCCCTCCAGGAATGTTTGCTACACCTTAGGTTGTCCCGATACTAAGAAGGAGTAATTGTCCCTCACCACTTCCGCTCGGATTGCCAGGGGATCTCCAACACTGAGGACAGCGAAGGGTCGTGATTTCGGGTTCCTGCGAAAGACGGCAGAAAGTTGACTACGGTTTAGGGTTTAGGGTTTAGGGTTTAGGAAGGCTGGCCAGGACTGAAGAAAGTTTGTAAGCAAGGCGAAGGCGTGTAGACTTACTTGCACAAAAGTGTTGTTTCACCATCCTCTCGGACGGGCTTGAGGGATCTCTTCTGCCGTCACGTCCACACCCGCAGAAGGAAGGCCGTCGTTTTCGTGTTTTCCTCTTCCACAGCGCCTCGGTTGCAGCGGCTGCCATCCCGAGGATGCATGATGCTAGTTCAATTCTTGTACATTGGGTTCATTCGACGAGATTATTTTATTTAGGGGCCTGAATCATTACGTATTCCTTTTCGGTGGGTGAACCTTATTCTATTAAGGCCCCTATATTTTATTGGCCCGTCTTTAAGCGGAAGCCATCGCAGCCTTCACGACAACAAGGAGCTAAGCAGAGTGAAGCATAGAACCCAAAGCCTTGACATTATCCCTTAAACCCTGAAAAGCCCAAAGCGTAAACCCCTGACTAATACGCCCTGAAACCGACCTCGAAGTGTGATTTGATTCGGACGACAACTTTGGGCAAATTGCTCACACTTGGTTCGGAAGGTCCAAGCAGTGAGAGAGTTCATGCTGAGTCCTCCTTCTTTCTTCCGAAAACCAAGTCCGAAGCATAGGTATTGCGACTGACAGGTCTTTTTTGACAGGTTCCTCTGCACCTATCTTTTTGAAAAGCCCTCGAAGCCCTAAAACCTATTAAACCTATAACCCTAATCTCTATATAAACCTCGCGAGCGGGCATAGACTTCCAGGCAATGCGACAGGGAAAACCTATATAAACCCTATTAAACCTCGGTGGCAGAGGACCGGATACGCATCAACCATTCGATGCTCCGCCTGGACTTCCTGCGACGGCTTGACGCGCTGCGGGCTCAGGTTGGGTGGCTTCCGCCAGGACACTCCTTGTACCCTTAAATAGGGGTATAAGGTCCCAAACAAGGGGCATGTAGGGTCTAATAGAGGGTAGATGGAGGGTCTAGGCGTACTTCGTTCTGTCAGTCCTATAGGGCTTCAAGGTCAATACTAGGAAGATCGTTTTTGAATCGATGTGCATCCAATCACACAATGGAGTTTAGAGTTTCAAGCTTGCACGCACAAGACATCGGGTGCATCTTGGCGTGAAGCAGCAAGGTACAGCTGTAGCTCCAGCAGAGACGAAGTCTATGGATAATAGTCGTTACCTTAACCCCTAAAACCCCTAAAAGTAGGCAAAATCCTATAACAGGCGACTATTCTACATTATTTTGGGGTCCAGGTATTGTTGATCTTCTGTTCAACGCTTCTATATGTCATCACTGCAGAGCGCGCCGCGGCGCATTCTGCTGTTGGTCGCAGTCGATCACGGTTCTGCTTCAAGCAGTCCGATTATTTATGTCAAATTCCAGCTTTTCCGGCCTCCTTTAGCGTGCGAATGCAGAAGCAGCAAAAGCGAAGTTACTGGTTCAGTTTAAAAGCGCTGCCCACGTCACTGTATATTCTTTGCCAAGGTTAAAGCAGTGGCGGGAAGAGGACGCGGACCGTGCACACGAGCATATTCATGTCTTTCCTCGGCAAATCCGCTAGGCTGTGAAAGCAGCCAACAGACACACTCTGTGACTTGATGTTGTACACGCAAGCTCTCTCTCTCTCTCGCTTTTTCTCTTGAGCCGCGGTTCTCTGTCTAGTGTCGTTACTCAATGACTTAACGTGCTTCTTCCTAGTCTCCTTCTCCATATGTGATTGAGCAGCATGAGCATGTGGGCTCTGACGACATTGGCATCTTCCTTACACATTATGCGTTTATGCTTTACTTGACGATCTTGTCTTAAATGCACTATGTACATATCAGATAGCTAAGGCTGCGCATTATGTGTTGGTGTTACGTGTGCCTTGACCTGTCGGACTTTCATGCCGCAGTTGGCGCACATGGTTGTGCATACCATGTAGCGCCCTATGTCCTCATGTGCCATCACTTGTGTGCTACATGCTGCCCAGTTGCGGCCCTCCACTGAGGGACACGTATCTGGTCGGTATCATCAATGTTCAAAACGTTGCTGGCATTCTGGTTTGCATCGTTCTTATTATTGCCTTGGCGTGGTTGGTTCTTATCGCACTCGACTGGTAAATGACAAAATCGGCAAAACAAAGTAGATAGCACTATAGAAGCTTATTGCATATGTTTGTAAAGTAGCCGTGACGAAGCAGCAGCGAAGAAGCAGTATCGGAGTGTCTTTCAGACTTGTGCCGCAGCTTCTAGCTTTTCTCAAGATCCATGTCGGGCAGCACGTGGGCTTCACGATCATTCTAGTGGCTTGGCCTTGGCGTGACTCTAGGGGCCTAGATACTGACCAATACTATCTGGGGGGTTCCTTCGTAGAATTATGGTACAATGGGCCCCAAAATCCTGTTCCAATTGTTAAGGACCCCACATTTTAGTACCCTTATAGCTCCCGTCTATAGTAACCCTTATATAGATCCCTTTAAAGGGGCCCCAGTACCCTTATAGCTCCCTTATAGTAACCCTTATATAGATCCCTATAAAGGGGCCCCAGAGATTCGAGTCCGAATTCGGCATCCGCTGCATCGCCTTTTTCCGACACGTTGGCGAAGGGAGACGTGGTTACATTCGTTCCACAGGGGCCGGTTTAGGGTTTTGGGTTTAGGGGTTTAGGGTTTAGGGAAAGTTGTGCAGCATAACATGAATGGCCTTGTGCCCTGCGAAACAGCTGGTGCTTCTTCCCGGATTCCCGGAAACCTGTGAGGCCCTCTGAGGCTTTAAACCTAGCTCATACAACCAAATGCTTCTGAAGCCCAATCATACTTGTAGCTGGCAAAGTAACGCTTAGGTGTTGTTTTTGCTTTACCTTCCCTGAAACCCTAAACCCGCAAACCCCTCAAAGTGATGCTGCCGCCAAAACCATTCAACCCTAAACCCTTAAACCCTAAATCCTAGGACTCACAGGTGCCCTAAAACCCTAAACCTCGAAACCCCTAAACCCTAAATCCTAAGACTCACAGGTGCATGTGGCCCGGACTGCACGTGCCGCGGCTGGCGGATCCGAAGGGCACAAGCAGACAAGCGCCGCTCGGCCATTGTCAAGATGGGTCCCTGCCAGCAAGATCGCTTTTGCTACTACGCAGTGCCAAAGTAAGGGTGGACTGGTGTGAAGTACGTGGCAGCAGCAGTTGCAACACGCTGTTCTCGAGGCATATGTTGGTAGAACTGCGGCTGTTTTAGCGCGCTGGAGGTTCAGGATCCCGGGCGCCCAAAAGCTCAAACTAAGTTCTTTTTTCAATGCGATGTATCGTTGTCATTCATTGAGGGGTACTCGTTACTCGTACCATTGGTATGAGAGGATCTATCCAATAATTCTAAACTTTACATGTACTATATAGGGTAATCTATACTCGCAGCAGCCAGTTCGGCTTAAGCCTGCTTTGGACTGGCCCACTCCTGTCCTGTACTGAGCTCACGCGCGACGAAATCATGGCCCGCCGTTCCTCCAGTCTGCTGATCCTCGCCGCCGCACTCTGTGCGCTGCTGGCACTCCAAGCTGCCTTCGTCAGCCCCAGGGGCAGTGAGGTGGGAGTTTCCGAATATAGGGGACCCTAATATAGTATACCCTAAGTAGTATGATCCTTTTTAGAAGGACCCCAAAATATGGTACCCCTAATTTTCGCAAACTCCCAGGTCTCCAATCAGACCCAGGACATGGCTAAAGTGGCCGCCGCAGGTGCGGTGCTGACTGCCCCCGAAGCGGCGCACGCCCGGCTTCCGGAGGAGTTCGTGATCTTCGCGCCCATCGTGGACGTGCTGCCGATCCTGCCTGTGTTCTTCTTCCTGCTGGCCTTCCTCTGGCAGGCGGCTGTTGGCTTCCGCTGAGCTGGTGCGACAGGGGACTTAAGGTTTTTCTCCCGCATAGTGTGACCCAGCATTGCTGGGAAGACCGAGCGCATGCGGATGAAAGAAAGCCTGGCCGTTATGGTTTGCATGATGTTTTATACTTTGATTTTACAGAATGCCATTTGTTATGTATTCGAAACTTGTATACCATGAACGATTGCACATGTTCCCTGAACCTTATAGGCTTCGAAGCTCCACGACATATCTGTACAGCATCGAGCAGGGCACCACGGCTAAGCAATTCAAATTCACCATAATTCACCCGATTGGAGTTCAAACTTAATCGTAAAAGGTCTTGGTTCAAAGCCCATCGACCATGAACTCCGCACCCACTCAGCCCGAAACAAGCCCCATAAAGTTGGCCCTCTGCTATATTGTGCCGTGTTTTAGCATATCAAGTTCTATCATACCTATAGTCTCTATTGTAGTTCCTTGTTCTGGTTAACCAGAATCTCGATTATAAGATCCTAACCATAAACTTAGCTAACCAACAAAACGAACTACAATGGAGACTCTGGGTATTATGTTTGCGTTATACTCTAGTCTAGGGGCATTAATAATTACCTATACTATTTTGGGGGCTCCCTATTCTTCTTAAATTACAGAGGGCCCCAAAACCCCTATTCTAAATATTAAGGCCACTATATTACAGTACCCTTATAGAGATCCCTTAGAAGAGTAGCCCTTAAAGGATTCCCTTTAAAAGGACCCCTATTCTAACTATTCCAGCTATTGGGGCCTTCAGGCCGCCAGTGGCGAACGGGACAGCTGGCAAGGCGCGTGTTCTCAAGGAGGCAGCTTAGGGTTTAGGGTTTAGGGTTTAGGGAGCTGACCCAGAGACTCCAATGTCCCTTGATTATAAGGACTATACTTTAAAATGATAGTAGGATCCCTAATATGATTTAAGGTATATTCCTTAGTTAAGGGAGGTTGGAGTCTGTGGGGAGTAAACCTTTTGCCGTCTATCTATCTATTAGAAGGTCCCCCAACCCTGTAATAGTGGTATAATAGGAATATAATAGGACCCTAATATAGTCCTTATAGTCACTATTAAAGGGTGGGGGGCTTCTAATCTATATAGTCCTACCATAGTGAAAAGATTATCCTTTTTTGGGCTAGGGTCCTCATTTCCTAGGGAGGTAATTCTTGCGCCGTCGACGTCACTTCGCGTTTGGACTTCAATCAGGGTCTAGGGTTTTCAGGGTTTAGGGTCTAGGGTGATGAACCCAAGGCTCCAAATGGGAGTTTCCGAAATTTAGAGGTACCTTTTTTGGCGCCCTTTAAGAAGGATGGTAGTATTTAGGGACCACATTTATGGTCCCCCCATGTTTGGAAACTCCCGGATAGGGTCGGATTTAGAGCTTGGAACTCCTTGGCGATACGGCTCTGCCCATCAACACATCCTCGATCTACTTCGAAAGTCATCGATCCATCCATGCATCCCTTCGTGCATCCAGCTGTCGATCTACATAACAATCATAACACATCAGCCACAGAATAAGCTGAACGATGTTAACCATCTATGCCCCTAAACCCTAAACCCTAAACGCGTTTTCCATGTATGTACACATACATGTCTACGAACATCTACAGGGAGATCCTCTTTTCCTCGATCAGAACGGAGACATGACATCCGGCTTTTCGTGGGCGCCAATGTTGGTGAGAATCGAGACACCTCAGAGCCTTCTTGTTCCTGCCTGGACCCAAGAAGCATGTAGAGGAATAACATTTTAAGGGTATTGGGCCATCCCTTTACCTACTTTTGGGGGAGCTTAGGTGATGCTTTCTTCCAAAGTCCAGAAGGAAGCCCCCCAACCGCAGCTAAGTTAAGTGGAGTCCCAATGCCCAAACCTTGCCCGAGACCTAAAGCACCAACCCTAACCATGAAGCCCTAACCCCCAAACCTCATTGGAGGCCAACAGGGGTTTTAGCCTATGGGGGTTTAGTAGGGATTAGGGTTCCCATAAAAGGGTTCATATTAAGGAATCCTTACCCCAAGAATCTTAAACCACCTTTTGGCCTCCCATCAAAACCCTGCAGGGCGCACAGGAGGTGCTGCTACGCATCTCCACCGGTGGCTTGCGCGACTTCCTGCTGCCAGCCGGTCAACTGGAGGAGTCCCTGGGCCCGGCAGAGATGGTGGATTATAGGGACTCCTTTAAAGGGATCTATATAAGGGTTATAGATCTCTTAATTATAGTAGCCCTTAGTAAGGGTTACTATGAGGGATCCATAAGGGTACTATTCCCGGGGCCCTACGGAGATGGTTTATAAGGGTAAAGCCACAGGCTCCTGAGTACCACAACAGCAGAGAGTGCCCATGATCCATTTGATCCGACATCTAGGGGGTAGAAATCGGTGTCGGCCTTTTGTTGGCTTAGGGAACAAGCAAATCGCTATGTTCCGTCGCGGCTGACAGGCCATTGAGTCCGTGACCGAGAGAGAGAGAGAGAGAGAGAGAGAGTGAGAGAGAGAGAGAGAGAGAGAGAGAGAGAGAGAGAGAAATAGAGAGAGAGATAGAGAGAGAGAGAGAGAGAGAGAGAGAGAGAGAGACAGAGAGGGAGAGAGAGAGATAGAGAGAGAGAGAGACAGAGAGAGACAGAGAGAGAGAGAGAGAGACAGAGAGAGAGAGAGAGAAATAGAGAGAGAGAGAGAGATAGAGAGAGAGACAGAAATAGAGAGAGAGAGAGAGAGAGAAATAGAGAGAGAGAGAGAGAGACAGAGAGAGAGAGAGAGAGAGAAATAGAGAGAGAGAGAGAGAGAGGGATGCTTGTTCACGGACTGCTTTCCGGTCGTCGGCTGCTGAAAAGTTCGATTTTTGAACCCTTTCAGGACCCTCCTTGTACTCTCAAACAGGGGTATAAGGTCCCAAATAAGGGGCATTTAGGGTCCAATAGAGGGTAGATGGAGGGTCTTGGTTGGCGAGAGTTCAAACCTTTAGCTTAAGGGTGAAGTTAGTTTTTTTTCTCAGAGCTTCGGTCAGACAGCTGGCAACTACTGTTCGGGGATAATTCTGGAAGAGCGCGTCGGTTTTAGGGGTTCGCTAAACGACATGTAACAAGCACACTGTAGACCCTCGTGGCGCTTTGAGGCTCACCAGCTTGAGCCTGCAGGGCGGAGTCTTGGCTATTCTGGTAGGGTTTACAGTGAACCCCAGAAAGTTGGAACCTGGGTTCAGGAGGATTGGTGCTAGGTTCCCCCATGTTTTACCTCAAAGGCATGAGGATCTTGATGTTCCAACTTTCTGGATTCTACGATAGGGTGTAGGGGTTAGGGTTACCTATTCTGATTATCAAACCCCCCAGACTAGACCCTGCCCTGAGCCCTAAGTCGGCTTCTCACCCCTAAACCCCCAAACCACTAAACCCCTAAACCCTAAACCCCTAAGCCCGAATCCCTAAACCCCTATTTTGGCTCAAGGCATTTGGGCTCAAGTTCCGTGAAGCCAGGGTTCCAGAAAGTGGTGGACCCACTTCCAGAGAAGGTCGGCGATGTGAAGGACCGTGGCAGCGCGATCGCCAAGATCGCCAGGGCCGGGCTTCTGGGGCCTCTGGTGCTCGTCCTCCTGAGCTGCACGGTGGTCCTGCTCGCCGTGGCTGTGGGTATGGTGGTTGCGCATCCAACAGAACGTTTGCGGCGCGATGACCAACGGTCCCGTGCAGCTGCCGCAAAGGGAAAAGGAAACGGAAGACGAAGTGGGAAGGGAACAGGAAAGCGTTGAAGCCCTTTCCCGATTCGTCGATGTGAATCCTGGGTGAACTCCGTGACCGAATTCGACGGCTGCGCACTTTGGACAGCCACACAAGAAGGCTGCCAAGATGAGCAAACTCCAGGGTATTCCAGGGTCATACACAGGCACGGGCATATTCTCACAGCTACGAAGCTATCTTCGTATCGTGATGGGAGGTGTTCTAGCAGCAGATGGCACATGCCGTCGCCTGCTCCGGCCGCCTTGTGCGGATGCACCAACCCTAAACCCGCAACCCTAAACGCGGAACCTCCATACCCCGTGATCTTGACAAGTCTTTGGAGGCGCTTGGGTTTAACACACCTGATAGCTTGGAAGTTGACTTTTACACAAGAGTGCTAGTGGGCCCCGGGCAGCTCAAACAAACCACGCTCACAGAACTGCCTAAATTACCCAAGCCGAGACTATGGGCATCTGGCAAGCTTAAACAAGGATATCCCGTAACCCTGGTGCTTAGTGACAGTGAAAATGAACCAGCCCCGAACGTCACTGCCCCCTTAATTCCTCATCATCTTAAAAGATCCAAAACTACGCAGTTGGATTCCTACACCCCTTATGAAACACAAGCCACAATTCCTTGGCATGTGGACTCGGTCGTTGGCGGCTGAAGCTACGAAGCGGGGGTGTGTGCAACACACACCCCAAGGAGAGCTGGCAGAGGTTTGGGGTTCTTCTGGGGCCCAAAGCGTTGTCACTACATACTTCTGTTTGTACCTCCTCTTGTTTCTCCTTATAAGCCCCTACTTTAGCATGTTTTATCCTGTTACTTTATCTCCCCCATTTAACTTGTCCATTAGAGTCCTTATTTCTTTGAGACATCTCAGGCATTGTTATTTAGGATATTTGGGGAGAGGTGCGCCCTAAGAAACCACTGACCCCCGATGCGCCACAGCCATGGCTATTCTGCGGGACAGCATACTCGGATGATTCTCTGCACCGACCACCTGCAACTGCGTGACATTGATGGAATTTACTGCATGATGCCGAGGCTGCAAGCTGATAGAATTTATTGCATGTATCAGTGCATGCCCAATGCATACTGAATTGAGGATGTCTGAAAGCCTGATAGGCGTATCCGACAAAAGCAAACCCAGATTCCTGAAGCTGGAGATGTGCAGCAACCATAAAGCACGGATGGGAATTCAACACTACTATACTGGAGGAGGAGCCTTACTCGGAGGCTACTGATGGCCCATCGCTGGCAACATGCGATGGACGTTCAGATCATATGCGGGGAAGCGCTTTCCCTCCTCCTGGTGGCGACAGAGATCATTTCCCCCCCCAAAAAAAAGAGCACGGACCGAGCCCGACAGATGTGCAGAAGGGCGCAGTATTAGCGCCAGCCGGCAGCTCTACAAGCCCTTTACTGTGCTGTTCAGTCTGATATACATGGCACTGCTTGGCGCAAACGTTCTGCATGCTGATCGGATTGAGTACGCTGCTAACCCAGAGTATTCAATCGGGTCTGCATAAGAAGTGAGGGAGTTCATGCCTGGCAGGAAAGCTACATCCTATGGTTTAGGTTGAAGTCTATGGTGGTTGATTGTATCGGCTCTTGTCAATAAGGTTAATTTGTGTTGAGATCAAGATGGATGGTGGATAGATGTATCGGTCAGCGTTAGCTTTGGATGGTTTAAAGCATGAGAATTCGTAAGCGCATGAGCACACAACAGGAAGACCCGTCCCATCTGATAGTTGTTTTGTTCCTATCACAGTCTGACCTTTGTGATGTGCAAGTGTGCATGTGCATGTAGGTAGATGATGATGCATGACAGCTCCCAGTCCATACGTCCGCCCAGTGTCACCTCCTTTGGATTGCACAGCTAGCTAATAAGGCTAGAACACCAGTCATCATCGAGATGATGATGCCAACACAGATCACATGTACCTGGATCGTCCTGGTCTGTTATAGTTATTTCCTATTATGGCCTACATTGTCATTACGCCCCAGACCCAAGAAAGTGATCTGCAGCTCTGTATTCTTCAAGGTCCTATTGTTTTCTTTGTGCTTTACTTGATAGGATCTTGGAGAGGGCTCAGTCTATGGAACACAGTTACTTCATCTGTTCTGAGTTTGTTGCTTGAGATCAGTCATCAGACTGTCCCTTCTACGTTTCACATCGTCAGACTCCGAACCATATGCCTCGCCTGGATTGTCCGAGTGTGAGCGCCGAAACCCCTGAACCCCTAAATCCCTGAACCCTAAACCCCCGAATCCGAATCCCTAAACCCTAAACCCCCTTGCCACGGCCCTTGAGCCCCAGGCGCTCTCAGGGAAAAGCTCAGGGAGAATGCCGTCGCAGAGCTTCCAGGCACGGGGTTTAGGGTTTAGGGTTTAGGGTGGGTTTAAGGTTTATAGGCATCCCCGAGGTCTCCTACTAAGGTGACTGAGGAAGGCTGTGCCCTAGAGCTTAGGGTTTAGGGCTTTAGGGTTTAGGCGTTAGGGTTTGGGGGGAGACTTAAAGTTGAGTATAGGGGCCTTAATAATTAGGATAGGGTTCTTGGGCGCACATAATACTTTAGTTAGGAACCGCCAAATAGTAGTGGTAATTGTTTGGGTTTAGCAAAATAGTAGTGGTAATTATTTGGGTTTAGGGCCCTGCAGGAGGGACTGGGAAGCAGGAGTTGTTTCGGTTTACATGTCCGCAGCTCTACACCATGCCCCACAATCTGAGGTGTTCGCGGTGACTGCGTAGGTCACCATTATTGGCCTTATAGACTTTGCTCATTACTCTTCTCTGGGCACGGAAACCTGGAGCTTCGTTCGTACAAGTGTCTTCTCGAAAAGCATTGGCGGCAGGCGGCAATCGAGAGCAAAACCCAAATCCAAACCCCAAGCCACGCCCGAGACCGAATAGCTCTGAACCCATCATAACGGCCCTTTGGCAACGCTAAACCCTGAACTTAAACCCCTAAACCCTAAACCCCTAATCCCTAAACCCTAGACCCCTAATCCCCTAATCCCTAAACCCCTAATCCCTAAACCCTAAACCCCTAAACCCCAAGCACAGGCCAGGGCTTGAACTGCATCGAAAAGTTCGGGGTGCCCGGGAAGCTTCCAGTTTGCATCGCCGGGAAGGACCTCGGATGTGGAATTCGCCATATTTAGGGTAGTTCTCTAAGTTCAACTACAAGGGTACCATAAGGGTGGTTCTCTAAATTCAAGGGATTAGGTGTTTAGGGTCTAGGGCAGAGAAGGGTAGTTCCCTAAGTTCAGCTCGGTTTCCTTGAAAGGATCCAAAGAGGTGTTTCTGTAGGGTTGCAGGGTAGTTCTCTAAGTTCAAGTCCCTTAGGGTAGTTCTCTAAATTCAAGTCCCTTTTTGTTTCGGGGACCAAAAAGGATCATTAGTTTGAGAGAAGTACCCATTTAGGGTTGAGGGTTTAGGTCCTATAGATGCTTGGGCACACGATCTGGGCAGAGGGCTTCTGGGTTTAGATTTCGGTTTTAGCGTTGAACTTCAATGCTGGTTTGGGCTTCGGACTGGGCGAAAAGTCTGTTCTTGGGCTAGCCCAGACCTAACCCAAGAGGAAGCCCATACTCTGCAATGCACAGTCTCAGCCCGGGTTTCTGAGCAAGAGCCAAAGGATCTCGAGGCGACTGCGAAGCTCTGCGAAGACCTGGACCTCCAGTTCCCTGGAAGCACGAAGCCCTGAACCCTCAATTGTAGTTTAGGGGAGGTAGGTGTGGGGGGAAGGGGGGGGGGCGACATTGGGTGAAATCTATCCAAGTACCATCCCAGCAGAGTCTCCATGAGAAGAGTGGGATGGAGTAGGGGTAGAATGTCTGGTTCTAGAAACCCGGTTTAGAGCCTAGGGTAATCTAGGGTACCTGTGTTCCGTGTTGTTCCGTTCTAGGTTCAGATGTTAAGGTTCCAGATTCACGGTTTGGGGTTCTTTGGCACCACATGCGCTATGGGACCCAACACCAGGCCTGACGGAAGATAGTTGTTCTTAGTACCATGCGTTAGTCGAAGTGGTTGAACATCGGGCACCAGTTGTTGTCGGCTCCTGGGTCTGTGCGTTCTCGTCCAACTACTGGAGGCACGCTGTGCCTGCGGCACCAAGGGTGGCTGTAAATCCTGGTGAACCAAAACTGTGAACGTCTGAGCCTGAAAAGGAATCCTGAATCAGGCCCTTCTGCAAGGTTCTGGATTTGTTTGGTGAGACGGAAGCGAGCCGGGGCAATGTAAAGATATGTACAGGAGCAGGTAGAGGTTTTTTGGACGGATTCGTCCTGAGCTTTGATTCCGCTTATCAAAGACCTTCAACCCAAATCCCAAAACCTTAAACCCTAGACCCTACAAGCCCCAGACCCTATAACCCCTGTAAGCCCCAACCCCTTGCCTCCCCTTGCTCTTCTTCTTCCTCCTCAATTGGGAGCTTCCGAAAATAGGGGACCCTAATATAGCACCCTAAATAGTAGGATCCGTATTATATAAGGACGTCAAATAAGGTACCCCTAGTTTCGGAAACTCCCAGATCCTATCGCCTACATCTCTGAACACCTTATAATGAAGCCCAAAAAGGTAGGGACATCCGCATGAAATGCTTATGCTTATGTGCTTTTTGGGGTCGTTATCAATCTCCTTCAGGCCAGCACTTCTTCAAGGCGATGTCGGCGCAAAGCTCTTTGATCCTTTTTCGGATGACGGCAAAGATGGCTATCTGCTACCGCAGATGATGTCAATAGTGGCTGCCCGGATGCAAGAGCGGCGCAGGATGGGTACTTTTGCACATGCGCCTGTGTTTTTGCTCCGGAAGGCTTGGCACAATCTGTCACCTTTGCGCGCCGACACTGCCAGCCCCGGCAAAGTCGTGCATTCCAACGTACTGACTTTTGAGACTGTCAAGTCTCGGGTACATCGTTGTAAAATACGTTTCCATGAGACAGACCTTCCACAGACTGACGATGTTTCTTAAGGCACAAGCACGCGCTCAACTCGAGTTAAGACATGCCGGCCGATGAAGCTGTGAAATCCTACGTGCTCGGGTCGTAAATGCAACAGATTCGGATCTTGGATCAACTTACTGTGAGAATAGGCCACGCAAGAACGGTAAAGCCCGAAATGCCGAGCCGGAACCCTGACCGCTAAACGCTGACCCGCAAAAGCTGTAGTGTACTGAACGAAGAGACACCCGAACCGACATTGAAGTAAAGCTTTCAAGTAGCCAAGAGATTCCACCTGCGATTGTTTTTGGTCAAAGCGAACTAAAGCAAGCAAGCTCCTTTCAACACACGAGAAGTCACACGTGTCTTCCGGTACACAGCCTTTAAGATTGTATAAGGCTATAGGGTTTACTTGGTACAGTTAACCTTTAAACCCAATAAGCCTCTACCCTAAGGCCCCAAAGTAGTTCCTTTTTGGGGTTCGTTATGGTTCGTTTATAGAATCATATAAAGTAGTCCCAAAAAGGAACTAGTTTGGGGCCTATGGGTAGTCTACTGATGCTGAGGACCACGGGAAGAAGGTGCCATACCTGAAGCCCAGGCCTCCACCAGATCTTACAAGTTGCCGTGAGTTAGGTCCCCAGACCCCCCAACTACTCTCTATTTTACCCCAAATACCCACTATTATGGACCATAAGGGCTCTATTAAAGGGTTTTGGGGTGGGCTGGGCAAGGTTGCTACATGGATTTCTACAGGGTGTTCTTCCCTTGAGCGGGATCAGTTCGGATCGGATCCTCCATTCTACGCTAACGTCGAACAAGGGTCCCCACAAATTGAAACTTGCGTGGAAAGTCGCAGCTATAGGCTAGGAGGGCTGAGGTTTGACGGGGGGGGGGGGGGGGGGGGGGTGTTGGAATTACGCTTCCAGAATACAGGGTCTGGAACTCTAGCTATATGGCTTCGGTTCATATGGGAGTTTCCGAAAAGTAGGGGTACCTTATTCTGGGGGTCCTGATAATCAGGATCCTACTATTTAGGGTACCATTGTGGTCCCCTATTTCTGGAAACTTCCCTATAAGACTTTGCCTTTGGTGTGACTTCCGTAAGAGTTCGGATAGAAGGCTCGTGGGCATAGGGCTAAAGGCCTCATGTAAGGGCTCTGGGACCAGGACCCTCCTTATACCCTCAAATAGGGGTATCAGGTCCCAGATAAGGGCCATTTAGGGTCCAATAGAGGGTAGATGGAGGGTCTAGGGATAGTCAGAGAGTTCATGCCTGATGTCAGACGCGGATTACGCAACGAATCGCAGGTAGCCCTGCGTTGCACTCTTAGACTAGGATGCCCAGTGGTACCCTTGTTCCCTTTTTGGAGTCCCAGATTCCTTATAAAGTTACCCATACCAAAGGGCCTTTTTATTCCTAGGTTACTGGGCATCCTAGAGAATGCTCGTTATGAGCGGCCATCAGCCTTCAAGCACCCAGAGAGCCCAATACCCCTTAATTAGGGAACATAGCTTAAATCATAATATGAAACCCCTTATAATTTAACGTATTTTCTTATGAGAAACCCACAGCCACACACTGGGTGTGGCAGAAAAAAATATTCTATATTCCTTAATTAAGGGGTATTGGGCTCTCTGGGCAAGCACCGTTGAGAGGACGCGTCTCAGCGCGAAGGACTACGCAAAGCTGAGTTTGCCGGGGCCAACCAGGCCCTTCTTCTTGGATGCTGTGTTCAGATCTTCCAAGATTCGTTTAGGGTTAAGGTTTAGGGCGAGTTTCGTGGGCGCTGGCCGGCACCTCAGTCTGTGCTGAAAAGGCTGCCTAAACCCGTTCTCCTCATGACTCATTCCTCTTCGGGTGGCTGGGGCGGGACCCGCGGCATGCGGAGTAGAAGACACTCTTCGGACTCGTGGAAGTCGCACCCCTTCTAAGCCCCTAAGCCCCCAGAGCCTGAACCCTCTATAAGCCTACACTCCCACCTCAATTTTTGTTGGCCTTTCATCTTTCCAGTGCCGAAATCTACCGGGGCCTTCAGATTTTCCGGCAGTTCCCGTCCAGGCGCAGCAACGTCGCTGCAGAGATGGGCTTCCCAGCTCAGGAGCATCGGGGTTTCACATTCCGGGGGGTAGAAAAAGGTCTTGAAACCCCAGACCCCCACCGGTCTGAGAGGCCGTCAGAGCTTACGGCTCGAGGCTTCAAGCCTTGTAGGTCCAAAGCCCTATAATGTGGCTTCGGGCCCACTTTGGGTTTAGAGCTTCTCGGGATTACTATAAGGACTTAAGGCAACATTCTCTCGGAACGATAGATAGAGCGCTGTACCATGCTGTACCCCTAAGCCCAGACTGGGGGTATGTAAGTGCGCAGGCTTGAAGCTCAGCTTAACTGTGCTGCCATACCCTTCAACCCCAAACCCGAAACCCTGAATGGAAGGAGCGGCCTAAACCCGAAAAACCAAAAGTAAAAGAATGGAAGGAGTCTGCCAAAGCAGCCTCACCCCTCATCGACGACGAAGCCGCGCTTGAGTTCAAGACCGAGAAGGCCTCGCCCCGAAGATAGGGGCTTTCGGGGCTTCAAGAGAGAGAGAAAGAGAGAGCGAGACAGAGATTTTGGGTTGTATCCCAAAATCCTATTCTAAAATACTTACATAATATTCAAGCCTGCATATTCTGGGTTGTCTTTTTTCCCCATACTATTTTGTAGAGAACCATAATCGTAAGGGCTTCAAGGACAACTCAGTATTCGGCTGACAAAGAGGCCTAGTGGGGCCGAAGTGCTTGGAACCCGACCTTGCCCTATCCCAGAGAGCCCAATACCCCTTAATTAGGGAATATAGCTTAAATCATAATATGAAGCCCCTTATAATTTAAGGTATATTCCTTATAATTTAAGGTATATTCCTGATAATTTAAGGTATATTCCTTAATTAAGAGGTATTGGGCTCTCTGGGGTTCAGCTTCGGTTGCATGAACTTAAACGCAAGGTTACCATTTCTGGGCCTGGGAGAAGCGTTACGTAGAGGCCCAGGGGACTTAGTAGGTAGGTTATAAGTAGAGTTATAAGTACCCTAAATGGAGTTACCCCCAAGTATAACCCTACTTATGTAACCGACTTACTAAGTCCCCTGGGACTCTAAGTAGCTTACCCATGAGCACCGGCAAAGAGGTTTCGCCAAGCTCCACCGCCTAAACGAGGCGATGGGCAAGCAAACACCCTGAAAACTTAAAACCCTATAAAGGAAATCACCGAAAGTTGGAACATGGTTCTAGGATGAGTAGTGCTGGGATCCCCTTTGCTTTACCTTGAGGGCACAAGGATAATCATGTTCCAACTTTCTGGCTTCTACTGTATAGGTTGAAGGTTCAGGCTTTGGGCGACCTCCAGCCGAAATACGAAGCCTGTTGCAAGAGGCTTTAGGATTCTGGAACCCCGAACCTTCAAGCAAATCCCCTGCATCCTGGTAAGGCCAAAGCTGAGCTTCTACGGCAGATCGACTTCGTCGTCGCCGAGTCGGCCATGGGATTGGCAGCGCCCTTACAACCACAAAGCAGGTAATGCAGGGGCCTTAAACATTACCTTTAGTATTTTTGGGGTGCACCTTATTATTTTTATAGTGTAATGGGCTCCCAAACCCAATTCGAGTTATTAAGGCACATAGATTAAAGCCTTGGTGCTGATGTAGAGTGCAGGGTCGTCTTAAGCGTGCAGACATCGAGAAGTGTATCGTAGAAGCCCGGATTTTCTGGCGGCACTGATTCCCACCCTCTGTATGGTGGCACTGCGCGCGTGTACGAACGAGTTCACATGAGTACGCTTTTGCCGCAATCAAAGTACCAGAACCCCAAAGGTAGCCCACGACTAGCCAGTCATCATTCCTCAAGGACTGCCCAGAGAGCCCAATACCCCTTAATTAAGGAATATACCTTAAATTATAAGGGGATTCATATCATGATTTAAGCTATATTCCCTAATAAAGGGTATTGGGCTCTCTGGGTGCTCACCTTCAGGCAGGTGATCTGCTCTTCTTAGAGAGCGACTGGGCAAACGCGCCGTTCCGATCGTCGCTTCAGGAGGCCCCTTTGCTCGTGACGGTTTGTGGGTTTTGAGGCTTCATTTACGGTGTTTGCCTTTTTTTGCACTTGGGGCCTCCGATGTTGGGGTGGTCCAGTTTGTTTGGGCCCCGACGGAAAGGCTGTAACATTTCGTCAGTTTAGACACGGCCTAAGCTCTTATCTTCAGCGCGAAGCTCGAGATAAACGCAACACATCTTAAAGAGCCACAAAAGCTCCCACTTTTTCAACGTCCACAGCTAGAAACGAGATTCTGATGAAGTGCTCCAAATGCCACTCTTTTCAGCCGTGCTACGGCTGATGATACAAATCCGGCACTACCTTAAGGACCCTAACTATGGGAATTATGGTATATTCCTTATTATAGGTCATGCAGAATTTATATCATCAACAGTAGGAATCGCTCGGTTCTTAGAGGAGTACCCAGAGAGTCCAATACCCCCTTAATTGGGGAATATAGCTTAAACCATAATATGAATCCCCTTCTAATTTAAGTTATATAAGGGGTATTGGGCTCTCTGGGTAGAACTTGGGGGAGGCGTGCGGTTCCTGGCAGTAAGCACTTAAGAACTCTTCAGTCGAAGCCCGACATCCTATCTGCGCCCGAAAAGACCTGCTTTTTGAGGGTTCCTTATTATGGTTTCTATATGGGTGGTTGTCAATTATGGTCCCTTTCTGGGTCCCTACTATACTACGGCACCTAGTATTCAGGATACCCGAGAAGGGACTCTAATTTTGGCAACCACCCATATATAGTTCCTTAAAAAGGTAAGTCTTTTCGGCTACCGGTAATCCTAGCCCGCATAGACCCGTAGGCTTCTGTAGGTTTTGGGTATCGAGGACGTAGAAGCTTGAAAACCCCGCCCTTCCGGAAATTAAACTCTTACGGGTCAGGGTGAGGTATAGGGCATAGGGTTGTAGGGTCTATAGGGTTCGGGATTTCCCAATTCAGAAAGGATTTCCGCCGTCAGTTGCGAACCTTAGACCAAAACGTGTTGTGGCAGATCGCACAGCTGGGCCCGGAGTTCGAGCAGGTACTTCAGCAGGACCGTTGCCGACGGAGTTTCGGGTTCCGGCAGCCGGCAGACGGACTGGGGGTTTTCGAAGCCTCTGACTGTAATCAGCCTTGACAACAGCACTGGGTGTGGTGAGGTGACGGGGAGCAAGAGGGAGAGCAAATGCATGGCATGGCAGGCGTCGGGTCTAGGCTTCAGACTTACAAGTACGGCGGAAGTTGTCGGAGTCACAGCCCATCAGAGATGTGAGGCAATGGTAGGAGGTGAGCGGCTGCTCAGCATCCCCAATTCTGATCTGGAGCGTAGGACTCTCGTACTAGTGACCGCAATTGGGAGAGTACGTTTCCTAAGCAGCGAGGCAATGTGTCCAGCAGTCCTATCTTCAATGCACTTGCAGCGAGTACAATTAGACACGCTCCAAGCCCAAGCCGTGAACCCCCGACAGGATTTTTGTGGATTTTAGATCTTAACTGTCCACCCGGAAACTCAAAGAAAGCCCTTTGGCTAAGGAGCACTATTTACTTCAATATTGCACAAGTGAGCGCACCTTACTCAGGTGCGCTCGCTTATGCGATATCGAAGTTCCTAAACCCATCAACCCAAGACCTTCGGGGCCTTGGGTTTAGGGTTTTATGGCTTAGGGCTGGTGGGGTTTTGGGAAGAGCTTTGGGGGCACAGTCCTAACTGGCGGAAGAGCGGCAAACTACCAGGCGTCCTGGCGCGCAAGCCTGCATCAAAAAAGGTGGGGAGGGCTTTGGGTTTAGGGTCAGGTCTAGCTGTCTTTCGCAGGAGCAGTCACCGGAGCTGTCGCTGGTGCACGAGGCCGGAAGCTGCCTCGTGCGGGATCTCCCTTGGGCTTAATATAGGAGCCTTAATGCTTACCTACACTATTTTGGGGGCTCTTATTATGACTATAGGAAAATATTCCCCCAAAACCCTATTTTCATAATTGTTAAGGCCGCTATACTACATGGTTCGAATAACATGACCGCATGGGGTCTTTGAGCATGTTAGTCGTGCTGAGGGGCCAGAGAGAATCACGCTTATAGTATTGGCTGTGTGTGAGAGTTTTTGTTTGAGCGATGCCAGTGGCACTGATCTCAGGGTCTTTAGCGGCCCAAGACCCGCAAGTCTTGTCCTAAAGCAGAATGAAGCCTTGGGACTCTTCCGAAGAGAGGAGCTGGTGGCAAGCTGTGCCTCCGTCATGTCTCTCGGCTCGCCTTCAGTGAGCCCTCTTTCGCATTGCGGTTTTAGGATTGACAGGAGTTTTGGGGTTTGGGGCTTGGGGTTTTCGTTGAACCTTGGCCGCAGTGGCTAGAGATGGGTTTCCTATCAAACATTGGGGATGTGGGGGCCTTGGCCTCGGCACATCTTACCCATAGGCCCTAAAGTAGTTCCTTTTTGGGGCTCATATAAAGAATAGTATAAGGTAATCCCAAAAAGGAACTACTTTGGGGCCTCTGGGTAATCCTCATGAGTCCCTGAAGCCCAACACCGGTTTCAGGTTCCCAAAGGCCGAGATGGCCCAAGCCCAATGAAGTATTCGTTAAAGTTTCTGCTGTGGGATTGTCATCGCGACATGTACCTTCGCAGTTCTGCCGTGTTATCCTAGCGTGTGCGCTAGCTGTACATGTGGATTTCCGCAGTGTCATCCTTGCATATAGGAGGGGCGACCCCGCTGCTGACTGCGCATTCGCATTTTCGCACAGTCATCCCCGCAGGGGTTTGTTGTCGCGAGCAGTACATCCATTTTTTCATCCGTGACATCCTCCCAAAGCCTGTTCGGCACGAGGCCCCTATCCCTTGTCGACGGAAGGCAGGTTCACAAGCAAGCCGGATAGACCCTTATAATCATTCCAAGCCATGAGGAGACGCTGCCTTCGACGTGTATATTTAGGCTCTAGCCTTCGTCGCTTGGTTGTCACCACCTTGTAGTGCGCAGTCGTACCGAGAGACCTCGTTTGGCTTGTCCGAGTGCGAGAGCATAATCACCCCCAGCCCTCAACTCCAAAACCCCGACCCTTATCGAGCCTGAGCAGAAAGGCCCGCTGGCCACTGTTATGCATCCTGTTTACTTTTGTTGTAGTTGGGGATTCGTTAACAAGGAGCCCATAAAGAGCATCCGTTTTCTTTTCTAATTGCGACTGGAAACCGTCTGGATGCAACGGCCGAGAGGGCCGCCGAGAGAGAGAGAGAGAGCGAGCCCCAAACCTCCACACCAACCAATATATCCAACCCTCCCTAAAAAACATCCTAAATCCCCAAGCCCTTAAACCCGAAAAGCCCTAAGCCCTAAAACCCCAAATCCGCAAAATCCCCACAACCCTAAATCCGTAAAATCCCTAGAACCCTAAAGCCCTAGATCCCTAGAATCCCTACATCCCTAAGATCCCTAAAGCCTAAATCCTTTAAACGCTGGATCCGGATTCCGTAAAACCTTACCCAAACTACACACAATACATACAGAAGCCCCATAGACTAGCCCGAAATACATCAGAAAACACAACACCTAAGCCTTAACCCCTAAAACTCTAAAACCGTAAGATCCCTAAAGCCCTAAAATCCCTGGAATCCCTAAAATCCCTAAGATCCCTAAAGCCTAAATCCTTTAATCCCTAAACCCCCGGAATCCCCCTAAAACCCTAACCCCCGAAACCCTAAACCCTAAACCCCTAAACCCTAAAACCCTAAACCCCTAAACCCCGAAATCCCTAAAGCCTAAAGCCTAAAACCACCGGAATCCCCGCCCCCCCCCGCCCGCTACCGAGGCAAGAGTTCCCCAGCGGAACCATCCCCGCAGACCGACGCTGGGCGAAGTCTGCGTGCGTGTGGGTAGTTCTCAGCGTTGTGGGTTCAAGGGCTACTAGTATCCTTGGGATTTTTTTTTAGATTTTTGCTCATATACAACCCACGAGAATATTAAGACATATTGTGGTAGGTCGTAGGATAATTAGGGTTTTTAGGGGTCGCTTGTAGGGTCCTTTTTCTAGATAGCTCTCAGGATAATTAGGGTCCCTATGGGTTCCTTGTAGGGTCTTTTTTTGGGGGTAGTTCTTAGGATCATTAGGGTATTAGGTAGTTCTCTAAATTCAACTCAACCAGGGTTCCTCAAGGGGATCTATAAGGGTTTCTATAATAGGGTTTCTATAAGGACACTATAAGGGTGTTAGGGATTTGGTTGCAAGGGCTATAGTCTCCTTAGGAGTTATTTTTTGTTTTTGTTCATATAAAACCCAATAGAATATTAAAATAACATTACGGTAGTTCGTAGGATAATTAGGGTCCCTTGTAGGGTCCTTTTTGTTAGGTAGTTCTTAGGATAATTCGGGTCCCTGGCAGGGTGCCTTTTATAGGTAGTTCTTAGGATAATCAGGGTCCCTTGCAAGGTCCTTTTTAATAGTTTTTCAAATTAGGTGGATTTGCCTTTGGTTCTAAGGGGGTTTTAGGTCTGAGGCATTCACGTTCTGGGGGTTTTAAGGTGTCTCGGCCTGGAACTTTAGGAGGGAACCTCCGGCATTTCAAGGGGGTAAGCCCCAAGCTAACTCTTCAACCCTGGAACCCAGGACCAGGCACCTAAGGCGCGAGCATTGAAAGCGCTAAGTGCTCCGAAGTTCAGTAGGCCCCCGAACTTTGAATCCCACGGGTCCAACATCACCTAAACCACAACCTCTCCTGCGAAAACAACAGCAACAACAAGTACCCAGAATCTGTACACACAACCTTGCGAGCCCCCTCAGTGTGTCTAAGTGTGACTAGTCAGTACTCGGGCTTTTAAATACACTCCACGCGTAGTCTTAGTATCCTATACCGCTAAACTACATCATCTTCCGTTTTGTTATAATCGAAGTTCACTATGCTAGTACATCATATGACTACATCATATATTATACTAGTATATCATATGAGTATAGTATATACTAGTATATTCTTTTGTAAAAACCTCTTGAGGTCGGGCCGAGGCGACCAAGGAGAAGCCAGGAACCCTGCGAGCCAAAGCGGTCCGCATCCGTGGGAGCCTGGGCTCTTGTTAAGGAACGTAGGTAAAGTCACCATAGTAAGAATTTATAAGGTTTCCTTGAAGGGATCTAGAGTTAAGGAATTTAGCTTAAATTACCATAATCGGGATCTATAGTAAATAATATGGTTTCCTTATTGTGGTAACTGACTATAGATCTCGAATTATTATGGTAACCAAAAAGATTGTCGCTTCTTAATGATGGTAAGTTAAGCTAAAGAGTTGACAAGAATTCAGGAGCACGGAGTCCGCGTATCCCTTCGTCAAAGCTCTGACCCAGGAGGCCCGTGGGTTCAGGGTTTAGGGTTTGTAAAACCCTAAACCCTGAACCCTTGCGTAAACTGGCTAGACTTGAGTCCAGCGGCAAAAAGGGTATGTGTCGGAATAAAGTTTATTGAACCGAGTTAGAGGGTTGGTTTAAGGTAGTTTAAATGCTTTAAAGGTGTTGTAAGGATTTGGCTGCAAGTTGCATATAGCTGTTATGGTAACATATGTAAAGAAGTCAAAAGAACCTAGTGGGTTTCAGGGTGTTGGGCGTACAGGCTTAGGTTTGGGTTCACGGTTTGACAGGTTCAGGATTTGGGCTGCGGGTTATAGTTGCTTTGGAGCCCCTAACCCAAGTGAACTTCAACCACGGGGTCATGATTGTTAAACAGCTTTTATTAGTCCCGGCTGGCAAGCTTGCAGGCCAGGGGTTTTTTTGGTCGTAGTTTCTTGGGGTCCACTGGGATATCGCCAATCGGACTCAGTCTTGTATCTGCGTATATAATGTATAATAACAAAACAAAGGAAATAAGTAGAGAAGCAGCTGTATACATATACAAGTGTACATTATATATATATATATATATGTATATATATATATATATTCATGTATGCATGCATACACATATACACATTTCTGTATTTATACAGAGAGAGAGAGAGAGAGAGAGAGAGAGAGAGAGAGAGAGTGTGTGTGTGTGTGTGTTTAGGGTCTTGCCTATCCTGTGCTCTAAGGTCAAAAGAACCATTTCAATCCCCAAACTCCAAACCCCAAGATCTTGCATGGCTTTGTGGTGGATTGGATTCACAGTGGCATCCTGGTAAACTTCGACAGCCCGAACAAGCAACCAGGGCCAACGAGCATGCTACAGTGCCGCCAAACCCGATTCTTCAGATCTGCCTAAACCCCAAGACTTGTCCTTTCAAGGGTATACATGCAGATATACATACATATGTACATTCGCATGTACAACACATACATGAATGCATGCCTTTATACATTCATTCATACACAAATGCATGCATACATAGACGTGCATATATGTATATGTGTCTGTATGTAAGCAACAGACAAGTATTAAACATACCTTCTATATGAATCTAATTACAGTTTACATACATATGAATGCAAGTATACAGTACAAAGAAATATACAGATTGACAAATCAATCAATTAAAGCCATACTGAGGGGCCCTCGAAATGCGAGCTTCTCAAGGGTTCAGATAGCCGAACCCCTAAACCCTAAAACCCTAAACCCTAAAACCCTAAACCCTGAGTCCTAACCTTCGAACTCTGAACCTGGCCAGGCGGGATCTCTGGGACAAGTTCCCCCGGCTGCACTGAAAGATGAGCGGTTACAACTGATGGATCCTGATGGAATCCAGGAATAAAGTGGCTTGAGGATGGCGAGGGGGGTGTTCGAAAACTTCTCCTCAAGCCAAACTAGGAAGGTTTTTCCCTACCTTCACTGGGAATGTTTCAGAAGAAGGACCCCGACGAGGAAGACTCAGTTTGAGCAACCCCCTGCTTGCGTTGGAGCTTAGAATGTAGCACTTCTGAGTCACACTTAGAGGCCCAGGGGACTTAGTAGCTCGGTAATAAGTAGGGTTATACTTGGCAACTCTATTTAGGGTACTTCTAAGTCTAGTTATAATAACCTACTTGCTAAGTCCCCTGGGCCTCTCAGCAGCCGTTCGCGTTCTTCCCTTCTCGATCAGCGGACGCCACGGGAGATGAGGGAGGCTTTTGCTCCCGAAACAGTTCGATCCAACAATCGCAGCACATGAAGCTGTACCTAAATCCTCCAAAGTAGGTAAAATAATGGTCCAACCCCTGTAAGAGGCTATTATTTTACATACGTTTGGGTGCAGGTATACCTCTGAAAGCTTAAGCCAAGCTTCCCAAACATGCTCCTCCTAGACCCCTAAACCCAAAGCCTCACTGTTCAGGGAATCGTTGTACTTTGGTTTCCGGTGCAGCAGTGCCGTGCACGCAAAAAAAAGGCTCCCCATGATATCGTGCCTTCTGCTACGGGTGATGAAGCATTGGGCTACATGATATTGTGCTTAGACACACATCTTCACATGTCGGACGGCTTTTGCATGCAGAACCGTAGTCAATTGTCCACATATTAAATCCCGGCTTTGCAGGACGACGAGGAGTCCGAAAACTCTGTATCCATCCAGCTGCTGCAAGGCATGTCTTTGCTTGCCAGCATTCTGGTGATGCTTCTTGTTCTTACGAATTACCAAGGGTCTGAATGCGTAGCGGTGGTGCCCCTAACAGTTCTAACAATTCTTGCAGAAGGTCATGTTCTTCACAACAACTTGACGAGATGGTTATGAAGGCCCTTGCGTGGAGCACTGTAAAATTCTATGTCCTAAGAATTGCAAGCACTGGGTCAAGCAGTAAAGCAACCCTGAGGCAGGTGCAGGTCAAATGCCAATGAAGTCAGCAGCCCGTTCCCTCCACACAGATTAGGTTAGGCTAGACAGACACACAGATAAATAGATCGATCGGCAGTGAATCAGATAGATAGAGATGCATAAAGTTAGATAGACCCCAGATAGATGGACAGATCGATCGCTAGATGGATAGTTGGATGAATAGATACAGATAGGTAGATGGACAGAATTGTTTGGCCAGGTTCCTGCTACATTTATGGCGTAGAGCCCGTAGAACCTCCGAGTCTGATTATTTACATATAAGCCTACGTCTCACTCGTCAAGCGCCGCTTCATGTCAGGGCGTGGTGCATGCCTGCCCCCGACTTTGTGGAACGTGCGGGGCCTGAACTTGTCCGTGTCGTCGGTTCAGTTTCGGATCTGTCGCACTTGAGCTTTCGCGACATAGCAGCTGTACCTGACATGCATCGTTCTGATGATACAGGTCCTGGCACACAAAGAAGCCAGAAACAATGCAACGACAACAAGCAACATGCCAAAAACGGGCGCACGTATTGGTATCCATGCTACGGGTTATGAACACAATGGGCATGTGCCTTTTCCTAGGCGTGCGGGCGAGTAAGTTCCTACATTTACATCTCGACATGGATCTCGGTGCATGCGCCTCCAGATGCCTGCCTGAGTATACATGTCCATGTCTGCAAGGTTCTGCACACATACATGCACACACGAAGACAGTCTCTGATTATCGCGTCTTGTCTTAGTAGCTGACAAGGCTGTTTGCTGCTTGATCTGGTCTTGCCCCTAAACCCTAAACCCTAAACCCTAAACCCTATCCTTCCGTACAGCGAAACAACAAGCCAACAAGCGCGCATATCGAAGAGCCATTTCCAGCGGATCACACGGGTGTGCTTTGGAGCAGCATGGCTCACCAGGCCTGCTAAGCAGGGTCCAGGAGCTTTGGAGGATTAGTTAAATTGTCTAGGTAGGGCTTTGGGACATTTTATAATTTCCCTTATTGGGCTTAAGAGTATCTTATTTACTAATATTTTTCAAAGGCTTTAAAAGCCCCAGCTAGTGTTGCTGTGGACGCCGGGACGGTGTCACGGTGTAGGATCTTTAAGGTGCATGCATTCCTTGGCGCTTTCGCGATTTGGGTTCGTTTCTGATTTCGGACTTTCGGGCGGCCGGGGTTCAAGACTTCAGAGCCTATACACCTAAACCTGCCCAAGCCGCCCGTAGGAAAATAGACTCGAATTTGTTCTAGTGATTGGTGTTCGTCAGGGCTTCCTAAAATAGTCATAGTAGAATTCACCTGAAGACGCTATTGTAACTTCACGGTCACTCTTAACCGCCTAACACAACATCCCTATATCATGCTCCTCCGGTTCTTTGAGCCGTCATGTGCCCTGCAAGGTGAGCACACGAGTATTGTTGTTGCATGGGCCCAGTGTTGTCGACAGGACGCCGGGTGTTGCATGTAACTGCAAATGGTCCAAAGGGTCAGGAGAAGAAAGCGGCAGGAACTCTCAGCTAAGCAGCACCAGATGAGGTCCAACCGCAACGTGACGCAGCCTTGAACCTTGTATCGACAGCAGCAGCAGCACCTATAAGAAAAGAAGTTGGACACACTAGGAAATAATCGTCATGCCACGCATTTTGCGAGCTCAGCCTACCCAGCCACACTCCGAAGCCCGAAACCGAAAGCCCAGAGCCCGAAATTGGACACCACTGGAGGTTGCGAAAGTGCTGCGCACAGCGCAGCGTTCCTCGGGACGCTCCGTATCCGAGCGAGCAGCTCGCATGGGTTTTAGGGTTTGGGGTTTAGGGTATTTAGGGTTTAGGGTGTTCGTCCTGGCGGAGTCGCAGCAGGCCAGTGGCAAAAGGGTTTAGTGCTGAAAAAAGGTTTATAGGGTTTTGGTTCTGGGTTTAGGGTTTAGGGATCCAGCACGAGGGCAGTGCATGAAGAGCAACGAAGCATGCCGTCCTTCGAACATACCTAGAGAGCCAAACCCCAGGTCCTAAACTCTTGAATTCGAGATCTGGGCAGCTAGTTATATAGTCTTGCGATTCCATTGTGGTTTCAAAGATACGAAGAAAGTTGCCAGTCCAAAATACGCCAGTCTCTTTCCACGATGATGCTTCAAGCCCTGCACCCATCAGCCCCACAAGCCCCTTTTAGCCTGTAGGCATTAATTGCCGTAGTGGTCGCAAGCAGCAGCTCGAGCCTTTTGTGGGTAGCAGGGGGTTAGCCGCTGCTAACATCTTTTTGGTGCTATCGGTGTGTTTGAGGCCACTTTGTCTATTGTCCCCCATGCCCCTGAATCCTACGCCTGAAGAACGGCGGCGAACCATGTTACGGTAGCAAAGAAGGACACGGATCGCCTGTAGCCTTGCCTGCCTGCCTTGTGGGAGCGTGCGAGTCTAAATCCCTTGAACTCCGGACTCTAGACTCTGAATCCTAAACCCTATTATTATAAGACCTAAATAGTATTTCTTTTCGGACTCGTAACCTCGCCATTCATGTCCTACTTGTTCTAAACCCCTCCGCTCAAGCCCGAATCTGAGGGCAGGGAAAGCAGGGGCTGAGCGCAGGCCGGCGTAAAGCGTCCCGCTCCTGCAGCGGCGGCCGTGGATCCATCTTCCGTGTCTCGATACTTGGCTGTTGTTGAGCAGCAGGCTAAGGAATCTAGGGGAACGCTTAGCATGTGTGGGATTTTGGGCCTTGGAATGCTGAGGTTTATTGGTCTGGAATGACCTTCCTTCGCTTTTGTCCCGCGGGTATTGTGCAGGATACGCCATCACCTTCGGTGAGACGGCGGTGCTGCACATAGGCCGGAGTGCGTTGGTGTAACCATTTTAACAGTTTTAAAGCTTTTGTCGTGCCGTAGATGACTACCTTAACATCATTGAGACAGAGAGAGACAGAGAGAGACAGAGAGAGAGAGGGAGAGAGATAGACACACACACACACACACAGACAATGCCACCTTCCAAGCCTTCGCACCGTTCGCGCAGTGTCTCCTGTTTCTCAAAGTTCAGGTTTCTCTCAGTGCCGAAAGCCTTCAAGCCCTAATGGTCTCTTCAGGCCTTTAAGAAACCATGCTGCGTAGGGCCCATTGCCAGTTGCTAGTTCTGTCTTTCCGACGTGTCATGAACCGGCGGGGCAGGCTGCCGAACTTGCCCACTCCCTAAGGCTCCATGTACCCATATAGTAGGTACTTAGGCTTTAAAGAGGTCCCTATATGGCTACTCTAAGGCCTAAGTACCTACTATATGGGTACATGGAGCCTTTGGGACTGAGATTGGCTTAAAAGCCCTGCCTGCATCGCTCGCCATCCTTACTTCTGCACGTTGAGAGTTGTAGAGATCACGCAAACTTGCGAGTTCTTCCCCATGAAGCCCTTCCAGGTGGCGAAGAGGTTGGTTCGGGCAGGCGGGGGCGAATTAGCAAAAGACTCATGGATTCTAGGGCTCAGTTGTTATTTTCATTTGTTTCGGAACGTATGCCGAAGTCCTTCTCTTGCATACTTAGTAGCTGAGTGGATACACTTTACAATTTGGGGGATAATACTACCCACTATAAAGCTGAAAGTGTACACTTTGGGGGGCTTATGAACTCAGCAACTAGGTATAACTGCTTATAACTAAGGAACTCTTTTGTTCGTGGATCAGCTGTTGGGCCTGGGGTTTTGACTCTGGCGAAGTGCGAAGCTTGTTGCAAAAGGTTGTACCTATAGTCTCCATTGTAGTTCCTTTTTTGGTTGGCCAAGTTTATGGTTAGGATCTTATAATAGAGATTTTGGTTAACCAAAAAAAGGAACTACAATGGAGACTATTGGCAATCTTTGATGCCAAACTCACCTGGCTATCGTGGCGGGTGGCTCGCGGATGGGGCTGGACTACCAGCTCGCCTGGCAAGCATAATGGTGTGAAACCCTACTGGGTGGTGACTAAAAGGGGCTTTGCTGGATTTTGCAGTTTTGG